CAATAATATCTTGTTTTGTTAGACATTTAGAAATGTCAATAACAAAATCTTGATAGAGTGAAAAATATTCTTGAGTAACTTAATCGATTATTATCTGATACATATACTATATTCAACAAACACGTTGAGATTATTATGAAGATATTGTTAAATGGCTTAATTTAAAAAGAAAAAAAATCCATATATCGAGAAGGTTTTACATTCTATACAAATAGAATTTGTCATACCAATAAATCATAATAATAATAAAAACAAAGTTTTATAGCAGACATTCGTATTAAGTAAATGAATAAAGTCTTTGTAATTATTTGATGTTTCTGAAAAGGAAAATCGATTCTTTATTTTTCATATCTTTGAACTTTGAAATGATAATAATCGTGGATTGTAGAATGGTCTAAAAGTTTGCCATTTTTTGTTTATTTACATGAAATCAAATTAATCTGATTCCATGAAAATAGTTATTTTCTACCTACTGAAGTAATGTATTTCAAAAACTGTGCGGTCAAAAACTTGATAAAAAGTGCAATAGCCACCAGAATTTAAACTTCAGAGACATATAACCTAGCTTAGTTTCATATAATTTTTTAATCACACTGAAAGAAATATTATACATGTGAAATTTTTCAACAATTACCTTACCGACATTTTGCTTTCACTCTTCATAATCTTTTTTGTTGTTAAAATAGAAGTGATAGATCGAAAAAATTTACTCAGCGTTTTTTTTGTATTTGACTTATGTCGTGATCTAATTCGTCACTTACTAGAGGATGATAGTGCTAACGCTAATGTAGATACAGTTGGAGATTGAACAACACGTTTACCAAATAATTCTGTTGATGCTTATAATTGCGATGAGACAAGTCTTTTCTTCCAGCTAATGCCTGGTCGACCTCTTGTTAATCATAGAGATGACTGTGTGTGAGGCAATAAATATAAAGAAAGGTTGAGATTTTTTTAAATCTGCAGGACCTCAAACAGACGTTTGAAATCTATTTGGTTAAAAGTCGCATAGTATTGAAAGTTTAAAAAAAACATTATATAGTAATAAAAATCAATAAAACTGGAGATATATGTGGTATAGCTAAATTTTTGACTAATATTTGCTTAACCCCCTCTTTTATGAACCCCGCGCTATAGTGGGCGATTTTGCTCGGAACTGATGGAGTTCACTTTGTAGAGATTTTTGCTGTATATTATGAAATATGAATTGATAAATCTATAAATAAGCGTTTATCGAATGTTTATTGACATTGGTTTATAAAGACGGATAATGAACTCGTAAGTTGATCTAATAGAGCAATATCGGGTTTTCCATCTTGATTGAAACCATAAGATATCGCAGCACCTGGGCTACCATACCAGACATATGTTACGTTATTAGCAAACGTTCCAATCTCATTCCCAATTTACATTTGTATATCATTTGAAAGCTTATTGATTACTGCGATGCCCATATTGCCATCATTATTAAAATCGACTGACATCACATAGCTTGGCGACCGATCAACAAGATATTTGATTTGCTTTTCAAAATATTAAAAAATACAAGATTTTGCCAGCTTAGATTTTTTTATCCCGATTCCGGGGTGCGGCTGTGGGTGTGTTAATGAAAGATATACACCCACCCCCAAACCCAAATCATCATGGTCATCATTGTTTCAGAGCTAATAATTTAAAGTCTAGCTCATGGATTATCATCATCATCATCATCATCGTCATCAGAATCATCACGTCATCGTCATCAGAATCATCACGTCATCATCACCAGAATCATCGTCATCATTGTTTTAGAGTTAATAATTTAAAGCCTAGCTTATAAATTATCAGCTACGTTATTAGTGTCTGAGGAAAATTATCATGGTCCTGAATGCTCGTTGTTAAGTCCCTTACAGTGCGTTGTGTGGTGTGCGTGTTTGGTTAAGTTTTTTTTTAATGAAAACACTGAGAGCAATGCTCGCTGTACAATCGGTGATTGAGGTGTGGTATAGTTTTGTCCTTTTCGTTAAAGTATTTATGTAAAATCATCATGGATCTGAGTGGGTGAGAGAGGTTTTGTTAAAGTGTGACAGATTCGTTGTTTGATCCGTTAAGCCATTCTTTTGGAAATGGTGATGGACGTCTGTTGCTCATCATAAGTGATATAGGGTGTTGTTTTATTGCTGTTTGATGGTAGCATTGATTTTCAGTGGGATCGGAAGTATTTCAAGTAGACTTTCCTTCAGTGTAGGGTAGGCCTGATTGTTAATGAAAGTAAAAACGGGGAATTGCTCGATGAGTTGAGTTTTATGTGTTGTATATTCAGTGAATCTGGGCAATCATGAATGATTCACTCTGATTCCGTTGCTTTTCTATAGCAGGTTATGGGTTGCTCACGGAATTGGTGACAATCAGGATCTCTACTGTGAAAAAAATAAGGCGTCATATGGAATCATTTAAGGTTCTAGCCAAGATACTGAACCTTTTAAGGTTTCACTCGCTGATTAATAAACCAGCGAGGGTTCTAGCTAATTTAAAGAACCATCTCAGATCCGCAATAGTTCAGGATGTTTGAAAAGGTTCGGTCTTGCACCATTTGTTTAATGCTGGACCATTTTTCCAAAGATGGCTCTGGCTTGAAGCACGACAATATATTTGCGAAATGTGCTTTAAGTAATATAAATCTCAAATAGGATACCTAGGCCGAGGATTCCGAATCCGTTATCATTTTTTCAATCCGAGCTCCCAGTGGTCAAAAATTGGGTCCATAAAAAAATCGAGGACCGTAAAACTAGACTTTTTACTTCAACTCCGATCTATATTCTGATCGGAGTTTGAAATAGGTTATCGCGGTCTAGGAATCCGATTCCGTCATCATTTTTTCGATGCTAGGAATGCGATAGTTGAATGGTAGACCTGGGTAGTTATGTCCGCAAAATCAATTCAACAATTAGTCGCATCTTTTGAAATGTGATTGTTTTTTATCTTTTCCGATATGTCACATGTATGAATAGACAGGTAATGTCAATCTGATAAAATGAATTCAAGATTTTCCGTAGTTAGGTATGTATGAACAATTAATTCAAATGCAAGTTTAATATGATAAAATGAATTAGCGTTTTTTTAATATTTTAGGTATACGGGAATAATATATTTAACGGTAAGTTGAATCTTACAATATAAGTCACTGTTCTCTTTTTGGTTTTGTTTAGGATGGTCTCAACGTCAACTAACGGCGATGCCGCTTTCGTGCGAATAACGGAGAAGATGCTAGCTCGTATTCTACTCACAACAAATCTAGGTAAATATAGCAGGTAGAAATAAGGATTATGGCTAGAATTAAGGGTTAAGGATAGGAATAAGGGATTAAATATGAAATTAACGGTTGGATAAAACATTGGTCTAGAGTACTAGACTAAGTGAGTGTGGTGGACTACATTTTACTACTATAGAGCCATTTTTGGAAGAAATAGGAAAAAGTTCCAGTTAGAACCAGATTTTGCTTGAACCTTAAATGGTTCTGAAAATGATACCCAAATATAGAACCTTAAAAGGTTCAGTATGACACCTTTTTTTCTTTCTGAGCACCCCCTCAATTTTCCGATCCCACAGTCTAATTTGATAGAGTACTTTTCTTTTTACATATATTTTTCAATTTTGACGTTGTTTCAATATACCTGACCCCAGTTATAGTCCTCTCAAGACTTAGTTTTTGACTAAACATTTGCCACTGGGTGTATCTAGCTATGGAAGGATTTCGGGCATAAAGTAAAAGCTAAACAAACGTTTGTATACATGAATCGATAGGGAATTCTTCCATCTATCTGACACATTCTCAACCAGACTGAAATAAGAATCTTTTCATATAATTTCGTAGTGAATACGTCGCTGCAGCCAGCTTCTTTTTACACTTCAATGGCATTCTGTCGTGTTTTCATAATTATAATTATGCTTTTAAATAGTTTCTTACATACGATTTGATAGAGCATTTCAAAATCTACAAAATGATGTAAAAATCTTCAAGGAAAAGAGATATATAGAGTTGTTTTTTAAGGATCCAGTGTGCTGATATGTGAAATTCTATACAAAATCTTCGACAATTACTAAATTTCACAATCAGTAACTGCTTTTTATGAAAGATAAATATGATATTTAAAATCAGCATAAAAAACTAATCTAGAGAGTATGGGTTTCACAAAAAAAAATTTGAAAAAAATGAGCCTGTTCTACTCCACTGCTGATAATTATGGATAGTGGGGGAGAACAAGTGAATTTTTTTCAAAAAAAAATATATATTCTCAAAGAGAGGACTTTGGAGTATCTTTCTATGGCAACAGCTCAATTAGGATTTTTTTCAACAAATAGAGCTGTTTCAGGGGAGGGGTCCCCTTAACTTTAGCTTTACTTTTGAAGCAGTTAAAGTAGACTAAATTAATGAATCAACAATAAAAATTCGGAGAAGTATGTTTATACGTTTATCATCAAAATACTGGAGATTCTCTGATTTTAGTTGACAAATTTCTTTGTGTTTTTATTGGCGGTATTAGGATATCCCTGTTCCCTTCTCGATGAGCTTTTTATTAAGAACCCTTCCTTTTTAAGCGAGAGAAGAGAGGATATATATATATAAGAAAAATAAAGCATCAAGGAATGCGAGTTGAATAAACAAATAAGGACAAGAGCGCAATGATTCAAGGAATAATAACATATGGCTGTAACATATCTCCCCACCGAGAGAAATGGGTGTCCACACAGATTAAAAAGATCCGAATAAAGAGAAAAACTGTGAAATAAAAAAGAACCAGAGAAAATCTCAAAACTTGGGAAAATATAAGAGAAAGAGAATAATAAAATGGCAAGAAGAAAGAATCGAGTAGTAGCATAAGAAAGAAACATAAGAGAGAAAGGTAATAATAAAATGAAAAGAAGAAAGAATAGAGTAGTAGCATAAGAAAGAAGCATAAAAGAAATAGAAATGCACGAAGAATGAATACGATTATGTCCAAAATTAATTGCAGAGTAAGTTAGAATTTAAGTGGTGGTAAATGAGGTAGAAGATATAAACCATGTTGATAAGTCGCAATGTCTAAGGTATCAAGACGTTGTAGAGCACTCATGAGAACACTGGCTCCCGGATGTATTTGAGAGAGTCCAGTTGTTGCCATGGTTGTTAGAGTACTCGTTTCTTGACGGCGTATGAATGATCGAAGTTTTCGATGTAAATAATATATGACAACGATGACTATCATAAGAGCAATACTGTATAAAATGGCACTACCGGAAAATATACTTTGTGTAATATTTGTTTCTTCACGGTGAGCATCGTGAGATCGTTGTAAGATATCCATGCGATTATCAACTTTAGCATCCAAAAAACGTTTGATGTGAGACCCATGGACATAGACACTATTACAAAAAGTAAAACCGAGAAAGATGAATATGAAATTACTCGTGTATGAACTAAAATGGAAGACACCTTAAGAAAGGGAAATACATATGTATTAGGCGAGGAAAGCCGATGAGGCAAAAAAGGATCGAAGGCGTACGAACTAGAAATGAGACGTGAGAATGTAAATAAAACAAAAGATAATATAGTTATATGAGTTGTGTACGTTGAAAGGCGTAATGAAAAAGTAAGAATCGATTCAAATGTCAAAACTCAGACGGTTCGTTGTCGCTCGGGCAACGGAATGAGAAGATCAACTGTAACTTGACGAACGAAATTAAGTAATTTGACATGTTGAACAACATAGGTTTTACTAGCTAAACAACGTATGATGCGAAATGGGCCTATATATCTAACATCGAATTTATGACGTGGGTGAATATTTTTGAGAAGAACTAGTCATTGATAGTATATGTAGGATTCGAACGATTATTATCAAATCTAGATTTGTATTGACGTTGTGTATTGATGACATCGTGAGACGTTATATTTGTGAGGTGGGATATGTAGTGACGTACTTTAGAATTATATTGTGAAGGATGTTGTAAAGAGACGACAGGGTGTTGAAGAGCAAATGGTAGTATAGGTGAACGCCCATACATGAGTTCGAATGGGATTATTTTTTGTAGTGGAGTGAGATGTTGTATTGTAATTGAAAATGGCAAATGGAAGTTGATCATTCCAGTCCGAACGATGTTGATTCGATAATGCAACAATCTTTGCATCCGTAGCTCCATTAAATCTTTCTATTTGTCCATTTGTTTGAGGATGATATGGGGTCGAGTACAAATGAGTAATGCGTCGTCGTTGAAGTAGTTGTTCCATCATAGTAGATATAAAATGCGTGCCATTATCGGTGAGGAGACACTTTGGAGTTCCATATTTACAAATAACTTCTTCTTGAACACAGCGGGCTGCAGTATCAGCAGTGCAGTCACGAACTGCTTTGGCAATAACAAATTTTGATAGAATATCAGTGATTGAAATTATGTACTTATTACCACGTCGGCTAGTAGGAATAATAGGGCCACGAAAATCCATTGACAGTAGTTGCCAAACTCCGGAGGGTGGTTCAATCGGTTTCAAATGACCCGCAGGTTTACGACAAACAGGATTGTTTTGCTTACAACTAATGCACGATTTAACGTAATTACCGATATCATTGTTCATGGTATTCCAATAATATCTAGCTTTAATTTTTTTTGAAGAGTTTTGCCACGACTGAAGTGGGCACCATTCGCTTGGGTATCATAGTAAATTTTCATAATATCATAACGGATTTGTCCTGTTGGACCGCATGGAACTGGTTTCTTATCTGGTTCGTGATGCATCAAATGTCTTTTTGTTGTGCATCTTTCAACTGATCAATATTCTCAGTATATTCAATTCGTAAATCATCAACCTCTATGTTGGACGTGGATGAGTTAATTGTGTTAAACTGCTGATTAGAATGGTTATTGTTTGGTGTAGAAGTATTTTGCTTATCAGAAGTGAGAGTAGGCGAGCGCGAGAACGAGTAGTGACCATACCGACAGCTGATGATACCGGAAGAGAGTTTTTATCGGATGTATCATTTGCAATAGTAGTAGTTACAGAAGTTGAACGAACTTCATCATCTATCTCATCTTCAGCATGGTCAACTGGTGATCGAGATAAATAATCTGGCATAGTATTCGAAGTACCTTTAATATGTTTAATTGTAAAGTTGTATGATTGTAGTTTTAAACGCCAACGTTCACATTTACCGTTGATTTGAGATTTCTGTGTAAGAGCTTCTAATGGTTTATGGTCAGATTCTAAGAGGAAATGTTGACTGTGTATGTAATGGTGCCATTGTTCAACAGCTTTTACGATTGCGTAACATTATTGCTCAATCGGATACCAATATTGTTGAGAGGGTGTCAATTTCTTGAACATATAACATACAGGACGATCGTCTTCTGGGTATGTTTGTAGTAAAACAGCACCAATGCCAAATTGTGAAGCATCAGTTTGTATTTTGAAAGGAAGTTGATTATTTGGAAGGTGAAGAACAAAATCTATAGTAAGATTATACTTGAGTTGTTCAACAGCAGCTTGCTCATCTAAAGACAACTTGAATGGCAGGATTTTCCACTGAAGCTGTGTTCTTTGTTAGAAGGATGATATTTGTAAAGAGTACTAGCAATTCGAGAAAAATTCGGTATAAATTTACGATAGTATTGTGCTGCTTTGAGAAAACGAAAAATTTCTTTTGGTGTGTTAGGCGTTGTAATTTCTAATAGGCCTCGTACATTATCATTGTTGGGACGAAGTCCTCCGCGACAGATGTTATTACCGAGATAGTTTATGGTGTCGGTAGCTATTGTACATTTCTCGACACTTAGTCGAAAGTTGTATGTATGGAGTAATTGTAAAATTTCATCCGAATGTAATACACGATCATCAAATTTTTCGAAAAGATAACGACGTCGTCTAGATATGCGAGACAATAAATCCATCGAGCAGGATCTAAAATTCGATTGGCAATTTGTTGAAACGTAGGTGGGCCGTTCTTATTACCTTGAGGAAAAACAGTAAATTGATAATGATTGTCTCGTGTTGAAAACGCTGTTTTAGTCAGATCATGAGGTGTCAGTGGAATTTGAAAGTATCCGTTTTTAAAGTCAAGTGTTGTGAAATAATTTGGCTGAGATAGTTGGTCGAAAATATCTTCAATACGAGGCAATGGAAATGAATCTTTTACAGAAATATCATTTAATTTCCGATAGTTCACGCAGAACCGTGTGCTACCGTCTTTTTGACGTACTAAGACAACAGGTGAGCACCAAGGTGATGTCGACGGTTCAATTATTATTTGTTGTGAGAATTTGCCAGTCTCGTCAGTAATGGTTTGGTGATCTTTAGGTGAACGTCGATAAGGTGGAGTGTAAATGGGTTGATGTGTACCAGTTTCAATTATATGATTAAGAGTGACATTGCTTTTTTTATGGTTGACGAATATCAAACAGTTTACCATATTTCCAAAGTATATCTTGAATTTTCTTTTGATTTATTATAGAATCGATGTGTTTTGTTAAGATTTCGATTTGATGTCGAAGTTCATATGGATAACATTTTGTGCGAAGATGATGATAAAGATTATTGGTTGATAAAAATTGCTGATGACAAACGTAGCACTGATATGATGGATGAAACGGACGATGAGTTATGTTGAATGATTTATGATGAATTGACTTAGAACCTTGTGATGATGGAATAGTACAAATTAGTGATGAAGAAGATACCGTACCGAGGCATGTTTTTGAAGATAGAGTGTGCGGATGATTAGTGGTGTTAACGATTGTTATACGTGTCTAACAATTTTTTATTTGAATGAGAGCATTTAGAAGTAATATGGGTTTTTGAGAAAAACTTTTAGAGGATTCAAATATCATGTTTGAGTTATCAAGTATTTGAACTGACGCTTTAATAGTAGATTCATAGTATTGTCGGATTGTAATCGGATCCACTAGAAAAACAGAATAACATGACGTACCATTCGATTGAATGAGAGGAGTAGTAGTGTTGCGATCGGGTGTGATCATGTAACGTGAGGGATTGTGTGGGAATACCAAGAGATTTAATATAATGATTGATCCAGTCAGTTCCTACTAGTATATCTGTGACGAGATTTGTTCGTAGCGACAGATGCAGTCACATGTGTGATAAAATTGTTAACTCTAATTTCAAGTTGGACTTGACCAATTATGTTGATGGCTGTACAATTGGCTGAAATATAAGATGTATGTGTAGGTTCGAAGCTTTTGTGGTGAATACGTTTTAAGAAATTATAATGAATGATAGTTATACCGGAGCCAGTATCGATAAGAATATTATTATAAGTGCGATTTACTTGAGCACGAACAAAAAAAGGTTATAGAGTATGGGGAACGATGGCATATCATTACTTAAATTTCTGCCATTTTGAGTCCCAATTACGGAAAAATCTGAGGAAAGTTGCGCACATGATAATTATCATCACCACATTTATAGCAACCGTTTGTTTTGCTACTGTAGCAATCGATAGTGCGATGATTCGAACGATGACATATCAGATATGGATAATATTGATTGTGTTGCACGGATTGATGTGAACGATTGAGGCGCGGTTTTTTAGGAAGAACGTTGCAATCAACAATATGAGTACTTCGGAATTGCAGTGAATGATGTGGGATGTCAAGTGTATTGAGTGGTGTACTAGTGGCAGCGGTGAAACGAGCAAAATACGGTTGTGGAGGAGTGATAGATGGTTGTTGTTCACAATAGATTTGATGTTGTAGTTCTTCCTCGTCACGAGCAATTTTCAAAAAATAGCCCGATTTGGTTCGTCATTGAATGCTTTAAGTTGGCGTTTGACATGTATTTTTTATTCTTGACGAAGAACATCTTGTAAATAATCAACAATCATATATAGCGGCATATTATTATCAACTTGTCTACATAAATCGATGATATCATCATAATAGGCGATGAGTGTTTCACCAGACTGTTGTTTGAGTTCTTTTAGTTGTGTTTTGGCAGTAGAAAGGGATGGTTTTAAGAGCTCCAGTAGATTCTGTTTTAATTCTCTCCAAGATCGTAATGTTTCTTTGTTGTTATCATACCAATTAAAGGCTGCTCCTCCGAACTTAATTGTAGCAGTTGAATGAAGTAGCGATTCATTCAGTTCAGTGAATACCCCGATGTGCTCTACTGCATCGATATATTGGGTAACTTTTCGTTGACGATCACCTGTAAATTTTGATAATTCTTTCAGAGCAGTACTTTGAATGAGGTTTGCAAAAGAATTTCCTTCCATTTGTGGTGATGAAGTCGTACTTAAAGTAGTTGGATTAATCGAATCAACGTGAGGTAGGATACACCCGTATGTGATTATATCGTGTGATAGTAAGTCACAACGGTTGGTGTTACTTCACTAATTTCTATTGTGACGATGGGAAGTCGTTTTTGAAGAAATGATTAAATTAAAAATGTTAAAACGATGAACGATTGTGCGAAAAAGTATTAGATGAAACGAACTGATCAATCGCGTGAAATAGAATCAAGAGAGGGCGGGTCACGGCACCAAATATTAGAGTATCCCTGTTCTCTTCTCGATGTCATTTTTATTAAGAATCCTTCCTTTTTAAGCGAGAGAAGAGAGGATATATATATATAAGAAAAATAAAGCATCAAGGAATGCGAGTTGAATAAACAAATAAGGACAACAGCGCAATGACTCAAGGAATAATAACGTATGACTGTAACAGGCGGTTTCTTTAATTTCGTCGACTTTCATTGTTTAAAAATCAAAGTTAAAGTGTTTAAAGCCATGTGTCATCGCTCTTTATGAGTAGATTGAGGATTATCATACACGATTCTATTAAGGTATAAAAATTTCGTTCACATTAATTAAAGTTATAGTTTTAACGTGTACTACTTTAACTTTAACATTTAAAGTTTAAAGTACTCCTTTAAAACCATAATACTTTTTCAAACTATTTTTATTGTTATAAAGTATCATCTCTCGTGTAGAATTGTCTTTTCGTGAGCTTTGTATAAGTTGATGATATAAATAACGAAAATTAGCCGGATTTATATTTACTGGTGTCGAACTTTGTATGGAAGGCTCTGCAAAGTGTGAATGTGAACTGAGATTTATAAGTGTATTTGAACTCCGAATGTGCAAATAATCATAACCATTGTATGAGCAGGTCCGAATGTCGGAAAACTCCTACAGTTTCCTATGAGTTTTTTCTCGGAAGTATCACCGATCGGAATATGGATGAATCCTTGTTGCGGATACTGCCGGAATTCCCTAGGAAACTAGTGTGGTATCCGATGCGGATTTCATGGGAATTTGGGTCCATCCGTGCTTTGGATACAGTCGAAATTTCTCGGTAATTGGATTGTCTGATTTTGAAACTTCACTATAATAGGATTCTGTATTCAGGAACTTATTGGAATCAGACCCTGAGGATCCAACATCAATTTCTGAATCCTGAATCCGATAGAAACTGTGTTAAATCCTTGTAAAATCCGATAGGAGTTCGTTGGATTTTTGGTCGGATCGGATAGGTTTCAATCGGTTCCTGTGCTGGGATTGAACGACCTGAGCCCTGTCGATTTCCATTAATATGTGTTCTAAACAAGATCATAATCGGTTGATAAATTTTCAGAGTGAAATTATTCATCCAGATGACGGCAACATTCTGACGATCTCATCAAAAATTATTTATATGCCACAATGCATTTAAATCATTCTAGACATGTTCATGACAAAGAAATATTTGTGTTACAGTAAATAATTCAACACTCGTATATGAAAAGTGCGTTGAAAAAGAATCTGCACTTCTCCAAAAACATTCAAATGAAGGAACATAGTCGAGCAAATATCGCATTCATCAAGATATAAACTATGCGATCATTTTGGTAAATATTATGACCAATGTGATGTATAGATACTGTAAAAACGTGTCCAAACAGTTTCCTTATTTCTTCTTGTACGAATTAATGATGATATTGTAAACAACTTCTGTATCAATTTAGGACTACAGTATTAGGAAAAACGAAACTGCATTTTTTTATCGCAAGATATGTTCAGAGGTATCACTTGCAATTCTACTGAAGAATCCAATAGAAGAGTGTTATACTTGAAAAGTAATATTATACAATTTTTTTAAAATAAACAGGCGAGTTTATTCATCAGCAAAAAGCAGTGTAGCAGAAATTTTTTGCAGAGAATATAGTAGAGAGAAGAAATGATCTTTTCTTTTATAATCAACGGCATTTACGACTAACTTAGATGTTTCACACGAGCTTCTATTATGATTTTTTGAACGTAGGATCTATAACTTTTATATTTGTGCAGAAATACGTGTGTGATATTGAAATTTTCTTTATCAATGGACTGTTGCTCGAGTACCATTAAGAACTTTTTTCTTTTAATTGTTTTATGTGACATTGTTTCTTAGGGATTTCAGAAAATACAGTGATTTAGCAATTAAAATGAGTTCATCGTTAGACAATAGCAGTATAGCTATTTCAGCCCATATACTTAATTGGGAACTAAGCAAGAAACTAACATTTTGGTCATTGATTATTTTGATTTTTCCATCAATTATTGGTTCATTTCTTGTATTCTATGGTGTTATACGAAAGAAAGAAATACGACATCGAATAAAAAATCAACTGGTTCTATTGATTTGTGTGGTTCATTTCGTTCAAGTAAATTATTTCATTGATGATAAACGTGCATAAATGTCTCGTTACTTTAGGCCGTATTTGAGTTACCATTCACAATCATATACCTTTACCATGGAACAGTCCCGGTAGCTTCAAATGTATTTTGTGACTATTGGCAAATTCTTATTACCACTCTTAACATGGCAACACTTGAACTCAATGCTCATTTATCAATTGAACGCTATTTGCTTATATTTCATAATGCATTTATACAGAGGTAAGTTGAGAAATTTGTCTAAACGTATATACCCATTTATCTTGGTATTGATAGATATAGCATTAGTTTACATTACGTACCAGCATTTTTTCTCATTATCGTTGCACTATTGTTTACATTTATATGTATCGTTTCCTATCCTTGCAAAAGTACGTATGATTACAATGCGGTAGTTTGCGGTGTTGCATGTTTCACATTGAATCCAATACTGGGCCCAATAGGTTGGCTTATTTTTTACCTTGTACCGTTGGTCATTATTGTTGTTTCAAATTTATTTCTTATCATACAAGTAACTCTACAAAAACGTCGAATGCTACAAACAAATGTCTGGAAAAAGAATTTAGGCATGACTTTACAACTGTTCGCAGTCACAGGAGTATTATATGTTTCCTGGTTACCTATAATTCTTACCAGTGTGATTAACATAATACATTTGACACCAGTTCTATTCGAGCTCCAAGCCAATTGGTTATTGCTTGGTTTAATCTATCTTGCTGTCCTATCGTCTCCATTGACGGCTACAGTTGCAATTCCTGAACTGAAAACAGAGATGTATACAATGATTCGCGGATGGCGCCGTAATATTACGCATGATCGAATCGGCCCAGTCACTATGACAGCTCAGACGGTCACCAACGGTACACAACAAATGTAAACAGTCATTCTCATCAATATTTAGAAGTTTTTCTTTTCAAATTCTGAATCTAACTTAAATCCTTTATGTCTTACTTTGTTACTCGCTTAAGTGAAAGATCGTATCAATATTGTTCATGTTCTGTTTTCGATATCGACTAAAAATGATGTTGCCTTATGTATCTGAATGTCGCTTATTACCATAAATCGTTAATATCACTTTCGCTACTGTTGCGTTCACACATCACTTATTCTTTTTCACAAAATATACAAAAAATATAGCATCCGTGTACCGCGAAGGTAGAACATCAGCATGGGGGTGTGAGTGTCTGTGCATCAAGGACAGAACAACACTCACACCCTCGTTTCATCATTTATTCTTTCTGATATATGTTCTCTATCATGTATTTGATTTAATCAATTCAAGTAATTGATTCATGTCATTCTTCAAACTTTTTAATATTGATTCTCTTTCAGTTGAATCACTTGGTAATACATCTTCGTAAATCTTTAAAGCTTGTTGGCAAAACTCGAGAGCATCTTGCCAAAGCTGTTTCTCAACGCATTTTGTTGCCATTGCTCTAAAACAATGAGCTATGTTTTGATTGCTTGTCAATACTTCTGGATGTCTTTCAGTAAAGTGTTCTCTGTAAATTTCAAGTGCTCGCATATAAAGACCAAGAGCAACGTCAAACTGATCTGCCTCTACAAGAATATTAGCAATATCTTTGTGATCTTTCGAATAAATTTGTTCGAGAGTGTGGATGTGGGTGTATATATATATATATATACGTACAACCTAATCGAGCAACAAAGGTGCCTAAATTAAGAATTTGATCATTTTGACTTAATAATTGTTGTTTTTGATGAATTTCATGCAGTGTTAATCCTTTAATAAACCAAAATGAATGATCTTTTAATTGTGAATTCGATGCACCAAATAAATGACAATGATTTCCACCGAAATCAATACCCTAGTGAAACATATTTTTAAAGGAGTCTATCAGATGATTATTATCATCATTGAAATAAATATTGAGTGGATCAGGTTTTAAATAAACAAGACAAAAATCATTAATACCATTAAATAACGAATAACTCATAGCACGATGCCCTTTCGTTTTTACTTTTGGCATTATTAAAAACCGTGTTGGTATTATATGAATGACACATGTATTGGATATTTTTTTATCATTGATGGCTTTAATAGGTTTTCAATTAAACATGCCTATTAAATTTAACCAATGACATTTTTTAAGTTCATGATAAGCTTTTAATGATAATTGATTAAAATAATTTTCATCCTGTTCTAGCTAATTTTATCATTAAGTTAGTAATGTCATTGAAGATAATCGAGAAATGAATCGGCAGTGGTTTTTGGTGATAAACATATTCAAAAGTCTGTACACTGATTTAATGATTGAACCATTGAATTATTACCATACATTCTAAATAATAAAATCTAGAAACTTGGTAATAAACTTATCAATGATTTACGTTTCGTATGTCTTGTTGATTGTTATTAAATAATAACTGAAACTAATTTCAGAAAAATCTTCACCATCAATAACAAGAGTATCCTTGTGTAGATATTTGAATGGTATAGATAAACGTATTGAAGAATTTTCATTTCCAGATTCGATGACGAATGTTTGTTTATTGTGAATTTCTATTTTCCAATGATTTCTTTCATTGATGAGCGGGGTATGGTGAACAAGAGATTTTCTAATGGAAAACAAGGAACCAAAATAGATGTGATCGATAGTATGAAAATTTTTATCAGATGTGGATAAAAAATGATTCGATGAATTTAAATGTTCCATCGAAAACCATATTTGTGCATGGTGACCAAGATAATCAGCCAGAATACAACGTATTTGTCGAGCTTTTAAAAATGAATCTGCATAAGAAAATTGATTATTAGTTTTATTTGATAATGTACCAATACCCACCGTTGATTAGATTGTATGAATAAGATCCGGTGAAATATTATGAAATGTACAATGAACAGTACATCTAAAGAAAGTCAAATTTATTTAGATAGAATTAATATAGAAATTCTTACTCTGTCACGATTTTGTTGTGCTGTTTAACGCCCTTCTTCGTTTTCTACATCTGTTGCACATTGTGTAAGACAGATCCTTATTTTTTTTAAATTCCGTCATATTGTATCGATTTTTTTCTTCGAATGAGCTATGCTGGTGACAACTAGCGATATCTATTCTTTAATCGAATCAGTCAATTTTCTCATTGGTTTTACACATGGCAAATGTTCAGAAGAAACAACATACCATACGAGTTCATATTCACAACGAATTCAACTCTGGTTCTGATTTTGAATCAACCAATATGTTCAAAGCACAAGAAGGTCCTGCATGCAATAAAACAAAATCTGTTACACTGTCAAATACAGATGAATGTGATATACCACCTGCTAAACGCCGCCGTTTACAAGTATGACTGTTCAAAATCATAAATTTTATTTCTTATTTTAATTTAGGGTACATTAACTAAAACATTAATAACAGAATATCAACGTCTAGCATGGGAAGCTTTAAAAGAAAATATTAAGGATAAAGTTAAAGAAGCCAATAGATCAAATTTATCAGCAATTAGTCGTGGACTATTTAAATGCAATATCATACGTGGTCGTGGCTTAGTTGCAAATGCTATTATTCGAGCACAACTTAGATTCCCATCGTCTACTCCTGTGTATGCTGCATTAGTCTGTAAAATTCATCGAAAATTGCCTATAATCGGTGAATTAATTGTCAAGCGTCTTATGTTTTCGTTTCGTCGAACACATCAACGTAATGATAAAATCCGTTGTTTGGCAATAATAAAATTTATTGCACATCTAATTAATAAAAATATGGTAAGCAGTTTTTAATAAATACAATAGCCTAATATTGTTTTTATTTTATTTAGTTACGTGAAACAGTTGCTTTGCAAATGCTTCTTTTTCTCCTGGAAAATTCAAATGATCATAATACAGAATTAGCTGTTCAATTATTAAAAGAGTGCGGTGAAAAGTTATTACACGCCAGTCGACAAGAACTAGATTTCGTATGTACAACATTAACAAATTTGCCTGATGAATCATCATTAAATAAACTTACACAAGATATTCATGAAATCATATTTGCTGCAGCAACAAAAGAACCAGTTGTAGAACGTGGTTTAAATTTAGTCGATAAAAATAGTCAATATGCACATGTACTGCAATTAGCCGATTCGTGTGATCCCGATGACATACTCGGTAAAACAGACATTAACTTCGATGAAATATTTCACACTTTTGTTTCAGATGTATTTAAACATGATGCAAAATATGTCATTAACGAACACGAATATAAACAAATGAGAAAAAGAATTCTTGATGAAAATACTACCGATGAAGATGAATCATGTTCAAATACATCAGATAGCGACGACGAAGAATCATGTTCAACTACGTCAGATAGTGATGAAGACGAATCAAGTTCAAATGTAACAGATAATGATGATGAAGACAATGGCAATGAAGAAAAACAAGAGCTGATCATTGTCGATCCAATTGAAACAGATTTAGTAACACTCCGTCACAAAATATGTTTAACAATTCAAGCCAGTATTGATGCTGAAGAATGTGCCCATAGACTACTTAAAATGGACTCATATAATAGGCTAAACGTATGTTTGTTAAGGATGAAAAAAATCGAACATTTTAATCTTGATGCATAGGAAGAACTATGTCAAATGATTGTTGATATTTGTGCGCAACAGCCTGCATATGAATGCTTTTTTGGTTTACTTGGAGAACGTATTTGTTTATTAGAAGATAAATATGTTTATTGGTTTAGGTGGAGTTTTCAACATCAATATGGTCAATATGCAATTGCTCGTCATATGGAAAATGTTAAATTAAGTAATGTGGCTAAATTTTTTGCACACTTACTTGTCACAGAATCCATTTCATGGAATGTATGTGTTCATTCGTGATATTAAATAAAGTTATTATGCTTTTATTTTCCTTTTAGGCATTCGCCTCTATTTATTTATCTAATAAAAATGCAATCTCATCTCATGTTTATTTGAGACATTTGTTTTTGGAATTATTTGAATTTTTTGGCTTTACCAAACTTAAGAATCATTTAACTGATCCGTAAGTTATTGAAAGGTTAAAAATAAAAAATTAATTTTCTTGCTTTTGATTTTAGAACATTGACAGATTACTTTAAAGGTCTTTTCCAACACAATAATCCAGAAGATGCTCGATTTTGCATCAATTTTTTCACATCAATTGGCCTTGGTAGAATAACGTAAATGTCGAATTTATTATCATTTAATATTCAATGTTTCTTTCTTGATTAGAGATGAATTACGCGAATTCATCATATCAAATCCAATACCGGCTCCACCTGCTCGAATCTCAGTATACAATGAAATCCTGCAAAATTTCTATGATCGTCATGGTCGTTAGAAAGAAGGTGAAAGAAAAAAACATAAACGTTATAGGGCTTAAATTAAACAAATATTTTTTTATTATTCTTTGATTGTATCATTTGTCCTTGTTATTACTTATCATATAAGTGAAATAAAATAATTTGAAATTCGTTTCAAAAAACTAAAGTATATGTTGCTCTCATATTGCCCGAAATATATTTCATATGCTATGAATCTTTGAAAGATATCTAGTAAGTCAATAATATACAACATGAACTATAAGTGCACTATAGGTAGATTTGAAGAGACAATTGTTGAATATGAAAGTGAGAAAGAATTAAAGTGTAATTAATAAAATTTCATCAAACATTATATTTACCATCATGAATAAGCGGATCGAAAACATCAAAAAATGATTTGTCACCCAGAGTTTGAGTTTTCAAAATTGCAATTTTGTATGGATCGAATGAGTATTCAATTTTTATGTGTGAAATCATATCTTTGACTATTTTGGACTTCTTTTCAATGTCGAATGATGGGTAGAAGAAAGTACCTATTGAAATCCCATTCTCACAAGAAAACCTAATTTACTGAAACAAGACTTTATATTTGTAAAATTTAAATTAGATATTCGTGATCAGCGTAACATTTTGCATCGAATGGTATACTTATTTCAAGAAAAAGAGACAAATATGTTTTGACCAATCCATGAGGGGGGGGGGCTCAGGTCCGAAAAATCGATTAGACGAATTGCTCAAAATTTTGTCACAAAAAATGTTCTCCGTGGTCGACTTGCTATGAAAAAGTGGTTTTTAACGAAAAATATTGGGGGATGAAAAATGGCTTTACCGCCACTTGTCCTTTCTTGAAAATTTTCATCGTTACTTCAAGAAGAGAAAAAATAACTCCACAATATGCAACCGTTTGTCCTGCGTGTAATTCTTATGGGATGCAATGCTTTATCCAACATGCATACAGTAGCGCATGCTCTCAGCGAAATACATACAGAACGAAGAAATAAATACATACAGGTACTGTTTTTTTCGTTTTTTCAATTCTTACCGAGAAAAACATGTCTCGATTGATGAAGGAAGTAGAACAAGTTTGAGTTTCATTCGGGAAAAATGGCAAGTAAAATCAGCGCATCTAACTCTCGGGATCTTCAACCAGTAGAAACATTAAAAAATAAAGAAAATACTCGACTCATTTGGCTTGATGGCAATATTGATGATTCTAAAGATTCGATGCATACGCAAAATCTTTTACTTGAATTCAATCCTGCTGCTCAATTCTATACGGATAGTACACGATGTGTTGATTTTGTTAAGTCAATACAAGGCGAACAAATTCTACTTATAATCTCTGGAGCATTGGCTCGTGACGTTCTTCCACAAATTAGTAGACTTCGAAGTGTCATCGCTGTTTTTATCTTCTGCAGAAACCGTGAATTTCACGTAAAACTTATGTCTGAATATTCAAAGATAGTGGATATCTTCATCGTTCAAGGCGAGCTACTACGGTTACTTCGCGACACAATGACAATTGTAGAGAAACAGGCTTTCACGTTCAGTCTCTTTGATCAAACACAGAAATCCACAAGAGATCTATCTAAAGATTCAGCTTCCTTCCTGTGGAATCAACTTCTACTTTATGTTTTAAAAAAGATGCCTCAAGATGATCAAGCCAAGAATGAAATGTTGACAACATGCTCAAATTACTACGCAATGAATAAGAAAGAGTTGAACAAAATCGAACAATTTCGTAAGTCCTATTCTCGTGAACAAGCAATAAAATGGTACACAGATGAATGCTTTCTCTACAAGCTACTTAACAATGCCATACGTACGGAAGACATTGATTTACTTTATGCATTTCGCTTCTATATAATCGATCTATGTCATGCATTGGAAAAAGAAAGCGAGCAACTGAAGACGGGTGGTGTGTTGAAACTTTATAGAGGTCAACACATTCCGAACGGAGAATTCGAGAAATTACGCAAGGCTACTGGGACTCTCATTTCTACCAATGGATTTTTGTCAACGTCAAGAAGTATTGATGTAGCATTGGGTTTCATTCGTCAACTGCCAGTAAATGACGATATGAAACTTTGCATCTTCGAAATCAACGCTGACCCGAATGTAACTGCAGTCGTGTTTGCAGACATTGATAAGTACAGTAAAATGCAGGGAGAACAAGAAGTACTCTTTGGGCTGAATTCTACATTTAAGATTGATCATGTAAAAATGGAGAAAAAACTAAATGTGTGGAAGATTGGTTTGAGCACAACGGCAGAAGGATCAACTCGTATTGAACAGTATATGAAACTGCAAGAAGATCAGTTGCAACTGATAAGTCCTTTAGTGTCCTTTGGATGTCTTTTACTTAATGAATTAGGTCAAATTGAGCGGGCAAAATGTTATTTTGGCAAACTACTGCACAGTCTACCATCAGACCATCCGGATATCGCGTCCATCCAAAACAATCTTGGTAATGTGCATCGACAAACAGGCGAATTGAATCTGGCGCTAAAATATTATGAAGACGCTTATCGAAAACGTCGATCGACATTGTCTGAAAACCATCCACTTATCGCTGGATCGTTACACAACATTGGACTGATTTACAAAGATAAGGGAGACTTTGATCGCGCACTTGACTATCTTCATCAAAGTTTGGCTATTGATGAGAAGAACTACCCTGGTGATCATTCCAGCAAGGCTATCACCCTTCAGAATATCGGTCTTGCATACCAATCAAAAGGAGATATTGATAGTGCACTAGCCTGGCTCAAGCGTGCTTTTCACATGTATACAAGAGTTTTACCAGCTCCACATCCGTATATCGCTAGTGCTCTAGGAAATCTTGGGTCAGTCTACGAAAAAAAAGGAGATCTGGATCGTGCTATCGACTTTTATCGTCAACGTTTGGAGATGGCAGAAGAATGTTTACCACCAGGTCATCCTGATCTCTCTTCATATCTGAACCGAGTAGCTCAAACTTACAAGAAGAAGAACGATAAGAAGACGTCATTAATGTTTTGTGAAAAACAATTAGCTTCACAGAAGACAATTCTAGGGGATAAGCATCCACGAATTGCTTCGACGCTCATGACAATAGGCGATATCTGTGAAGGTGAAGAGACACGTCGATACTATGAAGAGGCTTTATCAGTCCTCGAAAATTGTACTCCTTGTAGCGAATTAACACTCATTGATTGCCTCACAATGCTCGGTGCCATCGCTCTTGATGACGAAAGATTGGAAGACGGTATCGCTCATTGGAAATATGTTCTAGATGTTCGACGTCGAATTCATTCTTCTGATCACCCGGCGATTGCTGAGCAGCTACAACGTTTAGGAGAAGGATATTTTCAAACAGTGCATAACTATCCAGAAGCGTTTCGATATTTCTCGGAAAGTCTGACCATCTACCGAGCAAACTACGGGGATCAACACAAAGATGTCATTGAAGTGAAAGAATATCTCCGACAAGTGAAAGAAAAAATGGCCGACTCTTAATTCAACTTCTACTCTTGCCTATTCGAATACTTGATTAACTTGAGTTTTTCCTAATTTTGACAATTTACATAAAATACACCTCAAAAAGCAAATTGGGTGTGGGTGAGAAGTTACCTGAATATAACATTAACCCCTTCACTCGCCGCACCTCCACAACTACACCCTCTTGTGTTGAGTATTATTGCACGATATAAATCCGTGTTCAGACTAAATTTTCATGCGTTTCAACGTGCTGACGCTCGTTTAATAATTGTATATCGAGTAAAAAACACAAGAAATAGGACAACACCAATAAAAGCGATCAATAGAAAATAAGAAATAACTATTGACGCTAATGCACAATACACAACAGTTTTATGACACCAAATATCGGGATCTTCTAAAAGTTGTTCAAAATGCGGCGGATATCCTATAGTTAGAAACCAGTATTGACCAAAGAAAAACCAAATGACAAGAAATGATGTCATTAGACCATCAATAAATGCATGGCCATCATTATGATTCGATGATGTTTCTTCATCAGTTAGACGTTTCTGTTGTAAACGATATTTATGCCAAATACTCTGAAGAAGCTTTGTAGTCGATACGATACCAGCTACAAATAAATAAATTGGCAAATTTGTTTGACGTGGACAATCACCTAAATGGCTAACGCCTAAATAAAAATGCTTAATCAACACTGAATACGGAAAAAATGTCCATCATACCAATTCCCATCATTATAATTGGAAGAACAAGAATAACACACAGAAAACCTGTTGCTTCTTCTATAAAGGTGTATGAAAGAGAAAATATTTATTTATGATTGAAAATTACTTGTTTTCATAAGTACTAGAACAGTTTTTTTAGCAAATTCAAGTAGAGATTCTGATTCAGTATATTCTTCAATCAAACGTGATCTTAAACTCCAATAGAATGGCGTTTCTTTAGGAAAATCAATACTCCATCTTGAGCCATTCTACAGAAGTCAAACATAAAATTACCCAAACAAGAATAGAATTGTTTGCATACTTTTTTGCCCGCTGCATTTCTTGATGTTGCATCCCAATTAAATAGTGAGCCAAGTGATTGTCGATCTATTATACTTTCCATTCGATTACCAATAATAGAATGTGCCGATGATGTTCGCCTACGTTTACTAGCACAAGAATTTCTTGTCTTCATAAATTGCATTGTGCTACCATCGGATGTCGACGTCCGACTGCTTGGATAAGGTGTTGGCGGTGGAGATGGAATAGGTGACAGTAACATAATTCGATTCAATGACGCAGAAAACCGGTTAGACGATGACGATGATGATGACAACGGACATTGTGATGATCCTCGACACATTGTATTTCGACGATGGGAAAACGACGCAGCACGTCTTTGTAATTCTAATTGTGAACAAACAACACTTTCAAATGTTAAAGAATTTTTGCCGTTTCTCTGTAGTGCCGATAACATTTTATTCGCATGTTAGACATGCAGCATTATGAAAAAAACAATTGTTGTTAAATTAAAGAAAATCTGAAGAAGAAAAAAAAACAATGCGGCATCATCACACACGTAAATGAATGTTGAGGCCTCAAGTGTTCATTTATTTCAAGGGAAAATAAATTAGTTGCATTTCAATATTTTTCTATTTGAAACTTTCTTCTGAGTTTTTGCATACAAGAAAAAAAGATCAATATTCTTCTTATCTTTGTTCGAGACGCAATGCTTTATAGAAACTTAATAATGTTTTATATTGTTTCATGTCTTATTTCTTACTTCATTTCATTTTCTTTTCTTCTCCATTAACTCATTGAATTTGATAGATGATTCCTAATGATACGACTAGTAACAATTCTAATTTTTTCACTATTCATTCTATGACGCCATCATCGCGAACATTCGCTCTATTCTTTCTCTCAAGTTGCCGTCGCGTTTGACTTCTATGTATATCTCCTATGAAAATTTGATTACCAATGTACCATCGATCACAAATCGACATGCATCCTTTTCTTCCTATTTGTCCGATTGTAATATACACGCACGAAAGACGAGACGAAGAAACAGTAAATCATGACATCTTATCAGCTAGTATATATAGATACGATTTTTAATCGTAAGAATAATGTGATTTAAAGCAATGCATCTCTCTTGGGTGATGTGTCTATGCATGCTGACATGGCTAAGTGCGGTTCTATTTATATATTCTATTTCTTACTATTTTATATGTTTGGCTTAGGTCGATTCTCACTTGTTAAAGCTGATGATTATGATGTTCATGAAATGGGATATGACGACGAAACTACAACAATCCGAATGAGTAAGAAAATAGAATGTTTAACATTCGAATAGCTGAGAGGTGAAATTCCAGGTTCTCGACCGAAATTGAAAACAACAACACAACATGCGAAAACAACAGTTTATATTCATGTGGAACATGATGAAGATTATGCGGACGTGTCTCACGAGGAGAAAGAGGAGGAGGAGGATCACATCCATCATACAACATCTGCAATAACTAAATTATCATCAACTTCCACAATAACAGTCACTACACAGGTGATAACTGAACCACCTACAACAACAACTGCATCATCATCTTCTTCTACAACACGACCTACTACACATGCAATAACTAAATTATCATCTTCCACATTAGGAGTCACTACACAAACGATAACAAAAATACCAGTGACATATTCTACTTGGCACTTTACACGAATCTATAATATTGATCCAGACGAATTCGAAACTAGTACGCTAAGTCCTGAGCAAATCGCTGCTTATCGTGCTAAAATACGTAGGAAATAACTTTTAAAATCTATTCATTTCTAATCACATTCTTCTATTTTCTATTGAAGGTCGAGATCGGCTATTACTCAAAATCTTCGCTATTGGAGTTGTCGTCTTTATGCTAAGTTTATCAGTTGCATTCATAGCTATACATCTGGTACGAAGAAAAAATCGCTATAATGGATATCGCACACCAGCTAATATTCCGTCCAGTGGACATTCAACAACTTTTACCAATACTTCATCATAAACAGGATTAACAAAAGAAAACAATTGCCTTTCTTTCAGCATGGATGTGAAACAATACTACTCACGCAAAATAAAAATTTTATAAAAAAAAAAGAAAAAAAGAAGAACATTTCCAGGGTAATCGCACGTCAAATATCTTAACATAATCAAAGAAAACAAAAATTAATAGCATCTTTCTATTCAGAGAAGAAAAAAGGCACGAAGTAAAAACATTCTCTCGAGCAGAGTCGTCTTAATGCCAACGTCGTGATCGTTTATATTCTTTTCGATTAAAACAAGAACATTTAATTAGTTTCTTTTGTTGATTCTATTCAATAGCAATATTCTTTGTAATTCAGCGACATATAAATAGAAGTTCTTGGTTTTTGCTCTATTCAAAATTCAATTTTATACCGGAAGAAAGAAGTGTGAAAAAGCCGGATATGACTTTTATGAAAATAGAGAGAAGGAAAGGGCGCCTATTAAATTTTTCTACTTATTTTTATACACAAGTGAGTTGATTAAAGCAAAATCAAAAGAAAACAGCAGCAAGTTCATGGACGAATTTCAGAAATTTCCTGAACCGGATAATCCTACTAATGCATTTTCATCGCCTGCACATATCGAATCTGAAGCACCGGATTCGAAGAGTACACTTGAAAAACTTCAATCAATAGAAGACGATCTCAATACGATAAAAAACATATCTCATCACACAATCGAGAGTAATCACGATGCACAAGAGCATACTTTTCAGAATGATATCAATCAGGAAAACAGCTTTTCCATCGATGAATTAATAATATCTTTCGATGATAACAATGAAATAATGAATAAAAAATTAAAATATCTAGAGCTCGAATGCGAAAGAGCTCAACAAATAACGACACATTTTCAAAAGTAAATCAATCTCTAAAACCTCGCAGTTAATTTCTCTTTTCTAGTCAATTAATTTCTCTGAAAAGTGTCGGTGAAAAATTAGGTCGATTTTGTCATAGCTGTCGATCTCTAATTGTTTCTGCTATGAATATTCGTCAAAATACAAGCATGTTCACTTGCCACGAATTTGAAATGTTGACATTGTATGCGCCGGATTCAAATTCTATCACATCCGATATTACTGACGCACTACTTGACAGACGATCCGATGAAAATCTCGTAGATAATTATAAGCATCGACTAGAATTTTCTCGTTCAATAATGAATCTGTTTAAACAAGCCACTAAACTTCGACTGAAAATCTCGACGTTAAATGATATTTTAATGAAATCCGTTCTATCGAAAAATGAATGCTTTAATGAAATCGAACAAACGCTGCGTTTACCATCGAATATATTTAATAAAAATCCTCTATACGAACTATTTCTCTATGAAATCACAACGGCAACTGTCAAACAAGATGTTTATATTCGTTGTCTCCGTGGAGAATTAACGCACAATGACATACACATTAGTTGTACCGAAAATTCAAAACATTTACTATCGCAAATGGATTATAACGCATGTGAAAAATATTCGCACATATTCGATATTGAATTCAAACGAGCGATTACGTCTATTGATCAATTAACTATAGCATTACCTTGCTGTGCCTTACCTGATACACTGCTGCAATCGCAACAAAAAATTTACGTTCGATGCAGTAAAAAAAGATTTTCTATGGAAATAAAATCAAGCTCACTTAGCTATATTTAGAGCGCATCATGGATCCATTAATTCATATTCCGGCAAACATAGAAACATACAATGATGTTTCCTATGCTGTCTTTCGTATCTCACAATCGTTGGGAGCGATTTCTGTCGAAGCTGCTCTTTTCTATCCATTTGAAGTGTTACACGTATCGCCTGACAGTAAGATTTTCTTTTGATTTGTTATCTCTCGAACATGAGCAGTCACACAAGAAGCTTGCCTGATAGTCTTTTTCGCACCGGGGAATATTAAGATTTATCCAGGGAAGACAGCCATTTTTATATGTTTGAAGATTTAAAATGGGTATGTTCAGTTAGCGGACAATATCCCTTTGGCAACTTCCGATCTGGTATCCATATGGGATTAATAAGTAATTGACACCGGTAGACTTGTTTTGCTAAAAAAAAGAAAAACTTGCGACTCCATCAGATCTTTCCATATTTGAAAAGTAATAAAACGAAATGAATATATAGAATAAAAACCAGATGGCAACATCGACGTGTCACTCATTGCGGTTGAATCGATATGCATAAGTGACAGTCGTCATCTGAATGAAAGCTCACTCAACAGAACTGGGGTTAAAAAGAATTTTTAATAATATTTTTTCTATGCAGCTAGTGAATGATTTTTCTCCAAAGTGTCAAGTAAATTATAAATTTGACGCCGTCAATTGATTTTTATGCAAAAAACAATAGTAGTTTTGAATAACTGATAGATCGTTACCATCTGACATTCTCTATACGGCACTTTCAAATGTTTATATTCATCAAAAATGTAATAGGTTCATCTTCTGTCTATACAAGTGAATATTCATCGATATTTCATATTGAAACGCCTAAAAATTATTTCACTCGTCCTCCACGAATTCGTATAATACCATTCAACAATGAACTAATTCGATGTATGACTGGTATGAGTAGACATTCTTGTTTCGACTTTTATATTTTCGTCGGTCTTCGTAGCTCTAAAAAGTGAAGATCAACTGTTGGCTTCATCGGATTTAATAGAATTTGAATGGTATAAAGAATCGAAAACCGAAGGCATCATAACTATGACAGTTCAATTGACTCGATATTTTAATGTATTCAATGAAACAGATGATGACCTACAGAAACGTCGCCGAAAAGCTCAACGTATTTAAAAAAAGATTTTCATGAAAAACATTTTTAAAAATTTTCTTTTTGTAGAAAAAATTCTTGTACAGCGTAGAAAATTTGAACAAGAAAAATACGATGAAGCTGGCGGCTCATTAAATGCAACCCCAACATCAACGAATCGATTGAATTCACCGTCGGTGATGTCCCAATTGCCAAGTATAGCAGCTATTCTCGACCAAGTGAAGATAAATAATCAAGAAAATCTTATTAAAACAAAATTTACTATCAACCGGGAGGATATTTCTCAAGCGGGAACATCGAAAAAGTCACCATTCAATTGGAAACTTGATGGTTTTAAAAATGAAAATGCTCCTATTATATTACTTGGTTATAAAAATCGAAAATGGAAAAATTGTAATAATTTCGCCACTATTGCACGAATAGCTGATAAAGACATTTACATGATCAATTTAGTGAGAATCCTTTTGAAGTATTGCTTTGGAAATAAAATATTTTGATATAGACAGCACTACTCGATCGAATCATTCTTATTCGTTGTTGGCCGGAATCAACGAATGAAGGAAAATTTGATAAATTAGCCGAGAATCTTTGGTCATTAACGTCAGCAAAATTATTTTCTTGTGTTCTAGCTCGAGATCCATCATGGGCTAATTCGTTTGGTCATTATGCACTTATGATTGTACCGGTGCAAGATCAACGATTAGCCGAAGATATTCTTCGCAAACGAAATTATACCGAAAATATTTTTGACGAACATTTATTTAATGATAGTGAGAGCAAAACACAATTACAGAAAATAAATCAGCATCAATCACATCATTCATTATCAATACGGAATTCATTTCGGAGCAACGCAAAATATGTTCAATTTTGTCTATCCGAAGGAGCTTGTGTAAGATATCATAGGCTTAGAAAAGCGACTGTTTGGTGGAATACGTTTTAGTTTAGGTAAGAATTAGACCTATGGGTAATATTGACGTGCATGAAAAGGGTAAAATTGAATTCAATAGGATTTTCTTCTAACTCTTCAAACTCTATTTCCGTTTAGTCGATTTAAGTTTTCGACTACACGCTCGATATCCTGTTGTTGTTGAATTCGACATTTATCCAATTGATATTTATCGTCAAAAGACCGATGATGATTTTATTGGAACACTCAATCTCTACGAAATAAATGCACATAACACCACTGTTGGATCGACGAGTAGTACACTTGTGAGTGAAGCTATCAGAGAACGATTTGCACTTTGTTTTCTAAATAAAATTTAGACCGCGACGGTTGTCTCTTCGAGAACGTCATCGGATTTGAAAGATATTGACACAACGGATAGTATACCAAATAATTCATCGCCACGAGTGTCTTTCAGTGGGCCGGAAACAATAAGTAATACTGGAGGTACAAGTGGCCGATCGGGCTTTGAACGGTTAACAGCTCGGGATCTTAATGATGCAAATATTATATGTGCTATTCGTATTCGCTTACCGAAAGCTGCTTTTCAATTGCCATCTTCACAATCGCAAATGATTCCATTTAGTGTACCGAACTTTTTTACGGCAAGACAATCACCGTCAATTGCCTGGCTAAATATTTTTTGTTAAATTCTAGGGAATCATCGAAGCATTGACTGAGGATAAACGTGAACTGGCCGAAGCTCTGAATATACATCCGTCTTTGATGAATCCACTGTTCGCGTCTCGAACATCGCAACGGCAACCTTACTCTCAATCAACGACATCGTTATATGGAAATTCAAAAGTGAATTTATTGAAGGACAGTTCCGCGAAATTAGAACAGACAAAACTTGAAAATGAAACATTACTAAAATGGCTAAAACGGCAGAACGCATTCAAAACAAATCACACTATAGAAAATATTATTTCAGCTTTGATTCATATCGGCCGTGTTGATTTGGCGTATAGGTTTAAAATTGATGATTTAAGATATAAATGTCAAAATGTTTGATAGACACTATCAATTCTTTTCCTTTTTTTGTTTTCACAAAATATGCATTGCCGAGCATATGTCAATCAAAGTACATGTATATAAACAATCTACACGGAAAAACCTTGAGCTTCTTCATGCATCGAATAATAACCTTACTTAAATTGACAATTATATAACTAATAGCATCAATGTCTTTCCAAGTTTGTCGAGATAATAAAACTCGAAATCAAATGGTGGCGTGTTAACTTTTCAAACATATCGTGTGTTCTTGTTGCATTGATTTCTTTTTGATTCTCCTACGAGAATGAGTATAAAATTTATGATTTATAATGTACTGCACTCTATTGACTACCTGCATCTATTGGTACGCGTCATTTTTCATCTGATGAATCACCTGCATGCGCTAGCGCAAATCTTTCTTCCATTCATAAAAAATGAAATCGTTACTCTTCGTTTATTTGTTAATTCAAATTTTTGCAGTAGCTGCTCAACCATCCGAAGGTAAATCAGATCTCATTTATTTTTCTCCTCTCAGTGAAGTCTTTTGTTAGATCCAGAAGATGCGAAAGAATTTATTCCAACAAACGAATGGCAAACGATTAGCGAAGGTATTTTTGTAGAATTAATAAATAACGATATGAATTTATTTTCTCTATTTTTTTAGGGCAACAAATTCCACCTGGTCTTCATATTCGATTGAATCTCGAAACTGGCCTTCGAGAAGCTAAACTTTTGGACAATAACGAACAAAAATCAACATCGAATGAAATCATCGCGGTTTCACCTGGTAGGTTAAGAAAACTGAATTAAATGAAAAACAAAATTCGATTTTTCTTAAGAAGCAGATCAAGAAGAAATCAGTCGAAAAAATCTTGAAAAAGCTTTTGCTAATCTTGATTTAAGCAAAGATGATGTTCAAAGTGATGAAGTAAGATTTCAGTTAGAACAAATATATCGTCTAAATACTGTTTTTAAAAATATATTTAGGCACACGAAGAAGACATCCGCCAGCGATTTCGTCCATATGACGAATTAAAAAAAGAGTTCGAATCGTTGAATATGAAAATTCAAACCGATCAAGAAATTTTAGTGACTCTGATCGACCAATTAAATAAAACCGATAATGATGATAATACAAAAACAATTCTAACCGATCTCGAATATTATCTACATCAAGTTCGCGTCACTTCCTTTTTTTTCTAGAATCTAATTCTTACTATTTCAGTATGATAATGCAATACTCTTCGCTGATATGAATGGCCTCGACTTACTCATCGCTTTACTCAATTCTACAAATACCGATGCTGAAATTCGAAATTTAGCCAGTCTTGCACTAGGCGCAGCTTTTCAAGGGTAAATCAAGTCCCCCACAGACGATAGAGTCGAACGCATGTTCTATTTTGTTTTCTTTACGATTTAGAAATCCTAAAGTTCAATTGAAAGCATTACAAAGCAACTGTATGCAACATCTTTTACATCTGTTAAATATAGAATCAGATGATAATATAATTCTCCGGCTTCTTTTTGCACTATCAACTTTATTGAGAAATTTTCCGGCAGCTCAAAAAACTTTCCTCGAACATAGTGGCGCAGAATTAATGATTAAAATGCTCGATCTAAACAATAAAATAGCTGTACGAGCTCTTACGCTTATGAATGATTTAATTACTGAAAAAGTAAGCTGCGAAAAATAACGGAGGGTTTCTATTTTCGAAAACTACTTTTGTCGTCTAGAACCATGCGATGGATATCAAAAAAGAAGCATATGAAAAGTAAGTAAGAATTCTCACTGTAATCTGATGAAGAACTGGTAGCTAATTGCGACGACATTCGTTAGAATGCCTGTGCTTTTATCCTGATGTATCTATGATTGAGCTATTAAAGCAAAGCTCACAGCTGCAGCTTGCCCTTTCCCATCAAGATAGTAAATAATCAGGATGTAACATTTCGCACAGAATAGTTTTTTCTCAAAACAGATTCTTGTACAAAAAACCAGCGTTACCATTCATTTAAACTCCAACAGACTTGTCGAATTCGCCCACAATACATCAGATGAAATAACAAATACTGATATTAATAACAATACATTTTGCTCTTTTATAAGCAGTATTTTATTGTATATATCATTCTAGCTTACATATACTCAATCAACTAGTTGATTACGGTTGGTGTGCTCGTATTTCCAGTCGATTGGCATTGTTGTTCGATACAGATAATTTCGATCATATTGACAAAACAATAAACGCCATGATACCATTGATTGATATTTGTCGCGCAGATTTCATTCACCTGATATCAACACTCGACAAATTCAATACGATTTATAAACACAACAATCTAAACGACTATGCGGATATTTTCAATAATATACAGATACTCTTAACGCAATTACGGCAAAGATCAACGGACGATTTGTAATCGTTTTCCTGCTGTGCATGATCTTTATTCTAGTCTTATTTGTTTTCTTTGATTCGTATCATAATGTTTTTTTTTGTTAAATAAAAACGAGACACAAACAATCGTATCTGATTTTTCCATAGGAAAATTTCATTGAGAACAAAACTGATATAGACTTGTTTCTCTTGTTGTTCTTCATGTAAACGCATATATAAATAATTAGCCTTGGATTAAACTTCTGCCAGAATAAAGATACAAATACAACGAGAAAAGAAAGTCGTCCTACTAACTACATTGTATATTTTTTTTGAGATATCTGTCGTTCTTCTTTTTTTTGCTTCTCAGTTTAAAGACCAATAACATTCTAGCAAGTTGTATGTCTAGAATAATAACCATAGGAAAAAGAAAAATTCTTTTCTCATTCGTACCAGATTAGGTCTCGCTCGTTGTTTGCTTGTGTGTATATGCCAGGGAGCGAGAGAAGAAATATGAGATCGTTTTAGTGTACACCACGGCCGTGCTACTTGCCGGAAAAGAAATATATATATATATGTACTGTACGGTGCGTGTACATGCTAAACGTTAACTAAGCGAGAGAGAGAGGCGAAAGAAGAAAAAAAACTGCACTAATATCAGTAGCGGTTATCCGGCTTTTCTCTCTCTCTCTCTCTCTCTTCTACTCGTCATCGTCCTACGTTTGTGTAATATAGCACCAAAATAGGCAATTCTCGTTGTAGCAGCACCGTCAACAACAAAAACATTACCAAGTAGAGAGAAAGGAAGATAAAATCGGGTGCTCTTTTGCTTGCAATCATCTATTGTGGTAAACTACTTGTGCATACGATACACACGATCCTTCTCGTACACGCAGCTAAACTCAACAATGACAGACGTAAGTTGTGTCGTTTTAAAAATAATACTGAACTGAAAATGAAGGTGCCAGTGTCTAAACGATAAAGTATTTCGATAATAATTAACTTCACAAAAAATATAAAGGCTTTGGGTTAGCAGAGAATAAATTTGTCCTTCACGAGAATAGTAAAACAAAATGTATATTTTTATTTAATAGAAAAAAATGAAGAAGAAGGCTCAACGTGCCACAAGTAACGTTTTCTCCATGTTTGATCAAAAACAAGTGCAAGAATTCAAAGAAGTATTTATTCAAAATTTGTTTGTTTTTTCAATAGAAATAATTTATGTTATTCTGGTGTGCTAGGCATTTAATCTCATGGATCAAGATCGCGACGGCACAGTTAGTATGGACGACTTGAAAGAAGTCTATGCTTCACTCGGTAAAGCACCAAAAGATGCCGAATTAAAAGCTATGCTTGATGAAGCTCAAGGTCCAGTTAACTTTACGACAATTTTGAGTTTATTTGGAGACCGATTAAACGGTACAGATGAAGAAAATGTTATATTAAATGCATGGAAAAACTTCGATAAGGAAGGAACTGGATTCATAAATCAAAAAAAGTCAGAAGAAAAACTAAAATATCTATGATTACTATTTGTTGTTGTTGTTTTATATTATAGTTTACGAGAAGTTCTTACATGTGAAGGTCGTCCTGATGATCGTAAGTACTTGAGAGAAAAAAGATAATATTTTTTAATAAATACTAACTGTTTATTTTGTTTTTCTTTTAAAGGATTGACCGATATGGAGGTATGAATTTATTTTTCTTGTTAATTTAAGTAAATATGTTTGTCTCTTTTTGTTTCTCTTTCTCAATTTTAGTTCAGTCAAATGCTTGATGGCGCCCCAATAGATCCAAAGGGAAATCTTGACTATGCTGCATTTACTCGACAAATCAAACGTGGCAAAGAAGACGAATAAACATCGAATAAATCAAATGCATTTTAGACTTATTTTTACTTTACCCTTATCTTATATTACCTTTTTTTTTAAATTTCACTTGTTCAAACATCAATATTAATGAAATAAATGTGAGATCAGACTTGAACTTATACTATTAACAAAAGAGAGAAAAATGAAGAAAAGATTTTCAAGTACCGATGCTGTAATAAACAACAATAGCAGCCAAGTGTTCGATTGCTACATCTTATTACATTTCTTTTTTTTTCCATGTAATAAGAAGCAGTATTATGGTATCTGAGATGTCGAAAAAGCGAAAGTCAATCTTCTGAAATCGGATATGTTTCATTCTACGATGTAAGTAGAAACAGGAGATTTTTTTCTACGCGCTAATTTAAAATACCTTCTATCGCGATAGAAATAAATAGACTTGATCAAATATTTTTCATTTTTCATTTTCATCTCCACGGCCTTTGCCTTTATTCGGTCGGACAATAGCAAAAGAATTTAGTTTGAACCGTGCTACAATAGATTTTTTACTCCGAAGTATTTTGTTGTAGTTTATTTAAGCATAATCTTGTCGTTTTTTTCCCCTTCGTATATCACTTATGAGATTTTAGTGCTTATTGTTGATTTGACCTGTTTTTTCTTCTGTATTTGCAATAGGAATATTTATACTTATCAGCGAGGATAAGGGTTTATTTGAAAAGTGTTTTTATTTTTTCATCTCCGATTAATCAATAGCGTATGTACAATCGGATAGATTTGTCAGATTTCATTTTTTTTCTTTTTATTAACTAAACTTCGTCGCAAAAGTTATTTTTAAAAGCATCTCGTCATACAATATTGTTTTTGTTTGATTTTGCCTGAAGTTCTTTAAACAAACAATGCGATTGAAATAAACCGAAATTTGTTTACCAGATGGACGTCAGAAAAAAAATTTATAAAAGTACAGTGGTTAAATAACAATTCCTAACAGATCGAAATTTTAACGTTTGGATTCAGTTGCGACGGTGATGACATGAACGATGGAAGTCTTTTAACTGATTAATTGCTTTTGAGTTAGAGCTTAATGCATTATGCCGAGTCAAACTAGTGATGAGAATATCCATAAAAGAATTCCTGCATTAGCTAATTGCTTTATGTGTGCTACACTTCTATGGCGTGTTTTAAATCAATGTCGTGATCTCTCTTTTGAGTTTCGATTAATAACTTAGCATAGAAAAACAATTTTAATGGAATTTTTATTTTTAGATGAGGTATGTTCAGATTTCCGAAAAAGGAAATTACAGAAATTCCCGAAGCTTCCATCAACTCGATTACTACGTAGCAAAGCAAATGAAAATTTTTTGAAAATATTTGAAAGTTTAGAAATTTCGGAATCTTCTGTAATTTCGGAAATTTCGCTTTGTACAGAATTTTGGAAATTTCAGAAATTTCGGAAATTGTATAATTTTGGGAAGTACCAAACAATTTAGAACACAAGTACTTGAAATTTCCAAAACTTCCAAAATTTCCTTTTTTGGAAGTCTGAACACTGCTGAAATATATCGTCAGACTGTAGAAACATTTTGTTTTTTGGAGTATTCATAGTGCATAGAATTTTCATTTTTATCGCTTGAAGGAATTTCCTGGTCAATAGTAGCAAGTGAAAATTTTTAACTTTTATTTTTTCTCGTTTGCAGCCATATCTAAGTTCCACACCGAGACATAGACATAGACATAGACATACATATATATATATATATATCAAATAATAATATAAGAGTGAACAGTAAGAGTATTCTCTATTAAAATAACCTATTTGTCTTTTATATAAAGCCTTCAATCATAAAGGAGTCAATTATATAATCAACAACGTGATAAAAAGTTACTAATTTTTTAACATCAATGCCAATCTCAAGTGGTTTCACTCAAGATAGAAGATATTTACGAGCGCGAAATCGTACTGTACGGCCGCAAATCGTTGCACGAGCAGCTCAAGTAAGTTTCATTTAGTTTTAACTTTTTATTCTTGCTTGAACACATTAATACTTTTCATGGCATACCTTTTTATTCATTGATTTAAAAAAAGAATAAGAAAAAAATCTGAATGAGAAGAACGCAAATGTTTTTTTTTCTTCTTTTGTCATAACTAAGAGCAACCGTCAAATAGTTACGATGAGTGATTTTGAAATGAGACATTAAAAAAGAAGAAAATTAACCGAACAGCAGTTAGTCGGAATATTTTATTACATCGAAAAAAAAAGGAGAGGAAAAAAGGGAAAAACGAAAGAAAAACTTTATATGTCACAAAGTTATCACAAGCAGTTTCAAGAGAACCGACGAAACAATGATCAGAATGGTTTATTCTCAAATTCAAAAGCAACAGCAGGCAGCAAATTACCACCACAACGATCAACAGCGTCTGTCAAACAAGCGCCACGATCAGATACATTTACGTTGCCGGCAATACGCAATGGAACGAATTCTAAAGCGCCGAAAACCAATCAGATACAAAATGGTGCTCGACGAGAAATACCAAAAAAGTCTACAATCGTAAAACGAACGCCACCTGCTCAACAAAAACGTACTGAAGACATGCATCAAAATGTTGGCACTAGACCGGCCATGAGACAAACTAATCCAATGATAGAACGAGGAAATGTCGAACGAAAACCAGTACGCTTTCCTAATACTCATAATAATGCTTATTCTGCTCCTCCCACTTCTCTACCTGTGTATTATCAGAGACCGCCGCCCGTTGATGATCCTCAACCTCGAGATGTCTATGACAGACCACGACGAATGCGTGTATCTAATGATGACTATGTAGTGCATCGTCGAACCGAATCACCTGCTTATGCTTATGACGACTATCATCCGGTGAGTGATATACCAACAATTTCCTATTTTACTTCGTTTCCACCCATTAATCAGCCAAAACATCAGACATCTCCTACTGTCATTATTCGTCCGAAAGAAAATCATCGTGCCCATACTTCTACAAAGATTCCAACTGTATCCATCGCTCCTCCTGCACCCTTTATGTTTTTCCCTCAAACAGCGGGTCCCTCATATCCTCCTAATTCTACTATGTTTTTACCAAATTCAAATGTTTCTCCATACTCCCATATATCTCCTATGATTTTACCTATGACTACAGTTCCTAATCAGCCTCCTGGGCAGCATTTTTTTCTTCAGCCTTCGTCAAATCCTAACTATTTTACGCAACCCTACTTTTATCCTATGCCTCAAGCTAATAATAATAATAATCCTTCGACATCAGCGCCACCATTACCGTCTCAGCCTATTATAAGTCAATCGTCATCTGCACCGGCACAAATAAAAACCGAGGAAAAAAATACGACATTTATCGTTCGTCCAGATACAACGAACAAGAAAAATGTAATCATACAAGTGAAAATGACAGACGAGGTTTGCTTCTTTTCTTGCTATTGTAAAGAAATTACCATTTAAACTTTCGCAGTTCTTCACTTGTCATTTTTCTTCGATTGATTTCGTTTCATTATTACTCAATTTAGGATGGCTCACTCGGTAAACGACCACAACGAGTAAGACGTGTTGTACATGATCCTCCATATTATGACGCTGACGATCGATATTATAATGAACCTGAACCAGCACATGTTGTCTATGAACAACCAAGACGTCGAAGAACAGTTCTTCGAAGGCCTCCACCGCCTCCGACCGAATATGTTTATGTTGATGAATCCCCATCACCTGTAGTTCGTCGTCGTCCAGCTCGTTCAGACATTGTTTATGTTGACGATGATCGTCGTTCAGAATATGAAGACGAAGTCATCTATGTTGATGAAGATGGCAATGAAGTCGACTACATCTACGACGATGAGCCTGTTTATCATCGACGAAATTACAAAAAATCTCGCCATCCACCATCAACAAAAATCGTTTATGAATAAATTTGAAAAGAAAAGAGAGAAATCTATTCTGTATGTTATAGTCTGTTTTTTTTATTATTATTATAAAAATCACAAAAAAGACAGCATCCTATAAACACTCTATCTCTATGTATTTCTATATTGTTACAAAATCAAGGTACTGAAGTCAGTGGCGGTTAATGTTGAGTATTAGGTTTTTGTTTTTGATAACATTTACAAATACAATACATAGTTAAAATTGATAATAGACCAAATAGAACCATTAAAATCGGTCTAAGATGTTTTTTCATTTTGTTTACGATTAATTGTTTAAAACATCCATTATTTAATTCCTTTTGATAAAAGTTCAACCAAAAATAATACATGGAATCAAAATATTTCGGCTCGTTATGAATATTGTTTAATTGAAAAACAACATAATTATGTTCATTTTTTGTATAAGGTCTCCATTGAACGTTCGACTGTATTGTTGATAATGAATCGTTATTTGGATTTCTATTTCAAAGAAGAATAATTAAGAATAGAACATAAAATAATTAACAAACCCGGTTTTAATAAAATTCGCCCAATAGCGAATTATTTGTCGACTAAAATTTTCTTCATCATTTGAATAATTATAATAGCTCATGTTAACATTTTTGTGTATTTGCCGGTAACCTCGTGCCAACGGAACGCCAAATACATAATCTAGTTGTTCAGAAAAAAAATGAATACTAAAACTGCTCGATTCCTGAACGCAGTTTGACTATAAAAAAAGAAGTTACCCTGAAAGATCGAACGACGAAGAAAATGACCGAATTTATTCTACCATCGGCTCTTCAAAGCGTAAAATGTTCCGAAAAGTCCGCTGCAATTCTCACGCAGTACTAATTCTTAGACTATGTTTTTGTAGGAAAACATTTCTCGCAAAGTTAAATTTCTCAAATTCGAACAAATGTCTTTCTCATCTATCTTAATATTCACCTAATTCAGCAAAATGTCCAATAACATGTGGCAATGTTTTCAAATGATCTCGAAATAAACTTCGCGCTTTAAATGTTGGCCTATGTGAATAAATATAGGCATAGTTCGATGATTTTTGATTTGGCAATTGTGCACGTAAATTCAAACAATGAACCATATGAAAGTTGAACATTAAATCAGAAACAAGATCAATATAAAGTTTCAATCGCATTGTTATATTATTTTCTCCTAGATAATACAGAACAAATTTTAAAACAAGCATTTCGTGGCGTTTTCTTTCTCTCGCAAGTTATCAATTACCTGGATATTCATATCGTTCTTTAATTTCATCAATATAGCATGTTGCATACTGAAAATTTGCGTTTATATAACGTTCAACATAGTTTAATTTTGAGAATTGTTCAAGAACAACATGTGGATCGTAGCTTAATGCTTGTTCAACATGCGTTTTTCTACTAGATTTAAGATCTTCATCGTCATCTTCGTCCTCATCATGATCAATATTTTCATCCTTAAGAATGTCTTGCGTTTTAATTATATCCGGTGGAATTATGGTTTCTGCTGTGCCCTTTCGAATGTGGCGTTTCTGTTTTGTTTGAGTTTGTTTGCCAATCGATGCCGATTGATTATTTAAATCACTATAAAAATGTCCAATATGATATTCAGCAAAATAAAGACCTTCATTCAATGTAACACCCGTTAGAAAGTCAATATTTTGATATGCATCACTTTGCAGAATATTTTCAATTGTATCGTTTAAAAAGTCATTATCGATAACTGGATATGGATTATCGTCGGCTAAGAAAAAAATTAGTTTAATAAAACAATTTCAAAAACAAATGTCCTACCAATGCTAAGACTCAGATGAAGACGGTAAAAATCTCCTTTATTGTCTTGTAACGATCTATGAATACATTGAAACCTTTCTGTTTCATTCAATCGTTGACAATTGAATTCGTGTGATAAACGCTCGATTAATTTCATCGGGTGATGATTTATACTCCAAGGAGCTAGGCCAGTTCCTGACTGAGATATAACACGTTTAATCATACCACGACAATATGGACTGGCTGAAAAATTTTTAAAACTGAAATATCTAACTAGAAAAGAAAATAGCCATGTCTATACCTGGAATTAACATAACATTCCCAGCGCCTGCTGAATGGCCAGCTAAAACAATTCGATGAGGATCACCGCCGAAGAGACGAGCATTTTCATGAATCCACTCAACAGCTAATAATTGATCCCAAAGACCAAAATTACCTTGAAAACAATAAAAATAGATACACGAGAAGATCATTCAAATGACCTCGTATATTTTAATTTAATTAAAATTAATATTCTTCAAAAAAAAACACGTGAATAAATCGCAGAGATTATTCTTAATTGAATTATCGTTTTGAGCATGTCCTTGGATATCTTTAGATTTTTCATTAATCCGTCGCACTCTTACTATAACACAGTTAAAAATAAACAAGGGACGCCATTGACTAAGTCTTATTTGACAAGATTTATTACATCCTTTAAATCTCGAATTATGCCTTTCAAGTCACGAGACTAAGAATAGAGTATGTTTATTTTACAATTATTAACAGATGATCCAAAATGATAATGATAAGTCGACTGTTTGCGTTTCCTCTTCCTATCATTGATAAACAAAACCATATATTACATACGCAGTCCTTGCGTTGACAATGAACAAAATGGCTAACAAGAGTGTTTTCAGGATAAACAGCGAATGAGCTCTTTATCTAATCAATTCAGGGCAATGCTGTTCCTTGACAAGTGTAATTTTTACTAGAACATGTTTATACTACAGACTAACACGGAGCACTTAATGCACAAGGCTGTGCATCCGCAAAGAATTATCTCTTGATCAAACACATTTTTATTCAATATGCTCTCTCAAAGACACTATCTGTAAACGAATATTATTGCTCGTCAAACAATTTCATCCATCAACAAGACAATGTGTCGTGCCGCATACATATTTAAACTAATTGGCACAATCTCAAGCAATTCTTTCTTATGACAAATCAAAGATGATGGTTGTGCAGTTCGCGTCTCAATATTTTAGTTGATTATGTATAAAACTCTATTATTGTTCGAATGCAGTAGGATAAAATTCAATAACTATGATTATTTAATCCTCAGTGCTACGTCGTTGATATTTGTCGGTTAGGAAAAAACTGTGTCTGAAGAGTCGGATTATAGAAGAGCCATTGCTTCTTTTCATTGCTGTTCTAAGAAGAGAAAATTAATGAAAAAATCGAGGTACCGGAAACAAAGCACTTCATTATTTAATACCAAGTTATATGCTAGAACAAATGGCGTTTCGGTACATTTTTTAATCTTGACATTTTTTCTTTTTGGAATAGAAAAGTATTACGATTTAATTGAATGTCCTCGGCACTACTGAAATGCGCTGTCAAAAAATATAGTTTTAGGCTCGTTATGAAAATGACAGATGTCTACATAAGGATTTGTCAGATTTTCTGTTTCTTGTGGTCTGACTTGACTGATGAAGTAAAAAAAACAATAACTTTGAAGTCAAATATTCTAAGTGATAATTATACTTAGGAGCAATGAAAGAATACCTTTGATTCGGTCGTCTCCGCTCGATAAAAATCCATGATAATTCAGTCGAAAATTCATTGTTACAACAATAATATCGCCTTCACTCGCTAGAATACTCCCATCAAACAATGAGCCCCCACCAATTTGATTGGAGCCTCCATGCGAGAATAACATGATAGCCTTTCGTTTTTCACCATAACGTAAATCCGGTCGGTAAATATTCAATGAAAGGCAATCGTCATTAAAATTGTTTTGCATTACAAATGAGCCATATGATAAATTTTCCGTCATAAATAAGGATTGCATGCAATATGGACTATATCTTGTTGCAGATTTTATTGAATAATTGAAACGCTTTTTTATTGGTTTTTCAAGTGATCGTGGAATTTCAGCATAGTAAATACCGAGAAACTGGTCAATATATCGATCATTACGATATTTTATTCGTTTGCCACGATAAATACCTGTTGAAGCAATGAGAAATGTTGATCGAGGAGAATCTTTTCGTCGATGAATATCATCATAGGATGATAATTTCAATAAATATGCATCGGTCATATGTGCTGTTGAAAAATTAGCTTGTGTTTCTGTTTTTTCACATGCCAATAATGTGCACGATGGTAACGTTGAATTATATGATAATTGATCGACAATACGTTCAATTGACGGATACTGTATAATAGGAGACGTAGAACGAATTTGGAATAGTAAAATAAAAATATACAAAACAAAACTTATAATTTCATCAGACATTATGATAAGTTTGCTTCGCATAAGCATAATCTAATATGGACTGAAAATTTTTGAAAATAAAAATGTGTCGTTAAGATCAACAACAACAATGAAAATGGCATTTCTTATACGTATGTATATCAGTCTCGAACGATCTCCTAATTCATTTTTAATTCTGTCAATAATAACTGATCGCTTTGACTGGTTGCTTGAGTGAACACCTACAAAATACACAGAATTGTCTGAGATAATATCAATGAGACAGACGACAAATCCATTAGACATAAGTACACGAAGAAATAAAAGAGACAGAATGAGGAAAAAACGAGAGAAACTATTCTACGAGCTATTTGAGACCTTTGTTATCGATGCGTAAAAAAAGAAAGCAATGGACGACACTCTATTAGTAGGGGAAAAAAACGTTTTTTCGTCATGGTAAAATATTCCATATTATTGCAGAGCTGATAAAAGGTCTTCAGAATGACGATTCATCTACGCATATCCATTCAGATAGTAATTATAAGTACAATTGACACAAAAAAAGAAGAAGTAGAGATACTCTCACCAGTACTGGGCACCTGATACAAATCGATTTGATCATGAGACAAAAAGACAAACATACTAAGCTGATGAATATTTCTGTACCATTAAACAGTAAAAATAACTAGTCTGTTATATCGCTTGATTTGATAACATCAACACATCCTGTTAGTTAATGTACCGAACATTATGTTCGTTGATAAATCTGTTAATCATTATTCAGTTGTAAATAATTTTTTTGCTTTCCGTTGCACTTTGATGAAAGAAAAAAACGTATGAAGACTTTACTCATTTGATATTCTTGCAGTCAAGTATGGCATTAATTTATTTTTAAAATATCATCATTATCTTCGAAGACAAGAAGAAGAAAAGCTTTGGAATAGTTTGCAAGTATATTTGAACAAACATCAACACGACAGAAAGAAAAAAATGAATATTGATCAAACAACACTGAAAATATACCTAGAGAACTGTACATAGGATGATTATTATATGTATATATGCTTAGGTTTTTTATTTGCGGTTTTATTTGCAAAAGCAAATCCAACAAATGATTTAGCGTTTCTTAAATCGAGCCAGTTGGTGTTGACGATTCGGTGGGAATAGAGGTGGAACACTGTTAACACAAATTTTCATTCATTAAATGATAGGTCTAATTGTGATGACTTACTTCTGCGAGAAATTTACGTATTCGACTTGTATAATCATGTGAAAGCCATGTAGTATTATGTTGACCATCAGGAAATACAGTCAACTGCTTTTTTGAACTTTTACACTCCTGGAAAAACAACAACAGATTAGCCGGATTGAAATGAAAACTGAAGCTCTGTGAGAGAAATACTTAGCGTCAGATTTTTTGGTACCGAGTAAGGACCCATTCACACCAAAAAGATAAAACAGAATTAACCACTAAGTCGTCTCAAAAAGATGACTGAAGTGTGAATTAACCAATCACGTTGCTTAATTTTTTTCAGTGTGAATGGAGCCTAAGTCGATAGTGCATGCGTACATTCTGTTCTGAAAAAGGAATTATGCGGCATATGGATAAGACATCGCTATAAATTACATCGGTCAGTGGCGACCTTGCGTTACAAAGAAAACATGGAAATAGTTTATTAGAAATTAGCCGATACTACTACCACTGCTGCTGATTATCTCACAATATATATATGATGAGCGGGTCTTTTAGTTTCCATACTATGATTTTAATTAATTGTCCTATGATCGAAAGAAAAACAAACCTCGTGAAGCTTTTCCATCATTTGCGCAGGAACTAATTCATCTTGTCCACCAGAAAGAAAAAGTATTGGCACTTTGATATTACGCATTTTTGAAAGCGATGGGTACTATGAAAAGAAAAGTAATAGAAATTTATTTGACAAAAAGAAAAGTAACATTTATACCACATTTTTATAGCACCAATTAGGTACATAATCAAGTACAGAGACTTGAAATAGTCTTTTAGCCATGTCAGGTATCGATGTAAAAGTATTTTCAACAATAACAGCATATAATGGCGGCGTTGGATTCGTCTGAGCAAGTTGAGAAGCTATATTATGAAAAAACAAATAGTATTAAGATTAATATTTATTTTATTTTATTTTACCGAGATTTAATGCAACAGCACCACCAAGTGAACGACCAAATAAAAATATTTTGCTCTGATCAAGATCATTTCGTTTACGAACATAATTATATACAGCTAGCGCATCCGTATAAAGACCTGTTTCAGACGGCGCACCCGTTGATTTTCCATATCCACGATAGTCAAAGAGAAGAATATTTATATTACATGTACGATATAACAAATTAGCGTTTTGTAAACTAAATCAAATAGAAAAGCAAACTTTCATATGTCTTCAGTCATAATTTTATCAATTTGCTTTACGATTAATAGAGAAAAAGCGCCCCCTATCGGATTAGAATATGACGTCTCTTGCTAATCAACGTGAGATCAATCTATTCAGGAAAACATTACTCTACTTCAAATATATTTGCATTTTTTTAAACACTCCAAGATTTTGATTTTTTCTTCCTGAATGCAATCTTTTTCCCGACTAATTTTAGCATTTATAAAAATATAGAATTATCGCTAATTAAGTATTTCTGTCATCAACACATATTCGGGTTACGGTCATCGGGTTCTGTTAATCTACAGTAAATCTAGGAGTTATTATTTACGATGGGTTCAGAGAAGCGTTAAATCAGCTAATTTGCGTAATTCCGATAGAATTATTCAACTGCTCAGATTTATCATGCAAAACAGACCCAAGGGCTTGCTTTCCTAAAAAGAACTCTAAATAGGACAAACAGTTATCTGTATATTTCCTGGAGTTATTTGTTTTTGAATCTACCAATTCAGTTGTAGAAATCTTACTAGTTTCGCTTTCCTTCATAGAATTTTCTAAAATTAAATGGACACCGTTTCGTCTACAAATATGCAAAAAAAAAACAGATCATTTTGCAAATACAAGACATCAATTATGTCAAAACACATGGTTTTAATCCTTTTTCGTCTCATTCAAAGCTGTGATCGAAACAATCTACTCAATAAAGATGCGAATATATGTCATATGCTAGTTCCACCGCTAGGCAGGTGCACCAATAGGAAATGCGTTGGCACGTATAGAAATTCTTTGTACTCTTTCGAGACGGGCTATATCTAGCGCCTCAGCCCAGTTCTTAAAATCCAATGGCAGATATTTATCGAAAATAATTTTAATAGAAACTCTTCCATTAAAAAATCTCAATTGAATTTTTCATAACTTAGAAAAAAACTTCCTGACATTCATGGATGTCTTTACTTTTGAAAGAACGCATTCAGCCATTGTAAATTTCTCTGAATATACAAACAAATAAACTTCAAAAATTATTAAGAATTCTGCTGAATTTCAATGGCACTATTCTCTCATCGGGCAAATCATGCGCAAGGACTCGGTCTGTATTACTTACAGTTGACTATTAGAGTCAGTGACATTTCAAGCGCATAATTTCTCTAAGAAGAGTATTCTTTTTTTTCCCTATCATACCGATGACCAATATTTCCTGCATTTCCATGAAAAAAAACTAATGTTTCGCGTTCATTTGTTCGATTGACTTGTTTAATTAAAAATCCGTGTAATTTTTCGTTATCAGGAGTTTCAATTATAATTGTTTCATACGGCATATGAAATATATCAGGAGTTTGAACGATTGTTCGTGCTGTATCTGGCTCATTTGGTTGATAAAGTAGAGCATCTTGAAAACCATAAAGCGAAGCTAAACAACAACAACAAGCAACAATTTAATAAAATTTTTCTTTTAACAAAACGTACTTATTTGTTGTTGTGCATTCGTAAAAAATCCGTTTATCGACTGCATGAAATTCATTCAAACAAAAAAATAAAATGAATCTATAAATATCTTGCTTATATATATTAAATGAAAACTTTAATTATATTTCAAAGAGAAGAAAAAAAGAAACTTTAAAATTTCTATTTCATCCGAAATAAAGGTTTTATACAACCCAACAAATAAACGAAAAGTAAAATACATATTATTCATAATATTATTAACCATTGTTCAAGCACGTTGTGGTCGTTCAGGGACTAATGAAGAGAAAAATGTTGATAAAGCCGTAAGTAAAAGACGTGTTGTTGTTACTGGATTCTCTTCAACAGGACCAGGTGCAGGTGGCACAGGCTAAATATATGAATTTATTCAATCATTTTTAAGAAACTGTTACGAACTTTTCATTGAATGTAACATAGATCTCGGACAACTTATACCGGGGGAGCCATAATGATGGCGACACTTAATGTTTTACGAATATCTCAACATAGATAATTCAGTTTTTTCAAAAGATACATCGTAATACGAGGTTGATAGCGAATCTGTCTTATTATTCTGAGAAAGCACACAAATGAAAAATCACAGTAATTATATTGCCTGATGTCCCTTGTAAAAAAAATCAGATTAAAAATCTATTATAATGACATTATTTTAATCTGATTTTTCCACCTTAAATGGCAGATTATTTTTGATTTTGATTTTATTTTAATTGATTACCTACAAAACTATTATAGTCGATTAAAATAAAATCAAAATCAAAAATAATCTGCCTTTTCAGGTTGAAAAATCTAGTTAAAATAGATTTCTAATCGCATAAAAATCAATTATAATCAGATTTTGTTTTACATGGGGTGTTGCCGAGAGAAATTCTTATTATTTTGCCATCAAGTTCATGTCTGCAGCGAGATGGAGGGGCATCACATACGTATCAAAGATACTAAGAATGGTTCGAAAGAACTTTTAGTCGTTTACCTCTAGCGAACAGTGGCATTCTAACCCTATCAGAAATGAGGATATTCAGTATGTGCCAATAAACATGTTGATGTGAGCTATGCTCGAATCTTCACTATCAGCCTTAAAAAAAAGTTTTTTTTTCTCAACACCGTTCGTCTAGAGAATTTATCTGCTCTGAGATCTTCATCATACACGTTGGCGTTCAGCATCGTTCAGATTTTGAGCTTCATTTACTGCAACTTCTGGTTCGGCTTCAGCCTCTCCAACTTGTTCGCCATCATTAGCAGCTGGTTGTTCAGGAACAACAGGTGCCGGTGGCACTTGTACACGTCGACGTCGATGAATAGATAAATAGCCACGACAATGTCTAAATAGGTCAACAATAGAATAATCTTAATCTTTTGGAAAATAATAAAACTTACAAATAAAGAAGAACAAAAATAACAAAAACAACAAGAAAACGGCTGAATGTTGAATAGAAGTAAATAATCGAGCATAGCACAAATAATTCCACAAGCATATTTAATACTCCTAAAAGATCATTCTCTTGTTCTAAATCATTATTGCCTGCTGCCGGTTGTGGTGCAGGAGCAGCAGCAGGAGGAGCAGGAGCAGAGGTTTCATTAGTAGATGATTGTTGTGTAGAAGTAGGAGTGGCAGTAGTTGTTGTTGTTGTTGTTGTCGTCGATGGAGGGATTACTGTTCTTTGATATGCAAGTAAATTTTGACTAAAAACAAAATCAAATATTAGCCAAACCGGTCACTTCTTAAAAAATTCTACTCACTACATTTGATAATGTGTATAGCAATATTGTAAATAAGCTTGACTTTCAAAGTTCAAATCCGGTTGAGTACCACATGGATTAATTAAAAACCTAAAATAAAACGCATGCGGCAAGATTATGGTTTTTGAAATATAAATTCAAAATACCCTTGAAGTTGTTGCTGATATCGAAACAATTCTTCTGAATACTGTTCATAAGTATTCGAGTGCGAACAACTCGATGACTTGTCAGAAGATGGTGGTGGTTCGGTAGCAATAGGAGCTGCTCGTACTGTTGTTAGGTGAGAACTTTTCGGTGTCTGACATAAAAAATTAATTTACTGAAAATCAAAAATGAAACTTCTATTCTTACCGTTGCAGTTTTATCAGAATCAAGAACAAGATGAACCATAAACGATGATCCCGATGAAGACTAAAAATCATTTTTTCTTTCTTAAAAAAAAAATACTTCGACAAAAAAATAAACGCTATCTGAGACATACGTAATATGATACCTCTTGAATTTATCAAATGTATAAATTATTAACATGCTCGTTAATTAACACTTTTTTCCAGTTCTCTTCCATTCTTAATACTGAAGTAAAACTACGCCTATTCTCTCTTTTTTTCAAATCTTAATTGATCGATGTTAGTATGAAATATGCCATTAATTTCATGACGTAGTTGAAAATGATAATATTTTTTAATTTTTATCTTTCGCAGAGGAAAACGATTAGAACAGTTTTGCTTTGCATCTACGAAATGTCGCCTTCGGTCCTATTGGAAACTTATTTATGATTTATTAAGGCTTCGACTGATACAAATTCATAGTTAGTTAATTATCAATTGAAATCTACACGTGGGTTAATCTTATAAGTAAACGAAGAATTTTTCCATTTATATTCGTTAGCTCTATGACGCAGTAAATAAAAAAATTTGATTAATTTTGTTCGATAATAACACACTTGTGTGCTCATGAATGATACGAGAAAGTACATTTGATAATGAAGCATGCGTAGAAGTTGATTATAATTATTCTTACTTTAACAAACACTTGACTAAGTAAACTTGAATCATCAAGAAGTTTACCAGAAAAAATTAAGCGTTGATCTGTTGGTACCTTTAAAATAAAAGTATAAAATAAAGCATGAATCTAAGATAGAAATTCCTACCGGTCTAGTTGGATGATTCAACGTTATTTTTTGCTTTAGATCATAAACAGTTATTAATGGCGGCAGTTCAAGAAGAAAATCTGCATATTTGTTGTTGGTTGTACGAATGATTAATTTAATTGATTCATTTGCTGACGCCATGAATTAATAGTAATTGTCTATGCTCTGTACAAAATGAAAATTGAATAAAAAAATAAACATAGTCATCTACCTATATACGCAGGTGGTTGATTTTCTATTGATGATTTTTCCGACCAATCGGAATTAAGCAAATAGAATTTGATTCTTCTAGAGGGCATTGGCAATATTTTAAATGAGTCATTTGATTATTGATCGAAAGATAGATAGATAGATAGATAGAATAGATAGAAAGAGCAAGCTTTTTTCTCCGAGTTCTATCAACCTTCGCGGCACAGAGCAAATCTGTCGCACTGTATCATATATTGCCATCCATATTTCTTTTTCCACAAAAAGATTTTTTTTCTGAGTCGTCCATTTTCTTATGACGATAAGTAAATAACAAGACAGGGACATCGTGACATTCGCATTATTGTATAAAAGCCTTAGTGTCAGCGAGTCGACTATTTTTTCCAATCAGGCAATATCTAGGCAGCTAAATTAATGATGGAAAATAAGTTTTTTGCTGTTTTATTTAGATGAATCGTATGCGAAAAATTGTAAGCAAAAAAAAACGAAGGTACCAACAGGATGGCTTCGATCTCGATTTATCATGTAAATATTTTTTTAAATACTTTATTAAGATTCAAAGTTTTGCGTATTTTCTTTTTGCAGACATTCGATCCAATATTATTGCAATGGGATATCCAGCCGATAGTTACGAAGGAGTTTATAGAAATAATATTTATGATGTTAGCCGGTATGAAATTATGAAATTTTATTTGTAAATAAATCTCCATATTTTATCTATTTAGGTTTTTATCATCGAAACATGGTGATAAATTTTATATATATAATTTGTAAGAATTTAAATCGATTAAAAAACATTTGAATGAATATTTTTGTTTTTTTCTCGTAAATAGATGTGTAGAAAGTGAACGTCAATATGATGGATCCCGTTTTAATAATAATGTATGTACCGACTTTAGTTTTGAAGATCACAATCCGCCTCCTATGACAATGATTTTGGGCTTTTGTCAACATGTTGAAACACAATTAAATTTAATGACCGATAGAACAATTGTAATACACTGCAAAGCTGGCAAAGTAAGTTGATGTATAAATAATTATTAACTATTCATCTCATTCAAATTTTACCCGCTGACAATTCGATATTTTTAAGGTCCTGAATCAATAAAAAAAACAATCAGAATGAATCTGGAAGATAATCATGATACATGCATGAACAAATTTGTAGCTTTAATTTAGCAGAGAAATATGTTGTTTTTTTGTACAAAAAAAAACAAATGTTTGACGTTTGCTGCAGTTATCAAAGATTCGAATAAATTCATTTATTTTTACACTTGGTCTGCATCCTGAAGACTAGTTATCATCATGATAATCATTTATAGTTTAGGATAAATAACTATTTTTCAAAACGTTAGGCCAATAGAAAGTGAAAAGAACATTCATATTTATAGGATTAAAATAGAACCCTACTTAAATACCCATTTAATGATTTTGAAATAGAATAGAACTAATATTCTTCTTGCCGATAAAAAATCTCCCATTGCTTGTTGCCTTTCATTTGAGCAGTTTTATTGAGTACGTTTCGATGAAGAAGAACACTTGTGTTTTGAAGATGCCGTGTCATATGGCGGTCCTTTTGATCCCGGTGATAAATTTATTCAGGAAAAAAACTCGTTATTTTTTTTCTCACAGTTTTCTTTTATTTTATTATTATTATTATTATTATTATTATTATTATTATTATCATGAAAAATCGACTTGAAGAAGAAAATTCATTCTTCGATGTGTAAAATCTCAATCACCATCTTGACAACGTCGCATAAATAAATAATTATTTCCTCGTACTCACGAAAATTATCTTATTTAATAGGATATTTTTATTTTGTTTTTGTTGGACCTTCACTGAGTATACTCGTCAACCTTCGTCTGTCCTTTCAAGGATGCCATTTGTTTCGTTTCGGCCTTCTTCAGTTCGATGCAGATGATTCATATCGTTTGTGTATGTTAATTTCCATGGATAAGTTATATCTTAGGAAAAGAAAGAACTTTGTTCCGGCTCGTATCGAGTCTATCGGGCGCTATTATATAAGCCGCATAAGAGAGGATGCTTAAAATATGGTAATAGTAATAATACCACTCAGAACACGTCAACAAGATACATATCTAAACGACGGCATTCGGTTTTCAGCTAAAAATCCGTCTTGTAATCTCGGATGATGAATTACAGCTCGAAGAACATCGGATATAATTTTCTGTTGATTATAGAAATGGAATTTAGCACGCAATCTCAAGTCGGTTTACATCCGACTCGACCTTGTGAGGCCGACTGTGATAAAGAAATACCGATAATACAGCTCTATTGTTTATAGAAAAAAAAGACATGACTTTTGCTGCTCTAGGGTCGAACTGGTGTTATGTCCTGCTGTTTTCTTCTTTATTATTATCGAGACGAATACAATGATCCTTTGCAAACATTAAAATTCTATGCTCAACAAAGAACATCTAACGAGAAAGGCGTTACGATTCCAAGCCAACGTCGTTATGTAGAATATTTCGGCCATTTGCTTAACTATCAATTGTTATATACACCCAAGCAGATTGTGTTTATCGGTTTATTAATAACTTACGAACAAAATCAAATTCTCAATTCAAGTTTGTTGAAAACAAATTTTCTTTAGTAAAAATGATTTTTTTTTCTCTTCGCTTTAGGTATTTCTTACACACTTAGCTCATATGATCATCGTATACAATATCAATCATTTGAAATCCCCCTCGAACGTGATACGAGTGTACATCAAGATTTCATAGGGAATTATTCTGTATTAAATGCAGCACATAAATATTTTATTCCATCATCCAATCAGCAATGTCAAATACCATTAGAAGAAGATGTGCTCATCGAAATTTATCTTACGAAAACAAGACGTGGAAAACCAGTAATTTTGTCTTTTAGAGAACCGAAACAATCATTGAAATTGCTTTTTCTTTTGTTCAGGAGAAATTATGTCAATTTTGGTTTAATACTTTTTTTCTTGTCGATTCTAAAATGCAATTTATATTAAGTAATTACAATGAAAACCATCCGGACAGTAATTTGGGTGTACTCAGTTCATGTCTTATACCTGAATTTGGACATAAACATTTGTATACGATGACAAAAAATGATATTGATGGATTGCATAAAGATAAAATTCATCGTCTAGTCCCAGCATCATTTGCAGTAAGTTTGCCTTGCAGAAAGAATAATAGTCGAGCATTTTCCCGATCGTTCAGCTAGTGAATAGGAAATTCTCGAATAAATAATATGGATTTGTTCAGCCGACGAATATATTATTTGATTATCGAATTCGTTGAGCGTATTTTTAGATAAAGATAAATCGAGCCGATCTTAATAATTGCTGGACTTCGTGTTCGATATCCAGGCAAATTCATTGAATAGTTTAGTGATAAGACAGGGTTCTATTTTTTTTAGCTTTTCATTTCGAATAGAAAAAATGTTAGACTCCACAAATATTGTAAGTAAAATTCACTCGAAAATTAGAACACTATATCCTATGCAAGATTGTCATTGGTTTAGTTGACATACCACGGGTTACTGATTAGTACCATATGAAGCATTTCCCTATTGGATGACTGAAAGAGAACGACAGTAAAGTCATGCGCTTAGCAATAAGTCGAATAAAAAATTTTCTCTGTAATTGCCAAGGGCAGTTGCATCGTTTTATTCCATGTAGATTATACTAACAGTTTTTTCTAATAAAAAAACCACCTACTTTCGTCATTTTTTTAATATAATACAGCAATTTAATGGTCGTTGTAATTTCCCAGTACTGATGTTAGGTTCTTGAAATTCTATAGGCTGATAATCACGTTGATATTTCATCGACGAACGAATGAAATACAGTCGAATTGATTGCTCAATAAACATCATTATTTCTCTTTAGGTTTCTGTTCTATTCGACTATATTCCTACATCGCCTTCGACGTGTATTCGCGCCAACTGAACTGTGGTAAGTTAAAAAAAATGCATTGAGCCTATTTCACTTTTTTTTTTATTAATAAAAATATCTTGCCGGAAACAACTATGATCGAAATGTGTTTTTTCTTCGTGTAGGCTGCTGGCAAAATTTATAATTCTGCGAAGGATGTAAACATCTGTGCTTTATTTTGTTTTCTACTTGCAGAAACAATAAGCTATGCGAATAATCGTTTTTATTCACTTTATCAACTGGCAATTACTGAGAACAAAAACATGAAAGTTTCTAATTAGTCACATCGTCTATGCGATTCATAGGGAAAATTCTTCTTATGAAACAAATGATAACTTATCAATAAACCAAAGTATCCTAGTCGCCGACAATAACCTCCTGAATATTTTTATTTTTCGCTTTATCCAAGTGGCGTATTTGCTTGCGTAATACAGAATTAGAATTAAGTATTATTTGAGCAAATGATAATTATTGTGAAATAGCGACTTGTCACGCTAGTTTTTTTTAAAACTCCTGTTCTATGTGTTCGTCGCTTTGTATATTGTTTTTTTTCATTTAACTTGTATTGCACATACTGTTTAAAACAAAAATAAAACAAGATATATTCTATTTCGTATTATACAATTCTTTCTTGAAAACAAAATTTCAAAATTTCCCTTCGTTTTATAGATTGGAAATGCTCAGAAATCAGTTGATTTTCGAAGACTTGAACATGCCGATGAAAATGAGAATTACATATAAGTATTCAATACTAACCGAACATAACCTTCTAGGCTCATTCTATTAATCCTTTAAAATCGCTAAGAAACAAATAATTTCGGAAGCTAGCGGTAGATATAGAAGCTGCTCGCTTGTTATATCACTAGAGCTTGTAGATTAGGACCCGGTTGGGTTCGAAAGTCTTGAATTTAACGAGCTTTGCCAGTGAAGACGGTCTTAAAAATATGTGTATCTACCCATTATCCTGGGCGAAACCGGAGAAGAAACGATCATTATCCTCGCATTGACTATAGAATTCCGATTAGAATATTTTACTAACAGTATAAAAGTGCTGTTCAACAGGATTTGACTCGACGGGCTCTGCTAGCTACATTGGTGTTAGCTCGTATAGTTGGTACTCATGCACTGTACGACCGATATTTAAAAATTAACTTTCCCGGAAATCGAATTATAAATTGTTGGGAAATAGATTTTTACATTTTCTTGCAAAGATTTAAGCGTCATTCATTCGTGAAAAGGAAACAAGATAAGATCATTCACACGAATACAATTCTTTTATTCGACATGAACAACATAAAAGCTTAATATTCAATACAATCAAACGAGATAAAAATAGAATTTTTCCTCTTATTCTATCAGTAGTTTTATAAAGAACAAATGAAAGCATTAATTAATTATTTTTCTATGATCGATAAAAACAACTGTCGTACATGAAAAGAAACTAAAACACACTCACACTATTTTTCAGCGCCATCGGTCATCTCATAAGCATTCGAATCGATTACTTCGCTATTCTTCTTATTTGACTAAAATGTTTTTTTCAGTGACAAAAAAATTGATTAGTTCTTACAGGCATTTGTCTTGCAACGTGATAGTCATTTATTTATCTTCTTCAGAACGCAAGCGTCCCTCAGTAAAGTGCATCTTTTGAAATATGATAAAGTAGATAGCGTTTATTATGATGCGCTCTGTGTCTTATCACCGAGTACCTAAACACGCAAGGAAGAGATACCTTACTTATTCACATTCTAATTATCTATCTCATTCTTGTTGTTTTCTGCACTTTTGTATGACGACTATGGTGAGATGTTTTCTATTGGATAATAGTAGGTAACTGATGCCGAAGAAATTTCTTTTGAATTTTGCCATATATATATGTTTTAGAAAAAAATTAATTTTCAGTTTTCATGTTATTAACATAATACAATGTTGAAGCTTTTAATAGTTATTACTTGTTTTCTATTGAATTTGTCACAAGCCGACGTAAGAAAAAAAATCTTTTATTTTTAGTGAAATTAATTATTGTTTCTAAAAAAAAGGATGCACACTGTATCTGGTATCAACAATGCGGACTTAATCCATCAGGAAAAGTAACTAATTGTTACTATAATGGGACAGCAAAATTATTAACGGATCCCACCGCATTGAAAACATTAGAAACGGCTTGTGGTATGGTATACAATGGTACGTATAGGAAGGTGATGTGATGTGTAACGTAAAGTTAACCTTTTCCAACCAATTATTTTATTCGACAATGAAAATCATCTATAAAATCGGGTGTTTTCGATTGCTGTACGATTTTTTAAAGAAATTATTACAGAAAAAAACGATTTTATGAGTGTCTATTAGATCGCAGCGGCTTATAATTATTTCATTTCTTTCAGGTCCCAATAGCACGTATACTTGTTGTGCACCGGATCAAATAGCGAATATGGCAAATCAATTCGGTATGGCCAAATTAATGTTAGGACGTTGCCCGTCGTGTTACTACAATTTTCGATCGTTATTTTGTTCGATGACATGTAGTCCAGATCACAATCGGTTTTTGACTGTTATAGATTATGGTACTAGTACATTGCATCCAGGCGAAACAACAGTCGAAGCAATTAACTATACAATAGCTGATGATTTTGCTGAGCGTATTCTTACGTCTTGCAGGTTTATTATTAAGAATAATAATAATAATCTAATTTTTATTATATAAATTTGTTGTAGAGATGTTCTATATCCTGGCGGTAATCAACATTCTCTTGATTCAATGTGCGGTCGACCTTATGATCAATGCACCAAAGAAGCATTTATGCAATATTTAGGCATCGATAATCCTCAAGTACCATTTCCTATTCACATTCTATTTTCCAATAATACCAGTGAAGCGGAAAGTTATTATAACCAGACAACATTTTTATGCAATGAGCCAATTCTATCAAGATATGAGAATAAAACAGCTTGTGGTTGCTTAGTAAGCACGAAAAATGTTCTCATAAAAAGAAAAATATGAAAATATGCCTATTTAGGATTGTCAAAAGTCTTGTAGTCCAACCCCACCCGATGTTCCAGATAAAAAATTTACAATTTGGAATCTAGATGGATGGTTTGTTATTGCAATGGTTGGCAGTGTTCTTTTACTATCGACTTTTTTTCTTTCGACATTTACAATTTCGAAATTACGGAAACCTCGCGCAACGGAATATCGATTTACAGGTGAGATCTAATTTTTGTTGGGCTTTGTATTGACCAAATGTGTTTGTGTATAGACACGATCACTTTGATACCGCCAGTGAACCCACAGAAATCTTCTGGACGCATGAAACATATTCGAAAAAGTACTGAACAATTTCTCGAACGAATTTTCTTCCGGTAAAATAATTCGATGAATTTATTTTTCATACAGAAATTTTTATCTTTCCAGTTTGGGTCTTTTCTGTGCTCAACGACCGTATTTAGTTTTAACCAGTGGTTTAATCGTCATTGCCAGTCTTTCATGTGGTTTGATTAAATTTAAAGTAACCACTGATCCCGTACAATTATGGTCAGCGAAATCAAGTATCGCACGGCAACAAAAAGATTATTTTGATCAACATTTTCGGTAGAATATTTTTCTATTAAACTTCCTATAGAAATTTAATATTCGATTAGGCCATTCTATCGAACAACACAATTAATTATCATACCGGATGATCAATCATTTGTTAAGCACACTTACTTATCTCCGCCGGCACCACTCAGTGAATATACAGTAGGTCCTGCATTTGAAATAGGCTTTCTATCGCGTGTACTTGAACTTCAAACCGACGTACTTTCACTTACAGCTAACTTAAGTGAACAGAATCAAACGGTTTATTTATCCGACATATGTTTAAAACCTTTAGCACCCGACAATGAAAATTGTACTGTTCTCTCACTTCTTCAATACTATCAAAATTCGAAGGACAATTTATTGAGAACTGTTGGCGATGAATTTTTCACTTATTTCGATTATGCAACACATTTTCTCACTTGTTCACAAGCGCCAACAACAACACTCGATAGTCCATTGGGTTTATCATGTTTTGGAGATTTCGGGGGAACAATAAATCCATTTATGGTTCTCGGAAATTATACAGATACAGCGTATGCCAACGCCACAGCTCTTGTCATCACAATTGTGATTGAAAATTCAAATGATCCAGAAAAGATTCGATTAGGTTTGTTTGGATACTTTTGTTTTGCTCATTCCAATAGATTTCTGTTTATTTAGCTGAAGCATGGGAAAAAGTTTTTCTTGATTTTATGAAAAATTTCACTGAAACTCAAAAGACACTGAGAGACTCCGGCAAATGGAATCAATCAGCTAATTTTACTGTTTTCTATAGTGCTGAACGTTCGATTCAAGATGAATTAAATCGTCAAAGTCGTTCGGATATATTAACCATAGTCATATCATATACAATTATGTTTCTCTATGTAACATTAACATTGGGTCATATTCGTTCGTGGCGAACATTTTTAATTGATCTAAAAATATCCGTCGGATTTATCGGGGTTCTTTTTGTTTTGTTATCAGTCATGAGTTCCATAGGATTTTATTCCTATTGTGGTATTGCCGGTACTTTAATTATCTTTGAAGTTATACCATTTCTTGTGTTAGCCGTCGGAGTGGATAATATATTTATCATCGTACAACATTTTGAAAAAGCCAAAACCGAAGAATATCAATCGTCGGATATGCGTTTAGCAGCAACGGTTAGCCGTGTTGGTCCATCGATATTGTTAACAGCAACAAGTGAATCCATCGCGTTTCTTGTCGGATCATTAACACCTATGCCGGCTGTACAAATTTTTTCATTATACGCATTTATGGCCGTGTTTATTGATTTTCTCTTGCAAATAACCTGTTTCGTATCGGTACTTGCCATTGATGCTCGACGACAAGATGCCGATCGACCTGATTTAGTTTGTTGTTTGCCAATGAATGTTTCAAACAATTCAACAGAACAAAAATCTAAAGGAGTCCTGCAGCAAATGTTTACGAACGTACTGACACCCATAGTTTTAGGAAAATCGTTAGTGCGCGCAATTATTTTCGCTATATTTATTATTCTAACGTGTTTATCATTATCAACGATACATCGAATACCTATTGGGCTCGATCAAAAACTATCAATGCCAAAGGACTCCTATGTTCTAGATTATTTCCGTGGTTTAGAAGAATATTTAAGTGTTGGCCCACCTGTATATTTTGTTGTCAATCAAGATGCTATCGACTATAAACGTATCAATGATCAAGATCTACTCTGTGGCACATCCGGTTGCTCATCAATGTCATTACTTGGGCAAATCGGACAAGCATTGAGACAACCGAAACATTACTATTTAGCACAACCACCTTCATCATGGCTTGACGATTATTTCGATTGGCTACAATCAACGAACGATCCGCCGTGTTGTCGAATTCATAATGAAACAAATGAATTTTGTCCGGCTACATTAAATGATACATCCTGTGTCAATTGTCCGATAAATTTCGTCGAAAATGAACGACCATCGCCGGATGATTTTCCACGATATATTAATTTTTTTCTACACGATAATCCTGGTGAAAAATGCCCGAAAGGTGGTCATGCGGCGTATAAAGATGCTGTACAATTAATTAATAATACTTATGTAAAGAGTTCATATTTTATGGGTTTTCATTCTGTACTTAAAACATCAGCGGATTTTATTGGTGCTATGAAAAGTGCGAATGAAATTGCCAAAGCTATTTCAAAAACGATATTAACCAATCAAACTAAACCTTATCACGATTCAAATCAACTTCAAGACTATGCAGTTTTTCCCTATAGGTAAATATTTTCTATGCCACTACCAGATTAATTTTTCTCGTCATTCTGATTTCTATTGAATAAGTTTAAGCTCATATTTCAAATTGGCCCTAGTAAAAAAAAGCAGAGATCTGTAGCATTTACGCCAGAGACAAATTTTAATGATGAATATCTTTCATGTTGAGTTCTTGCATAATTAATAATATCATGTATAAGGCTAGCCTGATTTTCTTAAATGTCAGCAAAATTTCGAACTATCACGCAATCCGATTGATAAAATATTTGATGTCTCCTATTTTCTCAACATGATCTTAGAAGAGGACTGTAGATTTCGAATTCCTTTTAATCGAGAAACGTGTCAGCCGTCGTAATAAATAACGTCATTTTAAAAACGTCGCAATTCGAATATCAATAATACCTGGTCATAAAATATATACTTCCTTTTTCCTGGAAAATAAAGTAAAGAAATCTGTCTCAGAAGAGTTTTTTCGTGACACTGTCAATCCTCCCGGGAACTGCAGTGGCCACTTGCTAATCAGAGAAAAGCTTCATATAAACATATAACTCAATTTGAGATCTATTTCTTTGTTGTAGTGTATTCTACGTATTTTATGATCAATATTTAACTATTTGGAAAAATTTAATCGTCAATTTATCTGTATCGTTCGCTGCTGTTTTCCTTGTAACATGCATTTTATTGGGCTTCGATATCCATACGTCATTCATTATAATTCTTTGTGTGTTTATGATTATTATTGATATGTTTGGCGTTATGTACTTATGGCATATTGAACTAAATGCTATTTCTGTTGTAAATATTGTGATGGTAAAAACTTACATTCAAAAAAAATATGAATGCATTGATTCTAAAGTATATTTACTTTTCTATTTAGTCTGTTGGCATAGCTGTTGAGTTTTGTGCGCATATAGCTCGATATTTTGCTGTAAGTCAAGGCACTAGTCGGCTTCATCGAGCAAAAATAGCTTTATCGGAAATGGGTAGTTCGGTATGACATGATTAGAAATTGTAAAAGCAAAATATTCTACTACGGAATCTTTATCTATAGGTATTTAGTGGCATCACATTAACGAAGATTGGCGGTGTTGTTGTTCTTGCATTTGCAAAATCACAATTATTTCAAGTATTTTATTTTCGTATGTATTTATCTCTGGTTATTATTGGTGCATTACATGGCTTGATTTTTCTGCCTGTTCTACTTAGTTATTGTGGTTCGTAGGATTGCTTTATCATGTTTCGTAAGGTGTATTTTGTTGTTTTTGTCTTGCAGGTCCAGCCGCGTTGGATGTGATTGATGATAGGAAAGAAGAAAATCAAACGAACGTAATTGTTGACATGACACCCGACGGAACTGAAGTTTATGATCATGAAAATTCTGTTCAGTTTATTGTAACAGGAAAAGATTATTAATATTTGCCTAGTTTTCTGTGACTTTTTTCTTTCATTCTCGATTGTCAGATGTTAATGTGTGCGTTTTTTTTTGTGCTTTATTTTTATCGTTGGATATAAATGCACGCGAAGCAGTAAAAGAAATATTAGAAGTTAGTCATGCCTGTCTCTTTTCTTTCAATGTACGCAGCTGAATTATTGATCACGAGAAATCTATTAATAGAAGCTTTTTTTTCGCTCTCGTTTGCTCCAGGTAATTTAGAAAATGATATTTGATAAGAACGGAAGAAAAGAATGATTATATTATAAAAAAGACTGCCCACAGTAAAATAGATCATTAGATTTTTTTCTTCTGTCTATCGTATCAAACAAGACACACATTAATAAACTTTCTGCCATTGAGATCAAAGTAAGTGAAAAGTCCTTTTGCACTCCTACATGATGAAGTACCTTGAATCGAATTATAATTGGTGGTAGAGTCTACTAGATGACTATCGATAAATTTTTACTGTAACATCACTTTCTTATTGACTGTTGATTTCTAATAAAATGTTTTCTTCAAATTCACCAGGGATGACTTTTTTTCTTGGTTGATTTAATTTTTGATAAGACTGTAGGTCATTAAAAACGATTTTAATGTAACTATTGCAATAAACATGCAGCCATAGTTGTCACTGTCAAATTAACGATTGATCAATTACATGATTTATAGCAGATAAATCAACTACGACAATATTCTATTCTATCGATTTGAAAGTCATTTTTACTTTTGTCGTAAAATGTATCCAATTGATTTTAATTACCATATTTGACACGACAGAAGTCATGAATGGCAGGCATTTTAATAGTTTATATTGACAAGAGCCAGACGTGCTAAATTTTCCAAGGTATGCAGAATTTGATCAAATCATATCCTTTTTTAATATTTATAATGAATAATCTACAGAAAATATGCAAAAACTTTTACCCTGAAAATTGAACTCAAAGTATTCCTGTGTAGAACATTTAGTGACATCTGGAGTAAGAAAAACCATTTAATCGTGACAAAATTGCCGTCAGAAAATCTAATGAAATTTTCGTAGAATTATTCTTTTCAATAGACGAAATAAAATATTAATTAAATAGTTTGACACGAAAGACTCCATCCAATCAGTAATGCTCATTAAACTAATACGAAATTCTATACATGATGATTTATTGTTCTTTTTGGTATAAAGTCAGGTTGAGTAATAAAATTTTTCTCATTAAAATATTTGCAAAGAAAAACGAGATCCTATGAATTTCCTATTCATAAAATGTAAAATATTATGTACAAAAAAATGTATTAAACACGCCCAAACACATTGCAGTTTATATTTAATTAGAAATTTTGCTCTTGATCATTTACATATTACTTACCCTCGACTTTAAGCGTGCGTTATATCGATTCTTTTTTTATCATGAATCTATCGATTTTTTACGCACTACTATTTTGTTTTTTATTTACCTGGATTAAACTAACAAAAAGTCATGCCTCTCTTTTCCTTTTAACGTCTCAATATTTTCTTTTCCTTTCGCATGCATACCTATATATATATATATGTATATGAAACGGAAGACATCAATTTGAGTTGCCTAAGGTTATCCGATAGTAAAGTAATAGCGACTAAAAAATAAGAATAATAAGGTATGAATAAAAATTTTCATCTATTTACTGGCATGCACAGAGAGAGAGAGAGAGAAGGAAAATAATATTCTTAATGTTTTACAATCAGTTAACTGTTGCGTAGGAGAATATAAGAAGGCGACAAGATTGATGCATGTTTTGTCAAAGCGAAGAACAGAAAGTAGTAAATAGTCATGGACAGTAAACGTCATTCGCATGCATAACGCTCTATTAGCTTGTACTTATTTGAATATGAAGAGAGTGCATTTTAAAAAGGGAGAGAGAAAGAGAAAAAGGTGAGACATGACATTTCCTAGAGAGGAAAATAAAAAAAAATCTTGCTTGATATATTTTTATTTTTTCGTTGAATAATTAGTTTTTATAGCAACGAGAGCAGAAGAAGAGCATTTTACTCGAGTGATTCTTGAATAAGTACACAAGGCAACAACAACCCTGACAAAAACGGGACTTAAGTAGGTACACGCAAAATCTAACGCAGCATGCGATTATACCAGTACACAGTTCCTTTTATTATGAGTGAGTGTTTAATAATTCTGAATAATTATTTATTCGGCATGATTCTCACTCATTCGAACATTAATATTAAAGAACCGACTGTATTTAGACTCAATTTACATTAACATTTTTCATACGACAAACATTTATTTTCTATTTTTGTTGCTATTCTCAAATTTCAAATGACGATATAGTAGCTCGACTTCTAACACAGAGAATCATCTTTATATTTAGTATATAAAAAAAGAAGCAACAGAAGAACATCGATACAGTAATAATAATAAAAAGGAAAGGAAAAGAAAATGCCGTTGTCATCGGAAAAATTTGCTGACCAATATTCTCGTATTCAACAACAATTTAAAGAACTGGCACAATTTGAACAACTATATACAGTCGTTGAATTAACACGTACTTTTCAAGTATCATACCGTCATTTTATTTTACAATTATTTCAAGCTACTATTCAATGTGAAAATAATGATATGTTTAATCATACAGTCGACGATGCTAATGCACCAGGTACATATTTGATTCATTTCTCCATTAAATAATGTGTTTTTTCTCATTAGATATCGTTGCATGTCTCTTATCAAATTCATTAGATAAAATTTTATTTACGATTCAACTTTATTTACCATTAATATCGACCAAAACAATCAACGAACAGTTACTTGACGCGTATCGTAAAGTTTTAATTTATCTTGATTCAAATATACTTAACTTAAGTAAATTCTCCTACAAAGAAGAACAAATAATAAATCTTTCTCAACAAATTTTATTCTTTATTCAAACAAATCCATATTTAAAAAAGTTGCTATCCCATTTACCGCAATTAATTAAATTGCTACAAACACATAAATTCCAATCCGACGAACAACAACAATATCATCAACCATTACAACGATATTCATCAAAACGATCAGATGTACCACTGCTAATGAATTATTCTTCAGAAGGTCTACCACAAAATGCGGTATGTCAACAGTTGACTCGTTGTGAAACAAATGATAGTGGAGTTGATTTAACTGAACCGTCGATAGCAAATTCAAAAAGCAACTTGTTATTATCACCAAACTCACAACATTCATTTGTTGACCGTTCTCATCGAATGAACTTATCAGCGTCAGCATCAGTCAATCCACATTCGTTTGTTGCTAAAACCGCATCGTCACCAATACCTGAACATGTTACAGTAAATTTTTCTGATCGTACACTATTGAAATGTGTATTGAGTGCTCCGCCATCAACAGCTCATTCCGATTATAGAAATAGAAATGGAGGTTATTCACAAAAACATGTACCTGCACTATCAAAAAGTGATGAAGAAGAGCCAGAATTACAAAAATCCAACGATGAATATAAGTCAGAGGAAGCTCATCGTGTAGATCATTCAAAAAGTTTAACACAATTTTATTCACTTCGATATCCAAATACGAAAAATAATCAAAATAGAGATAATGTTTCACAATATTTAGCTATTGACGCCAATTCCAGCTGTACACAAAATACATTTATTCAGCCGAATACAGGCATGAGAGGTAAATTTAACATAACAATAATAATAATATTTTCTAAGGACAACGAATATATCACTTGAGTTTATTTCACATTCAACGAAATACTTCCAGGCAAGGAGTATTTACGTACTAGACCTTCGGTTTTTCTTTTAACTGGAGAAAAACAAATCTCGGAAGCAGAAACAAGATTTAATCAGTTAAACGCAAGCAAAATCATGCTTTTTCATTAGCAAAGTCCTTCAAGATAAATTTTTTTGCGACTTTCATAGCCCATATTACGTTGTGATATTACTCATTATATTTCTATGAATAATTAATTTCCTTCGTTTGTTTTTCTGTTTTGAAGATGTGCCCAGATGGTTGAGACACCTGCGTCTACACAAATACGATGTTTTCTTTTCGAAAATGGTCTACGATCAAATGATGAGTTTAACAATTGATGACTTGAAAGAACTTCACATAACCGATGGTGCCTGTACAAAAATGTTATTGCATATTAAAAAATTAAAAGAACGTTCAGCATTATTAAAACAATGGATTTTAGATTTGGACGACGGACAAACTGATTTAATGCCATTCATTGAAAAAATAAGCGAATTACTGATAACACCAATCCGTTCAAAACAACTTGAACTTGAAAATAATTCTGCCGAAGATTTACCTTCATTAATTATGCAAGTTTTAGAGAAAAGTAAAGTTTAATATATATATATATATATATTCTTCGTTTTTTAAAATTACATATTGCTTTTGCTCTCTATTTAGTCTATCAAAAATTAACACCTAATTCCTCGTCCGATATCGGCAATAGCCTCCTTGGTCTATTCGATCGCTGTTATAAACACAAAGCTTTTACTGATGATCAACGTCATGTTCTCTTACAGTGGCGTGGGAGTTTATCCAGTATGCTTCAATCGTTAGGAAGAATTGAATATAAAACAATTCAACATGCGCTTAGTCATGCGTCAGAACCCCGTCGTACAGGAAAAGCTCGTCTCAAAAATTTTCGAAGTTCAACAGGCATATTTAATTCAAACCATTCATCGAATTCAATTCCATTATCAAAATTTACATCTGAACCACGAAATAATAATTTCAATGAATCAAATTTAATTCAACGTCCAAATCGATCTCCAGCACAAATCTATCCAACACATGAAGAACAAAATCAAGCCTATCTTCAAACGTCATTTAGTTGTCTAACATCAACACCACAAAACAATGATGGTGCTTATTATGTTAATAATCATCGTCAAGCTTTAACTCGTAAAGCTAGTATCAATCCATATGACGAATCAAATACAAATAATAGAACAAAGCTATGTAAAACATTCAGCGATCCAAGTAGAATACGTTTCTACAATCCAACACACGTGAATCACATGCTGTTACAGGCATCGACATGTCAGCCTGCCCAACAACAAAATTTATTTCGTATGATATCAACACCTTATTCTCAACAACAAATTCAGTTTATCTCACGTTCACCACCTACAACAGGAACTATGGATGTACCACCGTCACCAATTAAAAAATGTTTTACAGAAAACGGAAGGTCTGATTACTATGGTAAGTTAAATAGCGCTTTGTTTACTTCTTTTTCCCCCCGTGTCATTGAAATTGAATTCACTCGTTCGGAAGTAGAAAAAGCCTGCCGGCTAGATGAATGCTTTCATTTTCGAACAGAACCAATTGCTTTTTCTCTCTGATGAATAAGACGTTCTTTCAAGCACCTCTGTGAATAGTACATTTCTACTCGCACGTTACTGGAGGTTATCTATTTATTTACCCTATATTTGCCTATAGGTAATTAATGCCAAAGAATTTTTTCTTGAAGCCATTCGCGCGCAGAAAAGTTACACTCGGATGAAATAGAGAAAGGAAGGCGTGACATTGTAAAAAGTCAGGGTTTTTTTTATATCTTGTCAGATAAGCGTTAATCATCAAATCAAGTGAAAAAATGTTTTTGATTCGCAATTCAACGACGCTAATTTTTGGTGATTGACCTAGAAAAATAAGATGAGCTCAAAATCGAATGGCGGGAGTACCCGTCATGTTTGCTGGAACAATACGATTAAATTAGAAAAATAAATCCGTTGTTTCTCTCACGATTAAATTTGAAAAGAATTTTTTTTTTCAGAGAATCATAACAATAGTACACCATTGTCAAATACAAGTAATGCAACTGATATTGAAAATACTGATGATCAACGACAGAATAATACCGAAATCGAGTCATTATGTCGTCAAATAACCGAAAGTGCTATGTGTGATGATAGTAAGAAATTTTCAATTCGACTTGTTTTTTTCAATAATTAAATTTTGCTTCTTTTTTTAGTTCATGATTCATCAACTGATTACAAGGAGGAAATCTCGAACGTTAAACAATCTTCAAATAACTCGACTGATACAGAACAGTCATCGATTGGCTGAACAAAACAAGCTGCTTTTGTTTTTTTGATGTACACATTTTTTCTTACTTCTATCTTTCTTTTGTTTCTCAGAGTGTCTGGCACATTCAAAGTAAGATTCTTTTCTTTTTTTTTTCTTTCATGAATTAGCTTTTGTTGTTGTTGTTGTTGTTGTTATTGATTGTCGTCTGTCCGGTGGCAGAAAAATAATAATATTATATAGAAGACAAACGACAACATCGAATGTCTAGCCGGTGAGCTTTCCTTCATTTTTCTTTCCCATCTTAGCTGCTGCGCTGCTTTGTTTTTTTGTATGCTTTGAAATATAAATGTACAGTAAAACAATGATCTATTCTCACTCTTTTTTCTTTCTATTAGCACATTTCAGCTGTGCCACTTTGCTGCGGAAGCAAACATTTATTTAACAGAATTAACTCATATTTGTATACGTGGGAAATGTTCTTGTTTTTCTTTTGTTGTTGCTTCTTTTCAATGTATATTCATGTTCATCTATTTTTGTGTTCTGTCATTCCTGAATTCAAAATTTTAAAAAAAGATAAACAACAGTATGATCAAGAAAGTTTAAATATAAATATTGTTTTATAATAAAAATTGGTCACGGTATGTTGCTAAATGATCAGAACAAATTCGAAAGATATTTATGTTAAAAACATCATCTAAACAAACATTCAAGAGCATATTTATAACTATAGAAACATGAAGATATTATATCCGACATAGACGTCGCTAGTATTCGTGAGGCACTTTTCTGATGTAAATTTACAATCAACTAAAAACGACAAATATTTTAATGTCATGAATTAGTGATTTTGCGTTGAAAGTACTGACTAAAAGAAAACAATTATTATCAAAACTCCTGACAATCTAGTTGACCTTTAAACATCCAAAGGCAATTTGCATATGAAGAGAGCTGACTCATCGAAATAATTACAACACAAATTGTTTTATTTTAACTTGACAACTGAAACAGAATTCTCCATTTAAAAGCAATACATAAATGTTCTAAAATTACCAACAATCATATAGGATTTCATTGATTTTTCTGAAGTTACGAACACACTTTGTATTTTTCAATAAATAGCGATATAAACTCGAATGATTATTGTTGACATCGTTGTTAAGACACGCTTTCCGCTATCAAACTCATAGAACACAATGTTCACGGGAAAAAAATATCTCATTACAATTCCTACTTAAAACTACACTGGACATATTCATTCCGTATACTTGTTAAGAGTTGATTTTATATTTTAATGGTTAATCAAGAGAATTTCCTTGGTTTTGACATAATCTGAATCTGTCATAAATAATAGGATACGAACGATAACAAACGGGAATAGTTAATAATTGATTATTTTCTTTAAATCCGATACGTTTTATCTAGAATTTATAATTCTGTTTTCATGATGAAACTTTTATATGCAGACAATACTTCATTTTTCTAGAATATTGACATATAGAAAATATTTGTTAATCAACAGAACATTTTGTTTTTTTACTTAAAATAAATACAAAAAAAAGAAAGCAGGTAAACTAAGAACAAATTCTTAAGATGACGCTCGATCAAATGATTGCAGAGACCCATGACGAGATCCTGATTGCTTCGACGACGGAGTTTTTGATACAACAACAATTTCTTTTTCAGAAAGTACTTGTACAAAAAATGCTCCTTCTCTTTTACGAAATTTTCTATTAGCTGCATCGTACGATAATCTTATACCTAGAGTTAAACTTAATAAACAAATTATGCATTCAATTGACGATACAGTTAATGCAATAAGCACAAGTACATCTTTTCGATCTTTTAAATAAGCTTGTCCATCAGTCATTATATTAACAACTCCCAGGCGTAAAAGTTGAATATTAACGCAATCGACAATAAGTGTAACAATACTTAATGCGACATAGCAAAGTATCTAAATTGGAATTAAATTTTATTAAAAAAAAACAAAAATGGCCAATGTTCTATTTACCAAATAAAGACCTTTTTGACGTGCACATGCTATTCCAGTTCCGCCACAAAAAGCAAACTTAAAAGAAAGAATAAATCGTTGCTCTGTTTTTAGCAGGAAATTTACAAATTAATTAAACATACGAAAATTCCACTCCATATGGGTGATATGCTATGTGCCATCCAGACAACTGATCGACTTTGTGAAATAATGCCAACAATAATACTTGTTAAGGCGAGTAGGAGATGTAATGATGATATAACATAGGTTAGCGTAATGAAAATGTACATGGGATAAACAACATAAATATCATCTCTATCGGTTCAACATTTACCGACACGACAAAAAGAATGAACGAATAATAGGAAAAGGCGACTATGCGGAGAATAAGGACAAGCGCACGTCACATCTCATAAAAGATTAGAAACGTTCGCGTCTAGTTTCTTTTTTCTTTTGTCGATCATGACGAACAAGTTTTCTTCAACGTCCGGGACAAGAAGGAAGAATGAAAGCAAAAAGAGGCATGAAATATTTTTCTCGTTTGTTTTTTTTCCACACATCGTACGAGCGTGTGCAGACAGGCGTGCAAGTCATATTGAACAAGGCAAGCGTTAATAGAATCTGTTCATAGTCGCAAACTAGAGAACGTGCAGCTTCATCCAATAATAACAAACCAGAACGTCCCAATCAAGGATACTAACAATAACAAACTTCTTTTTTTTATATAACTAAATTGTCGACGTTTGCTTGGCATTGGTGACAAGTTCAATTGGCAGCTACTTGGACTGATTCGTCATACATTTAAGAAAAAAAGAAAAAAAGGAGAATTTTCCAGTAAAAGCAACACTTAACAAATATGAAATTAGCATCACAGTTTGCATTCTTTATTGTAGTAAATATATAGATTCATAAAAATAATTCAATTCTGTGATTTATCATGCAATCGATGCGAACAACGATAATTGTCTGTTTTGAAGACAACAACGATACGTGATCAAGAAATTAGTGTGAGAAAATATTACAAATGCTAGAATCTAATCGATGCATTTTAAGATTGAGCTGCATGCTTGACTGAATGTTTCGTTAACGTTTAGCGTTTCTTAATTTATATTCGACCAATACAAAATCAAGTATTTTTTTTCTAATATTCATCGAAAATGTAGTCTGAAGAAAAAAAATCTTTTGTTTTTATCAATACTGAATTCATCGATTACGAATCGTTCTAGCAAACGACGTGGCTGAAAATAGACATTAGTGCAAAGCTCAAGGACAAGATGTAATCGGATTAGTGTTTATTTTTTACATCGAAGCAAGCTTTTCGAGATTAATCTTTTAGCATTACTGATCGTTGAAGATCTTCAGAGTGATGAAAATAATTTACTCTATTGAATCTCATGTGAAGTATTTTTCTCGGCACCTATCCAAACAAGTGATGTGTATTCTCGAAAGTTCTCTTCAAAACAATAGCGAATCACAGCTTTGGAGCGTGGGATTAAGATGCAACTTATGGAACGTGATCATGAATCCAAGTGACAAATTCTTTCAAAAAACAATTTTGCGCAATGCCGCAACAATTCAACATATTGACACCTCGTGAATGGAAGCATCAGTTTTTTGATGAAATTCGAAATTCGGTGATGTAGATTTCGATTTAATTAAAAAAAGCCAAATACTTCAAAAGAGAGAGAGATGGCGCTGCTAAAAAAAATGTATCATTCGGGTCCGATATCACTTCGAAACTGAGATTCAGTTTTAACAAGAATGCTGGAGCCGCTATTGCTTCGAAAATATGGAAGTATTCGCTGATCAATAAAAACGATATGTATGCTTTTTTTCGATTTCACACATTTGTATACGTTGATTAGACTCGGAAAAAAATTTCGTAAAACTAATAATTCAGGAGTTATGCAACTGCCTGTTAGCGATCTGTAAATTATGTTTGAACAAATCTCAATGCAACTCAATTGTACTGATTTCTTATATTTCTTTACAATCGGACAACAACAATTTTGCGTTTTTGAACTTATAATTTGAACTAATGTAGAACAACAAATACACATATGAAAACAAAACAACAATTGAAAGTCGAATTCTATTGTTTGTTAATCAGTTGATCGCGATGCAAGAAGTCGATTTCGAGACGAAATATATTTTTTATGGCGTTTTGATGAATCTGCCCGTTTACTTAAAGGTCTTATTAAACCGGATTGAGCATCGGGTCGATCGGATTCTAAATAACCTTCGGACAGAATCAAATTATGAGTCGTTGTTTCAAAACTCGATTCTCTAATGTTATTCATATTTAATGCATTGCATTCTTCATCTATTGACCTAGAGCAACCATTTGAATTCTTCTCATGTTGATAATGACCATCATCTTCGTCATCATAATTGTCCGATGCTATTAATGCAGATTGTTTTCTTAATATAGAACGATCATTTACTAAACGAACAATAGGCATTGATAATGATTGTTGTGTTTGCGATTTATTGATGTGTTCGATTAATTCATTTTTAAGGGTCTTTCCATTAGTGATCCGTTTTGATACAGTAAGATTGTTGCGTTTTATTCTCTTACGTCTTGCATAAAAGCAAGCGATAAGAGCAAGTAATATAAAAATAAAGCCAAGAATGAGAATACCACCAACTAATACCCAATATTTGATAACATGAATCGTATCTGAAAAACAAAAACCATTAAAATAAGTCATCGTTTACTAATTATTTTACTATTTTGCTTTTTTATTATATCGCCATAATTGATTTCACAGCGTTCACCAGTAAATTGATTGTCACATCTATTGAACAGAAAAATCTTTACTATAGCCAATCAATATGATTTTCTTTCAAGAGATTAAAAACGCTTAATTACTAACAAACATTTCCATTGATGATCATCAGCAATGCATTGACCTCGATGATGACAATATTTTAAAGTGGCACAAGTCACATTTATATTCGACCGATTTATTGTATTAGTCTGATCGATGTCTATATAGACGCTAGTCATCGTATAGTTTATTGCATTTTCTGCATCTAATAAATAAAAAGTTTCTATGAATAATAAACTGACAAAAGACTCTCTTACGACAAACATAAATGCCGCTATCGGCACTTGTTAATGCTTGAAAATATAAAATCGATACATATCTAAATATCAATTGTTTATCAGTAGAAAGAAAAGACAAGCGAATAAAATGCTTTTATTTTACTCATTTTGAATCGAATAAATTCGACACAGCGTTTTACAATCTTTCATTGATGGATAATAATCTGATCTTTGATTATTTCTACTCCATAATAAGTGCGGAAGTGGATTACCACGCGCATTGCATTGCAGAGAATAGCTATTTAATTCAATCGGTTTATCAATTTGAGTTTTAATAATAACTTGCGGTGAATAAGTGTCTAAATAGAAAAGAAATAAATTTTCAATTGTATTCTTTTGAATACATAATAAATTTAGCTATCAATTGATTTTCTCACAACGGAAATATTAGAACAATTCTTTCTTTGTTAAAGGTTTCCGATTGAATTCATAAAGATTTCTCTCGGTGAAAAAAAAGAGTTATCGCAGAACAAGTGCAACATTGAACTTTTTGTTTACCATAATTCATAACAGCATCAATATTTTGTCGAACATACAATGTTGATTCCATTGGTGGATATCGTAAATCGAATTCATTTGTATTTGTTTCATTATGAAAAAGTATAATATCGATTGTCGTTATTCGAAGTAAATACCAACATGAATCATCGAGTAATTCTTCGAGATCACTATCGGTGCGTACAAGAATAATATCATTCATTTTAATTTTATGATAACTAATATTTGAAAGTTTGATTACTTCACGCACTAGAACTTCAGTTACAGCAATCGCTTTTTCGCTTGTTTCCGATGAATATATCGGTTGTACACGTAAAATTAATGAATGACTGTAGGTAGCTGATTGTATATCAATAGCATTCAATAGATCACATTGGCTAATAGTACTTGTTTGGTGGATATTATTAATTAGAATAATTAATATGAAAGTAACACTCGACATGCAATAAGGAACCACATGGAGATCATTTACAAGAAAAAAATATAAATGCTTGTATAAACAAGACAATTGTGAAAAGCTCAGATTTTTCCTCTGGTAATTTCTTTTGAAGAGAAACAGAAGAAGAAAAAAAACCAAAAAGGGGAGATGAAAAAAAAAGAAGAAGAGAAAGAAATCGTAAATAATAAAGTGTGGGATAATATACAGGGAAGACGTGCTCATATAACGTTGTTATCATCATAATCATTTCAAGCAATTACTTTTCTATCGTTGATAGTCTACTGTTTTACTTTTATGAAGTACTAGACGTATGATTAAGATGAGAAAAGATCTTGGTTCTAATGATGAAACGTGATTATCCTCGAAGACAATTAATAATGTCAATCATCTTGTTGGAATTTAAGAAAAATTTAACATGCGCATATTTTATAAACGAACGAATTCAGTCCGAGATATTATTCTACACAGAATGACCGAGACTGTATCATACTTCTACGTACAATACATTGGATTATTTTTGCCATTTAATAGTGAATGCCATTGAACTTCAAGTCTTAACTATCTCAATAGATAAGTTTGCCAATGAATCTTTCTCATTAGGAAACATACTAATGGCTATTTTTTCTATCTTTGTTTTACCTTGAAAAGATACAAGCCGTATCTATTGTAAATTTTGCAAGCGGGGTATCATAATTATTCACGAATGCTATATGAAATAGTGTTTTCGTTAATAGTGCTTCAGAAATTCATATAAATATGTAATCCGGATAAAAATAATTAGAAGAGTAACGCGTCACAGTACGAATGAAACAGTGCAACTAGTAAAAAAACTGAAATAATTTTTTTGTCGATTCATCGTACGGTCAAATGTCAAGAATATGATTGAGGCTAAACCAGGATCCATTGTATTTATCGATTAGTACGTCTTTCGGAAAGCAAAGCAGGAGTTCAATCGAGAGCAAAACCAATCACAAAAATTAATTTAAGAGATTCGTATTGAATGACATCAAAATCGCGAACAGTACCTTTTATTGGCTTATGAATCTAGCTGCAATCGTTGCTGTTCAAACATCGAACAAAAAAGAACTGCTCGTTTTGCGCATTTCTAGCCGTATTCTCAAATAAACTCTCTGTGGTTCACATTTCAATCTCATGGGAATTACACAATGCGCTATTCTTGTATTTTCACACAAAATATCTTATAATCAAAAAAAATTTATTATTAAAAAAAAAACACAATGCAAGCACCCAAACATGGCTATTAAATATTTAAAAAAAAACATCGATTCGATATAGAAAATTATACAGCATGAATGGAAAATATCAGTTAAAAATCGTCCGCCGGTGTAGTGCCATACGCTGAGCTATAGACTTGACCTTAAGAAAGAAATATTACAATCATAAAATATGATTAACAATGCGAACTTACTTCGAGTTGTTTTATGTGATGGTCTCTCAACAGTAGTACGTGCGACTACTTTCGATGTCGATTCAGTTGGCATTCGGTCCGATAAATCTCGATTACTGATTGGTTCTTTACTAGATCTCGGTGATTTTAATGGTTGAGTCGGTAGTGTTGAAAGCGGTGTATTGATCAAGGAAGAAATGGCTGAACGAGAACGATGAGCGGATTCATTGGAAGCTTTCGATAATAATTCTCGTTCGTTTGCTGATGGAATTTTTATACTAGTGTTGCTATGAGGTGACGAGGGTGACCGATGATATTTATCACTGAAAGATTCTTCCTCTCGTTTCGGTGCGCTTACATGTTTTTTATCAGTTCGTTGTGAATCATCAAATTGTGTTTTTGATATATCACGTAATTGCCGATCTAATGATCCTAAACCTCTAGGCGATCTCTCTAATGGACCTAGATCAAATTGCGATGAAAGTTTCGAATCGCGCTCAATGGGCTTATCCGGACGATGGTCAGACGATGTTTTTGATAGAGATGAACTCGGTCGTTTTTGTAAATCGCTTTTCATCTCGGTTGATGATTTCTTTGTCGTTGTTGATAATTGAACTGATTTTGGTGTAAGGATTACTTCAGGTTTACTGTTGTCTTTATCTTTCTTTAGCCACGATTTAGCTTCAAACTCATAAACATCATCATCCTTTTCATTGATTGGAGTTTTTATTTTAGGATTTGCTGCTGCACGATCGACTAAGAGTGCATTGCGTGTTGATTGGTCTAAATCTAATTGATTCAGTTCTTCGATGGAGGTAATGTGCCATTTTTTATCATCGTAACTATGCGACGATATCCAATAGGCAGTATGTTCAAAATGGCCACTTTCCATTTGAGGCGGTGAAGCGCTGGTTCGACGTGATTTTTCGATTGTTTGTTGCATGTTTCTCATTCGTTTTGTATTGATTGAAAATGGGTCATCTTGTGAACCTAAGCTTTGCTCGTCCCATGTCACTTTTTTATTTAAATTTCCTTTATCATTTACAATTGGACTACGTAAAATACCACGGCTACTTGCTAAATCATCATAGTCTCTTGATTTCGCACTTCGTCGATCACTTGAACGTGATGCGTTTTCTTTTGTTGACGACAATCGTAAAGCATAATCTTTTTTTACTTGTTCAAATGTTTTCCGATATAAAGCGTGACTTATGGTTTCAAGACGTTGAACGAATATGTCTGCTATTGAACGGCAGGTTGAGTATTTTTTACGAACTACTATCGAGTCAAGTAGCCAAGCCGCGCCGACGCCACTATTATCATGCCAGACTTTTATTCGATCGATTTTTCCAACATCGATATCCATGATCTAGACGAAATAGAGCATAATCAGGAGCTACGGATTACCTTCAAAACGAATTCTAATGATGAAGAAAAAGTGGCGAGTCGAATTTCGCACTCGAGCCGGCTGACATTTTTTGAATTTATCTGTAAAGAGGACAGCTTGAATTTTGATACCGAATAAATAGGCTGTTTTTATGACAGGAGTGTGTCGGGATTCTCGAATACAACAAAATTCTTACGAATCTCAATCATAACATCAGTAAATATATTATCCGACTTACAGTGAATTCTGATGTTCTATTGGCTTCAAAATCATTTTTTAACTTATTATCAAGAAGATGAACGCACGTTCGTCCGCTTTTACCATAGATAATTATAAATACATTTGCATCTGTACCAGCTCCGAAATCTTTACCAGTTTTGACTACTATATGATAACATATAGGTCCTATAGATATCATAAACAAAACGAATTAGTATTTCTTTCCGTAGAAACGAAAATCTCGTTACCATTGATATGATGATCAGTAGATGGATATGTTTCTCTTTTTGCTTTTAATTTACTCTTTGATTTTCCCAGCCAAGTATTGAATGGAAAATAAACCATTGAATGGTTATTATCTGCATTAGGTACGATCTTCCACATTGCCATTTCTTGAAGATCCCAATCAGCTGCTAATTGACTTTTATCCGATTCGACACTAGAGATATAGTAAAATAAAAACGAAATCATCATGTATTAAAAGACTATGATGAAATTACGTTATTTCAGCTAAATCCCCAATATCCCATCCGACAATCGCAAATGTATCTACTTGATTTTGTTCGAATAGATTTGCTCGAGCACTTGTTAATGCTAATTTTTGCGTTTGACTTGTTGATCCACGAATAGTAACTTGAATATTTGAATCAGTACCAGCAAAAGGCTTTCCACCAGTACGAACTTGTAATATATAAACTAGAAAGAAAAAAGATCATAAATAAATCATTTAAAAAAAATATAAATATTACCGGAGAGACTATCGATTGGAATATCTGGTTGTCTTGTAGGTGACTTTCGTTTTGGTTGAACAGTTGATCTTATGGGGCCATTTTCTTCGTCAGGTTTTTTCGGTAGCCAACAGTTAAATTCACATAGCCAACTAACAGATGTGTCTAGATTCGTTATTTCAATTTCTTTTAGAAACCATTCTTTATCTGAACGAGCACCAACAAGCTTGAGCAGAAAAGAAAATAGCACAAATCAACGATAGAAAATAACTCATAACTGAACCTACATTAACATTTAAATAATGTAATTGACCAATATCAGGCCCTCGAAGACAAAACGTTCGTACTGATCCAGTTGGAAAACCATCAGGGCTTCCTTTAGCACGCGCATGCAAATTAACCGACGTCCAATTTCTTTCAGTTCCGTACATATATAAAAATATCTTTAAAAAAAGAAACCATGAATAGAAGAGATTCGTAAATTTCGCTTTTTCGTACTTGAGCTCTTGTACCACTATTTTTTCTAGTGCCAGTTCGGACAATGAATCGATAAGGTATTGAATCCAATCTTGATGGATTTTGAGGAATTCGATCTAACGATGCTGATCGAGTTCGAAGCGCTTTTGGATTATCGTAGGGAATTAATTTTCGTCGCTAAAAAATTGCGGAAAAAATTTTGATGTCATTTTTTATCGAAATTCAATATACTTTTGATTGATCGCGTGGTCTCGTTGGTTCATGATGGTGTTGATTAATTGAGCATAGATAACAAAATGTATGTCCGTGATCGTCAGAAAAATCTATACAAATAAATTTTTCTTGATTAACAGCATTTTGTTTTGTGAAAATATTAAGAAAACCTGTTTGATGAATTCCGGTGACATAGGGTTCTATTGTTTTATCAGCAAATAGAACGCCTGAATTCATCCATTGTGTATTAGTATTGCAAATCGGAGGTTTTGTCTGTATTTGGTTTTCGCTGACTGAATACAATGGTTCGAATTCATATCGACGAGCAATGATTTCTAAATCGCTTGCATTACTGAAGTCTAAAGAAACACAATAATACGAACATATATATTCTTCATTTGTGTATTTACTAGTTTTATTTGTATCAGTGAACGAAGCATAACTGGACGAATTAAAATGATCACCAAATGGAAGCGTCCATGGAACATCGCCTCCAATGTATTTGACATCCATCTGTTGAATGTATTTGTCAAGATAGTGTGCTGTTGTTAAGTTGCCATTAGTTTGAAAAATACCTTGGCGATGACTTCGTTTGGCTACGAGAGAAAAGAACAAAAAAAAAGATAGATATTTGCGTTCTGTTCTCTTTCTTGATCAAACAACAAAAATCTACGAACAACATATGACGGAGAATTAATTCAACACATGTGCTGGTTTTACCATAGGGGAATTTTCGATTGAAATGAGTTATGAAAAGCAGCCGTTTTTTATCGGAAAAGTGCACATTTTCATAGAGACAGATATGTGAAAAAGCATATAGTTTATTGTTAAAATTAAAATTTTCTGCTCTCCGAAAATAATTGATAGATACAGGTATTGTTTTGTTGGCGCTGGTTGGATCCGAATGATCATCATTGCAAAGTAGTTGACGTCTAGCTTACCAAGTCAAAAACACTCGAGAACAGCTCTCTAAATTTTTAAATCTCGTTTGAAATAAACGTTTGGGTCATTTAAGTTATTGCTGTGGCATCTCGATCATTTAGATACGTTAACATGGGTGTGGGTGTGGTTGAGTTAAAAATACACCCACGCCCATTATAAATTCGGAAGCAGTTCGTTTTTTCGACAATAATAGCAACAGAAATCAACACGACCACAAGCTCCTATTGCTGCAACTTGTGGGCAACCTTCATTTCAACGTTTAATGTTTCCACACCGTATCTTAGTTTTAATTTTACAAAACGTGTTTCATTACAAAATAGGATACTTTTTCATTCATCAATAGCCCAATTCGAATAATTCAGAAGCTCATTAACTGTAGTTTTTCGTTGCTTCTTGCTAAGAAGTGGTTTTGAGATTTTAGCTTTATATTCATGACTGTTTTTTTTTCAATGAAGTATTTAATCAAATAGTTATTTCACATGCAGAATATCACTCATAATTAGGCCAATACGTTGTCGACTATGAAAAATGCCTGTTTCTTCATTCACGTCCACACCCTTTTCGTGCTTTGCAAGCTATTCTCTCCGTACGTGCTTGAAAATAATTAAAATCCCAATATGCAAGTGCTTTACAGCCACTCTTCCCCATAAATATATTTCAGTAAACAAATTAAAAATAGCTTACAATGGTAGAAATTCTCACATGGGTTCTATGCTAGATATCGCTATCTAACAATAGCTAATATCAAAGAAAAGATAAAAAAGCCCACTTGATACAAGCAGGGCGCCACTGTTCTGGTTCCACCACTTGCATAGACATGTTTTTCAATGTAACGAAGTAGGGCTGATAGAGCAGCCAATGTTTCTTCACCAGTCGGAATGATTTGATCGGCGGGCAGTAAAAATCCAAATGTACCTATTGAAAAAGTATAGAACTAATAGTTGGTCAACCTTATTCAATTAAACTTACCAGTATCACGAAGTTCAACACCATAGCTAAATGTGATATTTAATGCACCATACGTCCAATCTATTGAACTACCCGATGCAACGTAGATAATTTGAGCAATACTGTCATGGTGATATTGGGTACCTTTATATTTGAAAAAAATTCGTCTCACAACAGCGACTATTTCAAAGTAGACAAACCATGTACAGCACGAAGTGCATTGACGGCTTGAATTGAGCCGTCATCTTGTAGTTTGAAGTGTGGCGGTGGCGTGGCTGTATAAGCTGAAAGAAAAATTAGGAACGATGAGATTGAAACTGAAAAGGAGGAGAGCGGATAAGGCCGCTAGGTACACCTAAATGTTTTCAACTTGATTCTCCGACAAACAATATTAACGACTTTTTTGCCTCGAGTACCCACAGTTATCATCGAAAAAGCAATTTATTCGTTCACGAAACAAAGTCAGGTTTAGTTGTACATTTAAGAGTGAGGCCTATGAAAATTACAATAGGAGTTCCAAATACTCCTTTGCTACCTATAAAGTTCAAACCACTGTCTGGACCTCGTTTTTCATTGTCGCAACACTCAAAGAGACCTCGACATTTTAACGAATAGTTGTTCCATGAGGGCATCAACAATGAAAAATAAGATCCAGAAAGTGGTGCGAACTTAAGAAGGAATTAAGGAGTTTTCCATGATACCTGTGGGTTATCCGAGGCAAAAAAGTCGTTAATATCGTTTTTCGGGAAATCAAGTTAAAACAGTTGGAGGCTGCCAAACGGCTTTATCTGCCGGTCTTCTTTGAAATTTACCCCATGCTGACATCCACAATTGTGAGAATGCATGAAAATTGATGTAGTGCACAATTGTATCCTGGCGATCCATGATAAATTTTGCTACTTGAGCTACTTCAATTTCTGAAAATGCTTTATCACCACAGAAACTATCCGAACAAGGATCCTGTGAAGCACCATCTACAATCATTGTTATGTGAAAATAAATGCACAACAATAGTCAAGTGACAAACTCACTTTCACACCAATGATAATCCCAATTACGATTGGGATCAACGCCATAACAAGAAGCATTCGATGTTGGACTACGCGTTTTACGCCATAATCGATCTTGAACAAGCAACAAATTTTTAATGTCTAGTAAATTTACTCTGTGCAAATGTTAAGTCTCACCTGTTGTCCATGTATATGCATAGCCGTCAACATTGAATACAGGCAAAATATAATAATCGAATTGATCAACTAAATGAGTGATATCCGAATCATGACCGTACTTTGACAAAAGAGAGTAGGCAATGTAGATGACTGTTGCTGAACTGATCCATTCTCGAGAGTGAATACCTACACAGGGATCAAGTCGTAAACAGATAGGATTGAAAAAGCTAACAACAACAAACATCCGTCCCACCAGACAGCCTTCTTTGCAGCAACTTTGGTGCCATCGTGTTTAGCTGCTGTTTTGCTTGATGAAATTTTAAAGCCTCTAACATCTCGATTTTCGTACGATTTACCAACAGTAAACGGTGTAACCATATCTGGATAAGTCGAAGTCATTTGATCAATCCAACTATGAATCTCTTCTAGAGTATGGTACGTGTCATAGGCAAAATCATTTAGTTTTGACGATGATCGAGATATTTTGGGCATAATACTTTGCCTCTCAACTATTTCCCCGATGTCATTCATATGTATCACATATTCGATTTTCACGCCGTCCGATACCAAGAAATCAGCGAAATAATTAAATGCTTCTGGTGGTACACGAGCATCAATCTATTTGAGAAGAAAAACAAGAAAAATGACCTTGCGTTGATCAATTGTTAATAGCGGGAAACGCACTTGAATAAGAACTTACTGGTGCATAGATGTTTAGGTGTTCCGACCAAAAGTCGATATCGTACAGATAAGCTATATGTTTAAAGGCGGCTATTTTAGCAATTTGTGCATTGTTAGTGAGACGCAAACGCCATAGTTGATGCTTTGCGTACGATTTAGAATAGTCCCCGTTGACAAAAACGCTCATGAATAGAACGAGAACGATGGCAGTGCAAGACAAAGTTCTCATTCTTGTCAATGAAAATAAGCTATAGAAAACAAGAATGATGGTATGAAATGACGTTTTTTTCTTACATATATATATCAACAAAAGATAATAGAAACAACAGATAAAAGTTTATTATTCTTGTCATTCGTTTCGATTATAAAAAGAAAGCAAAAACGGTGACGTGGTATTAATGCAACAAATAGTATGATCAATATGACAAAGCAAATAGTATCCGAGTATACATAGATATACAGTGTTTTCGTATGATTCATTGTAATCTAATATTAACCAGAGAAGGCTCTCAAACGTGAATCGTTCATCAAGCTGATACTTTGCTCGTAAACAGGGTCCGATGAGACTATAGTAGAAGTTTAGAAGAGCTCGTTTCAGGGCATTATCATTGAGAGCTCACCAAGTCACTAGTTTTTCATCACTATAATAAGATGCTTCCATTTGAAATATCCCCCCGAGATGTTAAACCAATATGGTCTTTGCAATATTTTTAAAACTGACGACAAAAAGCAAATGTTATTCTCCGAGTATAGAATGTCGGACACACTTGTTTTTATTTCTCCTTCAGAAGCATGATCGTGTTTGAATATTCTATATTTATTACAATGATCATGTTGATTCATCTAAAGGGACGATCTGTTTTAGACTGCCTTCAACCTGCTTGGATTTGATATAATTATGTTTAAAATATCAACTCGATGAATGATTCAAACTAGGAAATGTTCCTGCTGGCGGCTGACTTCTGCGAATTCCTGCTTGAAAATTCCACTCTAATAAGGAAACACCTCAATACTAAATGTATTCTTATTTTTTAAATTGATTCGTATCTGTTGATTTTGCTAATCAAAACTACTATATCACTATATTTGAATTACAGATGTTGTATTTGCAGCGAACTTAATATTGGCATTATGAATGGGGAAGTTATGTTTATGTACACCTTCTATAACATACTACATAAGAAAAAAATTCGTCAATATCGATATTTGTGTTTATTCTCGATAGCTATCAAAAGTGCAGTCGAAGAGAACGATTACGTGATCAAACCGTAAAAATACATCGGATTCGTTATCGATGAGTTAGGTACGGACCAATATTGTGTATATTTGAAGTGGCAGCAACGATAGATTTGGGTTTTTAGGCAATTCACTCTAGATATTTTGTGCGGCAACAGAAATTAGATTTTTGAGGCTGTTTTTATCGATCATTGACTTTTCTTAATTTTATAGTTTTCATGAGTGAAAAATATCACCGAAAAAAAGAATTGTAGAATAAAAAAATATTAGATTGATTTATGAAAGTGCAACGTATAGCAAATCCTTTTCAAGCGTTTATGATAAGTTATATGACGACGATTATTGAGTTTAACTGTCATTTTCAAGGTGAATGCTAAAGCATATACACAGTGACTCAAGATTGGTTGTGGATGTGTCCTTTTATCGCTAATAAATACCCAGATCTACTTATGAAGCAAACTTTCTGTCAGCATTTTCGAATCCATTTTTTGAAGATTTGAACCATTTGCGAAAGGAATCGGTGATAGGAGAAGTTGAGATGTATATTTTGATTTTGTGACTGATTCACTGTGGTTTCAGGGGAAAACAAATCATTGTTTTAAGTAATCCGAAACCATCTTTTCCTGTAATGCAAGTTGGGAACGCTTATTTTCCTATAAAAATATCGAAATGTCCCCATTCATGTCGTGTTTTAATGCGTCAGTTTCGATAAATATTCAGAAATCAATTCTATACGATTTCGAGCGCGTTCATACTAATAAACAATCGACACGTTTTCTACGTCAATAAAAAGCGCGCTCTTACTTGTTTCTATTTTCATTGGCGGTACTATATAAATTTTTGCATTCACTGTTACTATGGTGATCCTCTAGAGTGCTGGCAGATACTACTTTGTTTATTTATAAATAAGAAAGCGACGTCCTATCGTCCAGAAACAAATGTATGAATGTATTTGTTTTTACATTCTCCGATTCCACTAGCGATCCTACACAATAATCAATAGTATTTTTCATTGGTCTATATTTTGTCCTGTTATCAAAACATTGCGGCTATAGTAATATTGAACAAAATGATAGTATGTGATTCTTTATCGCACAATAAGACATATCCAAACGGCTATGCAGTTCCAATGAAACGTGAAAATAAAGGTAAACTACCCTCCTTTTTTTGAAAACTACCATTCATAAAAAAACTTGATTTTGTTATTATGAAACTTTTTAAGAGATTGAATTCTATATAGTGAGTCATTTATTTTATATTTTAACAGTCGTCTTTCTTCAATTGCATTCGCGTTTCTTTTATCTGGCTAGAGAGGTTCGTCAGTGAATATCTATGACAGATTCACACGATTGCCAAGATCAGACAACCATGGGCGCATGTTTATCTGCCAAGTCCAAACTGGCAATTAAAAATACGCAGATTTCAAATGCACTTTCTGTCTATGTACCATTGGAATCTTTAACTGAGAAGACTGTTCATTCGATTATTTCGACAGCAACGCGAGCCAGAACTTCCGATTTGAATCATAGTCGACGTACGTTACTCGCTTTTTTACTTGCCATCAACGATAAACTTCAACAAATTGAGAAAAATGAGAATGTAACTGAACAATGCGATGAACATACCATCCAACATGCTAAACAAGTTCGTCAATGGCTTAGCAGAAAGCATTATTCGGGAAAAGCGATAGATATCGATTGGAATGACTTCAGAGCACATTTCGAGGGCATGTTCCAAGATAACGATGATGAAATTGCAAAGCGTTATCGGCTTAAGACTCCAGAACCATATTATGAATTGGCTATCCCTGGAGTAAGCTGTTTAACATTACATTACAAGACGAAAAATTTCATTGACACATCAAGGAAAACGTTTTTTTGAAGTTCGACCGCTTTCAAAAATCTGAACAAGCCGAGAATCAAATCATTAGTTGATTGTTTTTGTTGCAAATAGACAGATATATTGTTAAACGAGAACTAACTTTTGAAACAAAAAATGATTGAGTTCCAATAATTTCAAATAGGCAAAGCAAAAAACCTTTTCAATTTCTATTTCTATTCAGTTACATCCCCATATAGAACAATCACGTCGATACATCAACCAATTTCGTAAAGATGGTTTCAAACCAGAAGAACTGAAAGTCTATTGGAATGAGGAACAATTGGAAAATCTCTGCCCGAAACACGGACAGTGCGACAATAGTGAACAGTTCCCACCCCATGATCCATCAGATATTGATGCTATACAATATCTACGTCAATGTCCCGTTTCACAACGAAATCATGCTGTCGAAATTCGTTATGTTAATAACGGTATTCAACTTGCTGTTTTCGATGTACCAAAGGATGCTCAAATCATTGTTCTCAATTTTGCTGTAAAGGAATTCATGTTTTTAAAGATTGTTGTCGATTATAATTCAACATTTTAGAATGAAAAATCACCCGGGGGTGGCTATTTGAGACATGCCTGTAAGTATTCTTCAGCTGCTTTTATCGTGTTGAAATCAACTACTGCAAGATAATTAGTTTATCATTGTCGTGTCGGCTACCATCATTAATTTCGATGGTCTCCTTGCTTTCGCTTGTATACATTTTTACTTTTTGAAATTAATTTTGCAGGGGCACAAGAAGAAATTATTCTGTATAATTCGGATGGTTACCGAGCTCTACTCGATCTGAAATACGGACGTATGGGCGGTGGTTATGCTTTACCTGAATTTGGACTTGCTTATGTACGTGACATTTGTTTTGTTCATCCCGAAACTGAACATCATCGCCTAGCTGATATGATGGTATCTGCCTGTTACTGTCTTCACTCCGCTCAACTTTATGACAATCCGAGAAGTGAAGAAGAAGTAATTTGTTTGCAGAAAAAAAACAGCATCGTATTTAGACGAAAAACTTTGTATTTCGTTTTAGTACATAGCTAATACTACAGCCAAATTTCGCGCATTTATGGCAGCAGCTATTGCCAATACAAAAGGTGATGGATCGAATACTTATCTTCTACTTGGACCTATAGGTACAGGTGCTTTTGGAAATGATGTCCGAAAGATCAGAAACATCTTTTATCAAGTACTGTTCTCGAGAATGATGGGGTCAACTGGTCCGATTCGTAATGCGTTCAAACATATTTGGTTTGTTTCTACAGATGCATGGAAGAATGATCTTTTTAAAAAAATTCTTTCCTGAAAATGATCTTCATGCAAATGAATAAAAACTATATGTTGTTTCTCTCTCTCTCTTTTGAATTATTTTGTGTTGGTGTGAATGTTTGTGAAACGAAGACTCACATCATCATAAATATTTGAAAATCCCTTGTTTTACCTGATAGGGACTCGTGATATATTTTTTCTTTTTTATTGAAATATAATAAGCTTAACTCCGTCTATAAGAAAACAATTGCTCTTTCATTACGTCTTTTATTGAAATTATAGCAATGTATCTTGGAAATGATGTTCAACTTTTAAGGATTAAATTTCCAAGTAGATTTGGTAAATAAACAAGAAGTTGACGAATGTCGCGATTTATTGTTACTGTTCTCTTTTCCCGTGAAGTTAGGCGCAACCAATTGCTGACAAAAATGATCGCTTGTACATCCGATGAAAAATGAAAACATAAAATTTACAATATTTATAGATTTTAATAAAAGATATGTATCATAGAAGTGATCCATACTGTCAGTTTGCTCCTTTATCAATTTAGTGGTCGTCATTTTTATCATACCTATTCACCAAAAACAAATCGTAAATTTAACAGAAATATTTTAAAAGCTACATTGAAAGTGAGCCCAAGACGATCATCAAGATCTTCTTGACTTCTAGGTGAAACAACTATAAGGAATTCCGGGAAATTCTTGAGAGTATTGATGTGAATTTCCTTCTTCTACTCACTCACAACCACACACTGTAAGAAATCATTTGTACCAGCACTCCAACATTACACTGGCTGCCTTTTTTATTATTCAAAAGCAAAACAAATTTATATCATTCAGAAAACTCTTTTATTACATGAGAACAAAAACTCAGTTAATACGGTTTCTACAATTGTTATAAAACACCGAAACGCATCAAGTATATGAAAACTAACTTGAACAATGTCATGCCATGTGGTTATCATTTGCGCACGTCTTCTTCGTCGTAAGGAGCAAGCAAGTGGCGAATAAAATGGTGGCTGTGGCATCTAATAAACATACAATGAGAAAGTACAAAACCGATGCATATACAATGGAATTAAAAATACTTGTCAATTGCTTCTTCTTTACTCAATTTATTGTCACCATCTTTATCACAATCTTTCATTATTTTTTTTGCTACTTTCTTTGGGTCACTGTTACGTTTATTCTCAGTTGCGCCAACAAGATCATACTGAAAAATCAAAGAACGAAGTTTGGTTTATTTTTCGATATTAATTAAAACTGTACCATAGCAGTGATCATTACTGTCAGTTCTCCTTCATCAATGCCCTCATCGCTATGTTTCTTATACCTGTATATCAAAAAGATCGTAAATCGAACAAAAGAATTTCATACATTTACATATCGAACAAGACGCTAACGCGGTCCTCAAGTTTTCCCTGACTTCCAGGTGACACAGCTATAATAAAATCCGCGAAATTTAGTGAATCGTCGCCAATGCTATTTTGATCCACACACATAGCGCAATAGTTCTGCATTTTTGTTTCTCTCTGCATTGTTGTTTCTTTCCTGTTGTTTGTAACTTTCGAACCATTTCTATCATTATTACCATTGCTAGCGTATGTGTTAAAGATATAACTAAAAATTATTAAATATTTTTGAAATTGAATGGTACTCTTTGATCAGATTTTACTTGCAAAAAAAGTCTGCTTTCTCAGGCCGACAATATTGCCGCTGACATTCCTTAAATTTGTCCTTGCTAAGTTTACCACTGGGACAATCATGGAGAAATTCCTGATATTACAAGAAATACATGAAGAAACAAAACAATCATCAACTCTCTACTAACCGCATGCCATTCTTGTATTTCTTTATATGAAAAAGAAAACAAATAGATGAGAAGAAAATGAAAGGAAGAAATTACCTTGTTCAGATAGCTTAGTGACACATTCAAGTATGTCAATGTCTGAAATTTATGAAATAAAACATTAAATTTTGGCATCAATCAATTTAAGCTACGCACGTTGCTTGCATACTTTTGTTGGCCCAGATATTTTAACTTGTTTATTACCCATATCAAATGATAGTTCCCAGTGAATAGTGAACGATTAAAATTTAGAAAATCTGAAGGAAAAGTTTAATTTTAATATTCTTCGTTGTAAATTTGTGAATATTTATAGCATCGTCGGTGGCATTTGTAAAACAAAAACAGAAATGAAAAAAAGCACAATGGTCTCAGCAAGGGTAAACTCAACTTTGATCGACAGTAAAAATGTCGACAGCTAAAAATATCGAAAGTGCAATATGTCGAAAGAAATTTATAAAAATAAAATTAAAAAATCTAAAAGAAGGAGTGTTTTAAAAGATATTCGATGAATACATTATTATTGTAGGCAGTGGCGGATCTACCAGTTAGGCTACCCGGCCATCGCCGCCCGCTTAAGAAACTTTTTCGATTTTCTCCAGCAGATATGAAACAGAAAATAGTCGTTCTGTCTCAACTAGACTTGAAAAACCGTTTTTTGGTCAGGAGCGCTACCCCCTAACAGATTTTCGGGATCCGTCACTACATGTAGGATGGATGGCGACTTATGTTCGTTTAGATCTATCATTGATCTATCAGACATTGGTCACTTAGTACAATGTAATAGAAAAGAATAAGACAATTATTCTTCAATTATTCATTATTCGAGTGATAAATATACATATGGAAGCCGCCACGGAATCGGCACGCAACATCAACAGTGATTTAAATTTCATTACTTCGAATAAGGGACAACCTCTTTTAATAATGAATCAATTCTGAACACGACATTTTTCATGAATACCTACTCAGTTTTCGATATTTTTACTTTTTCGTTTTTTCGACATTTTACTGTCGACATTTTTACCGTCGATATTTTTACTGTCGACATTTTTACTGTCGACCAAAGTTCAGAGATTCCTCAGCAAGATGTAATTAGTAAGTTCGGAATAAATTTCATACCAATGTATTCGGAAGTAACTTTCGAGTTATGAATACTTTTATGAGTATATTTACAAGTGGTCTCTAACGAAAGGAACATTCCTAACTGTCGGACACCGTTTGACTTCATACATCGACTGTCAGTAGGTTTGCATAAAACTAAGAATGCCACAAAACGACTCATTTCTACCCTCTTCCTGAACCGGGATTTAAAAAAAGAGTGTGGGTTCTACCTCCGTTGACACCTATATTCACATAATTCCACGCATCTACATCAGCACAGTAGGAATCCTTGAAAATAGTCGATTTTCTGTGTTGCGTTTTTCTCTCATTGCTAAGATGTCTGACTAATCGATATCACGGTTGATTTCCGTAGTTTTTTTTGTCCTTTCAGCGATTAAAACGATGTTAGTGGTCAAATTTCAGAATGCATAACTATTCTGTGGGTGTACATTGCCGTGTGTTCAGCATGACTATCATCATGACTGTTTTTATGATTAAAAAAAAATGCTAAATAGAAATTTACGCCGACGAAAGTGCACTGACATGCTTATCACACACTGGCTCAATCGCACTCACAGTTTTTTGGTTCAAAATGGCATATCACTAAGACAATATTTAATTTTTAGTTAGTTGCTTCTGTTGTCAGCGTTTTCTTCTTTTTAGCTACTATCAAATCTACGAGTTCAGTCCTGATTTTTTGTATATCTTTCCATCCGCCTGGTATATTCGCACTTAATTCGTCGTCCTCCATTGCCATCCATAACATAGCCAAAATACATAGGAATGCAAATGTGATCAGAACAGCAAAGGTCAACGATGTCACATTTAATTCATAGTAATATAGGAGGATAATGGCAGGGATAATTAGCCCCGGTACTGAAATATAAATGATTGTTAGTAATGCAGTAATACAAGGATTTTTGTACTGGCGCAAGTGGATGCAACTGCAGTAATGACAGGGTAAATAAGAGCCACAGCACAGAGTTGGAGCAGTTGTTCCATTGATACCGACTGTTTTAGCCATCATGTGAAATATGCCTTTTCTAACACCTAGGCGCTTTTGAAGTACATGGAGGTATAGATGTATTAGAGCTTGAGTGATACTCCCGAAAGCAGTCAATAATCCTGCAGTAACGCCAATTTGTGTCGTAACATCCGATGTTGTTACATCACGCGCAATCCAACGAAAGCATGTTCCACTGAGGGTATCAAATGGAAAAGTGACATTTGCGCCAGTTTGGCATTGAAAATATGTATGATTGTCACCACAGAAGCACTCCATCGGACCATAGTTAGGGCATGGGCCACCTCGATAAACAGCTGTACTGGTTAGAATAAGACTGTTGAGCACAGCCATAATAGCAGCTGAGATGACAGCTGTGGTTAGGATTGTTATGAAAAGTTTATTTGAAAATTTATTTAAAGGAATGTATTTTCCATATATATTCAATATTTCACGTTCGTGTTCTGGGTGAGACGAAGGGTTTTGATATGATGCTACCCTATTGTGAACTTTTCTTTGTGTGGCGCTCAACTTGTCATCTTTATCAGAATAAGGCCGTACTTCATTATTGTTCGGCGGCTGATCATCGTCAGATGTCGATTCTTCGGCATCATTATTCAATTCCCTTTCTCCATTACAAAGATTCTTGCAGAAAATTACAATTTTTGAAAGCCTTTCAGTGGCTTTGATTATACGAGCACTTGATATATTAATTTTGGAATTGCGTGAGATAATATTATGATGCACATCAATAAAACAACGTTCGATATTGAAGAGTTTAGCAACAATACCATAGAATAGTTGATCGAAATATCGTAGTAAAAAAACCAAGATGACAAATGTATTAAAAACAATAGCAGTACTAATGAAAATATTACACCAAACCCAATTCCAATAATTCCAAGCCATTTCAAAAACGAAAATGATAAGCTAGAAAACAGATTGAAAAATTGCACTTTTGAACTGTATTGGATGAATTCATAAATAAGAAACATGTTTGAGTGCTTCAAACAGTCTGTTATTCAAAAACCTCATTGAATAAAGTTTTAGATACGTGACTTGGAGTGGGCTTGATATTGAGAGCGTGTGAGCAGTGGTCTTCGCTGAATTATCAGCGTAAACCAGTCTCAAATCAACACCATTGTGGCTTCATAGTCTCATATGATGCTATTACTTAGCCCACACCTCACAGTGGCACACTACTTAGTCCGTACACTCTATATCTATCAATGCAAGAAATCTAGATAAACTGATCGAAAAGGTTGTAAATAGCGTTAAAAGCTGAACGTGATGAAGATAGAATGTTTTCAATTTTTTTACACTTGCAATCTTGTACTGGTCTCACTTAAAAACCACTGTTGCTCTCAAATGAAGAAACTTCTGAATGCATGATTGCTTTCTAAGACATTTAAAACGTCCCTTTTTCGTTCTGTGTCCAACCTTGAGTAGAAGAAGCGATAGAAAAATGAGAGTTGTTGTTTGTATTGCCTACAGGAGTCTTATTTTTTACTTTCTCGTAAACCTATACAACAGAAAGAGAATTTTGGTGAAAAATGAATTGGGATTTTTCTCAATGAGTAGTCGTAGTATGACACTTTGACATTTATTTTTGGTTTTGATTAGTATTCGAATAAAATATTCGGTGATTCTTCTCTTCGGCTAACCAAACATCAGTTGTTGCCATTGTATTTTTGTAAGCAAAAAATAATACTACGTCTCATTCAGAATTTTTTGTAATGTACAAAGAAAATATAACAAAACAGAATTTTGAATCGCTCTCCGCTTTCATTTCGACTAGAGAGTAGGATGAAAACAGGCATCTTGTGTTGTCTTGTACTTTCTCGTAAGCAATAGCCTTCGTTGAATTATCAACATCAACAAGTCCCGTATAGACTAATGTGATACCATGTATACGATGGAGAAACTTTGAATTTAAAGAATTCTTGTATGCATTTATATATTTAATTAAATTATATAAGATTTTCATTTAGATTCATTGATTTATTTACTAAAAGAAAACGAGCTCCTGACAACTAGTATCTTTTTCTTGAATTGAATACACTATGAAATAAAACGAAATTTCTTTATCTATTTCCATTTTCTTTTATTGCTTAGGCCTGAAATGAAAGATAAAAGAAGCAAATAAGTTTAATCGTTGAGTATTACCGTCTTATCTTACAATCACACTATTAGAAAATAAAAGGGAATCGAAATACGTAGACAGATTTGTAAATAGAAAACGATTAAAAGTTATTCATTTCATTTTATAACATATGGAATTGAACAAGGAAACGGCTTAGTCCTTTGTTGCGTTTTCTTTCAAGGAATAAATCTATTAATGAAAATTAAAATATTACTAAAGTTAAGTAGTTAAATAATAAAATAGGAAGAGAAACAATTATTAAACTACGAATTACATGGTGTTACATGAGACTATAAAGCTTATGACGAGAAATGGGCGCATGTGACATGTGAATATGAGTGTACGTCTCAGTCGATGCAAACCCATACCCTCAGCTCCTCAAAGGGGATTAGTGAGACTCTGTCTACTTGTAAAATCGTTTGAAGTACAGGAAAGTATGCGCTTCTAGAATCTCGCTTTTTACCTCTTCGCCTTGCATTAACCTAAAATAGTTTATGAAAATGTGATTTCAAGTTTATGACGTTAATAAACCCTTTTCTATGGTTTATCATTCTTCGATTTTTTTACAATTATCGTGTATGCTTATGAGCATGCTCGACATTGCGGATTGGTGTATAGAGTAAACAAAAAGTGTTAGTATTCATGATGAGAGATACTGATTCTGAAAGGGGATTAAGATGTTCCTTCTAGCTTAATTGGCTTAGGACCTCTATCGGGATAACAGGATATACATGGCTCAAATTACAGTGATGGATCATCTTATTGTCTATCCCGCCACATAAGATCAGAGATGTTGCTTAGCCCGTATACCTTCTATATCTATCAGTTGCGAAAAATATGGACGAAACGCTTGAAGTTGTGATGATCGAATATATTTTTACTTTTTTTTATACTCACAATCTTGTGCTTGTCGGATACAAAATACACTGTTGTCCTTGAATGAAGAAACTTCTGAATGAATGAATGACTGCTTACCAGCATAAATCAAAAGTCTGATTTTTCTCGGTCTATGCCCAATCTGGGATAGGAGAATCGCTAAAAGAAAACAAAAATATTTCATCGTTGTTTGTATTATCGGTAGCAATGACATAGCTTTTTGCCTTATCTTGAATTTATCATGTAGAGAGAAGAACACTGATGAAATTTAATTTGGAATTTTTCCCAGTGAGTAGTGGCATGATACTTTTCTGTGTTTATTTGTTTCGAGTCATGATCAAAAAAAGTGTCATACGAAACCCAAAAAATTCCTATTTTTTAAACACAACCGAAACTGTTTCAGGTTTCGTAGAGATGATGTTTATTAAAACACAATACGTTTATTACTAATAAAAAAGCGTAGTATTGGAGAACGGTTTCGGCAAAAAGAATAATCCGTTACAAACGCAGTGGCGCACCTCTATCCGATGTACGACTCTTTTGTGTCCCTTTGCTTTGACAGCACTATCAACAAAAAAATGGATGTGTATCTGTATAGCGTACTTTTTCATGGGTCTACTACGATATACAACGTGTCCACTATCTATCTTCATATTTAGAGTTTTCCAACGTTAGCAAAATTAATAGTACCTTTCGATTCTTCACAGGGAATGAAAATAATGCACTACTACTCGTTTTTTTTATTATCGCTCCCTTCTCAATACAAAGTATAAAAAGAACCAAATCCGTCATGATTAACTGTTATATTGTGATCATCTTTTGTGTTAATCATGATATTGGAGTTACTGTTGGATGTTAAAACAAGAATTCCCTCTGGTGATGTCTAAGAAAAATTTGAGGGTGTGGATGTGGGTGTGGGTGCGGGTGCGAATGAAAAGAACACTCAGATCATCGCACCCTCAAGACTATTAATAAATAATAGCATATCGATGTTTGAGGTATAAAATGAAAATAAAATTTATTTCTCGGTTTGCTAATAAAATATATAAATAGTTTCGCTTTTGAAATTTTAGAAAAACTCGAAACATGATTGTTCTTCGATTAATGATCGTGCCTTATTCATTTGTTGTTCTTCGTTCCATGCTTGAATTTCTGCAACTGATCGAACACAATTGTCTCTTTTATCAGTTATTGGAAATGTTAAGTTTGCTAATTTTTGAAGTTGTAGAACTTCGACTTCCTCATTCACATTTTTGTTGCTTCCAATTTCATAATTCGATAACGAACGTAGATCATTTAAGATTTCGATCAACTGATGTCGTTGTTTTCTTTCTCTTGTTAAATTATGCCAAGAAAAATAACAGCAAGTTTTACTCTCGATATATCCTGACAACGATTGTATTAGTAAATATAAGATATTGGCCAAAGCCGTTTTACGAGTATCATTCTTAGCGATGTTTTCTCTTGTGATTGCTTTAAATATCTGCTGTAAAATTTGTTTTGATAATGGAAATTCCATAACTCCTCTATCGTATTCACGCTCAATGGTGGACATTGCAAGACTAACCAGAATTTGATTGAAACTCAGCTGGTGAGAATCTTTTATAAACATGAGCTTGGTTAAATCGCTATTTTGACTAAGCATTGCGACAGATCTTTCAAATCCTTGACAACATAGTAAAGCGCACAATAATCTACCAAAATTTGAATTTAAATCAATTCCGTTTTCAGTAATCTTTGAAGATTGCGATTTATGATAGCTCTTTGGTTTGTACATTGTATTTACATAAGCCTGTTGATTTGCATTGAAGTGCGCTTCCATTTTGAATGGCATACAAGAATTAACCAAGATTAATCGATTACAGAATCGAGCATTTAATTTGGATTGAATTACATAAGTTTTCTCATAGGCAGTAGCCAAGCGGCATTGCGAAACTGTACTTATTGTATTATCATAGACTACTTGATATAAAAATTCGTCACCACACTGCCGTTGAATTTTCATTCTTTTCTTATTCGCTTTTTTACTTAACCTGCCATCATCAGGCTGCCCAAATCCTATTCTCGACCTACGATGGTTTATCATTTCCGATTTATTTTCATGGTTAGTATTACGAAATGATAAATTCTTATAATCGAATATAGCGAAATCCAGCTCATCAATTTTGCAGTTACCGATACATATAAAACCGGCATTATCAGAGGAATTCATATGCTGTAAAAGCAGATGCGGTGGAATCATATTGAATTTTGATTTCGGATTCGAGTATATAAAAATAATAATGTTTGCTGTATGCAACCATATCAGTTCCGAATTATTCAATGAACCATATTTTTGAATATCACAATATCGACTTGAATAATTGAGTAATCGAAATAGATTCTGATATGCAAGAAATTCAGCACGGGTAAACAATGAATCTGTAATCAAAAGTATATCAGTACGCTCACTTGGCACAAATTTTGGTACAATGCGAATGTTATTCTGATGCTTTTCAATCACCGTGTCACATAGCAAGAGATCCAAATTCCAAACTAAGTTGTCATAGTATAGATTCTGAGTATCAGCACTTGAAATAATTGCAAAACGTATCTGTTTTGTTGAGTTTGGTAAAATTTTATTGATTTCAAAGATTCCACAACCATCCATCGTCATATGATAAACGTATGCCTCATTTCTACTCGCAGGCACCACTTGAATGAAAGAATGTAATGAGAATCTACACTTTACAGAGCCCAGTGACCTGGGACAAGTCCCATATACTTCTGTAGATAGATTCGTAAAAGTGACCGTTGCAATGGCTAACTCATTGGGACATAGAACAAATGGAATTTTTATTTCTTTAATCTGGATCGGATATTGACAGATCAAATTAGTTGAAACTTCGCTGCCACTAAATATACGATTCAGGGGATGAATTTGGGATGCCAATTGTACACGTTGAATGTACGGTTGACTGAGTGAAGTGGCACGAATGCTATTCATATGGCATGTATATTGATCATAATTATGCAAATTACTACCAACATTAGCACCTTGCAACAAAATGCCATCATTTGCATCAGCAGATATATAGTCTGTAGACCGAAACGATAAAATGGCTCCAGCGGGCAAAATCATGGCACCATTATTTATCCATTCAACATCGGTAACAAAGCAATTTGAGTTTGGTTTGTAGATTCCATCTTCATTGCCATCTGTAATTGTATAACCAACGACACTGGTATGATATTTATCAGGTCTTCGTTGGCAAATGTGATTGTTTGCATCAATTACAACGTATTCAACCGAGCCGTCGCTTGCAGCACACCCATCAGAACCATCACTGCCTGGATGCCCATTGACACCACAAGAGCCATATTTACCATCTTTACCAGGTAGGCCCATGGGCGCGGCATTCCATCCCCAACCACCACAACCTCCTAGTCCGCCTGACCCGCCAGAGCCGGAGCAGCCACCTTTTCCAGCTGCCCCACCATTACCTTTACGCCCTGCTCGACAATCTATTTCAATTAACATGAAGAGTTGCGGATCTGCACTTATAACTTGAATATGACCACCGTTGCCTGCATTACCACCTTTCCCACCATCACCACCATTTCCTCCGTTTCCTCCATCTCCTCCATCGCCACCATTCCTTCCATTTCCTTCATTCCCACGATCCTCTTCATCCCAACCAGGTGCACGAAAACTATAAGCATTGAATCCAGATGAACCGTCGTGGCCTATACCACCTGATCCTCCATCCCTACCAGGTGTACCCAAACTATAAGCATTGAATCCAGATAAACCGTCGTGGCCTATACCACCTGGTCCACCCGCACCTCCATTTCCTCCATCACCTCCTTGCCCGCCGTTACCTCCATTGCCTCCAATAGCTTTAATAAGAACGATTCCCTGCGATTCATCTAATGGAAAATTATAATTGGCCTTACGAACATATATGATGTTGTTCCAATCAACATGACTATCAGATGGGCAATTCAGTGTTCGAACTATTTTTACTTCTATGTTAAAATCTTCAACCGTTCCATGTAATAGTATCGATGCATTTTTAGAATCTCTGCCGTGTTCACCGGGCCCACCATCTGACCCATCAGTACCATCATGTCCGTTCGGACAGTTATCACCAAAGCTGCCATCTCTTCCAGGAGTTCCATGTGTTCCATTGCCACCTGCCTTGCCATTCAAATCTGACAGGTCGTTAATTGGAATCACTTTTTGGATTGATTTTCTCACAGATCGAACACTAACACTATTCCCATCGAAGGCGCGGTTCGGTACTTGATTTACTGTCACTATACTCATTACGTTATATTAATGCAAATCTACAATAGTTCAAATCGAAAAAAATGATATCGTAAACGGCCATGAAAGACATGAAACGGTTAAAGTCAACTATATTGTGGCATCTTTTCCACGGAGTTCAGAAGATTATGAAAATGAAAGCCTTTTTCCCGGGAAAGAAAGCAACTCCTATTACCTACTGATATAATAACAAATCGATGCTTTTATAAGCCGTTTTACTGCTACTCAAGCTTGTTTAAGACGTCGTTTTCGACAGCTGCAATAATTTTATTGTTATCACACGTTGTCCGTATAATATTGAGTGAAGGATGCATGACTCATTGGTTACTTTCATAGGTATAGTTTTTCATATTTATTAGAGACGCAATTTTTGTCGTCCTTATCAAAGTTGAAAGATATGACTAACAATGTAAAGGGTTATGTTTAATTGAGAAGTCAAATAAAAAAAAGGTACTCTTAAATGGGAAAAAGCAATTCAAAGCTTGTGTGGGAAACATTTGAAAGTATATAGGGGAATTAATCATATCGTTATCCGTTTTCAACTATGTAACGCTACTATATGAAAAATGAAGGGTTAAATGGATGTATTTAATCGTGGTTTTTGTTTTTCGATAATAAATTATATTGAGTGTATGTTAATATATAGTTATCAATAAAGATAATAACAATAAAAATTATGAATATTAATGGACTGATAAAAATGTCAAAACAAGAGGTTGAAGAAGATAAGAAAAAACAACAACAACAAGAACAATGCAATAGATCATCAATCAAATCAAGGGAGTCAGTCGCATCTGACGGGTTACGTAATATATTAAATAGAATTAAAACAGATGATAAAAAATATAGAAGAGTTTAGCATCAATTAGCGACCTCTTTTGGCGTTAACACCATTCCACTGTATTTTCATGATAATATTAGTAGCAATGTCAAATTAGGAGAACCACATTAAAAAAGGATACCGAGGAGATGGAAAATATATCTAACAAATGAAGAATATGTAGAAAACCAATAACGATGGAGATCCTTATTGCGATGATCTAATCTACAGAAGATTTTTACATAACATGTTTTACACTAATTGTATGAAGGAGGAAATTATATTGAGTTCTACATTCTAGTTCCAAAAGAGCTACGCCAGCAAGTATTATTTTCTATAATACTACCAGATTAGTTTCCTTTTCTGTAAAAAGTAATTTCTTTATTCATATAGTTTACAATCTTTGTATCTAATTACATCTTAGAAGCATTATGAGAATGTACAAGCCAATATTTTGACTATATGGTGCAATTGTTCAAGGAAAGTGTAAACGATATGTTCTATGTCCCTTTAGGACCGTCAAGTCATAGGATCTTTTATGCAATACAAGAAAAAAGAAACAACAGGGTGTGGGTGTGGGTTTATGCTTAATATTAAACTCGACTTGAACGCCCACATCCAGCACCTTCATCTTCAGTTCTTCATTAAATATTCATGAGTATTTGTCAGTTTTATACTGATTTCGTAAACCCTGCAAAGTTTTATCTTCTTCATGACAGTTAAAGGTATATGAAAGTTCAATGTATCAAAAGCTCTTGAACATTTTATTAAATTTGCATAAAAACATCAAGGTTTTATGAAACTGGTATTTACCTAAAATAGCTTATATAATTATTGATTTCAATTTTTTTTCTACTAGTCTGTCTTATTGAAATAAAATAGAGTAAAAAGAATGAATCTAATTAAATTTTTTCTTTTTTAAAATCATTCGTTAAAAAAAGAAAATAATTCAAAACAAATAAAAGAAAATGGTGTAAACAGCTAGGAAAATGTTGGCCTCATAAGATGTTTCTTTCCGATAGTACAGAAATCGCCATATAAAAGGCCACTGTTTTCCGCCGGTTTCCAGTCGTGTACGGATCGGTGTATACGTCATAGGGTCATTACATCTTGTCGCTCATAGAAAAGGTTTTTCTGTTAGAGAAAAATTGAAAAAAATTTATATGCTTGTAAATCATTCAAGCATGAGCTAGAGAGATTATTATTATTTTTGTGTCAGATATTCTTGATAGTTATATACAAAAAGAAAGAAATTTATAACGATTTTTGATTCCTAAAAGAATTGTTTTACTTTCGATAAAATGTAAAGTCAGTTTTTACTTTTAGCGATCTATTTAAACATCACGAGTGAATTTCTTGATGAATACTTGATAATCAAACTAAATCTAAAATCAAAAATCTACTACTCATGCCTTTTGATTGTTCCTCAATTGTAAATACCAAGCATACAAAAAACCAGATGTGTCAACATTTTTTTGTTTAAATTATGATACTGGAGTTACTGTTGGGTATTACAACAAGAGCTTCGTATTTGTTCAGCTGGAAATTATTATCAATGGTAGTTTATATTTTTTCTTACAAAAAGAAAAAATTTAAATTCAAAAGAATTCATCCTCGAATCATGACGCCATTTTCATTTAATTATTTATATAGACTAGACAAATACAATCTGTAAGATTGAATGATCATCATCTAAAAGCAGCTAACGATTTATTTATGTAGAGTGCATTAATGATTATTAAAAAAGTATTTAAAAAAGTTCATTTTGCCACAATCAAAATTCGCAGAGATAATTTTACCGAATCAATGTGTCGTCTGTATAAAGCGATATATTTTCTTTTCACTAAAAATATTTCTTATTGCTATTTCGAAGGCATATCATCTGGATACAATGTCTCGGAGATTGCCATGCTATACTGCAGTTCTATTTATCATGCTCGTTATAATTTGAAGAAACACGACGAAGTCGCTTAAATTGCTATTTAATTTCTGTTCTCCCGAAAAAATACGAAAGAAATGACAGTAGATTTGCCATTAGTCTAAGTAATACGTAGGTGAAATATCTTTTCAATGGTGTATATTCATTCCTTCGGGTGAAAATAATCTATAGATCATCGATTTATTTCTTCATTAGAACAAAAAGAATTATTTTTTCTTTCTGTACTTGGCAACACTTATATACCTTCACTCATATCAGTAGTTTTACATACAGTGAAAAATTTTCAGCCCTATCCCGTTAAAAAAAAGTAACGTAATTGCAGTTTGTCGTGCATTAGTATGTTCACTAAAGTTTAGGATTTTTCTCTTGATTTTAGAATGAACACAGCAATCATATTGTTATTATTGATGTTCACCATCATGGTTAATTCAAATACTGCTTACACGGTTCAGCCTGAGAATGATGTTTATTATAAAAATCCTTGTCACAAGGGAGCATCATTTAGCTGTTGTGAAGGATATGTTCTGGAAGTACAAAATGAAACAACAGCAAAATGTATTAATTGTATTCCTGATGGACGTCCATGCTATCAAATCAATCGCCCATGCTGTCCAGGTTATCGATGTGGCTCAGGACCTGCTATTTATGTAAAACCAAGACCTACTGACATTTGTATTTCAAATTTACTAAAGGGTTAAAAATATAAACTTTTGAGATTATGTAACACAGTTGCTTAACTTTATAAGAAATAAATAAACATTCTATCATGTATCCATGGAAAAACCAACACCTCAAAATCAAAAATTCTGTTTTTCATGTGTAAATAGCCACTGAAACCGGAATTTGAAGTATCACGTCGTAATATTGCGACTATATATTATCGACCAGATTAACTTTATCTTTCATATTTCTACATTAACCTTAATTCAGATATATTCTACAGTTGGTTTCGCAATTCGAGTACAGCTGCAAAAGCCAAGAAAGACTGCTGTGTGCATTAAATTCTAGTGTTTATAAACAAGATCTGCGTTTTCTGGAAAAATTACCATTAACTGAATGAGCTACCCACGAGCTTCTCGATTGAGAAACTGCTAACGAATCTGACGGTTAAATGTGTTCTCATGCTATGCTAATAATTTATCACGTCACTCATTCTTTTGCTAAAATCTTATTAATACCGATCATTGCAACATATGAATTTATCTTTTCATTACTGCTTTATTAGCGCTTGTATTTGCAAAAATAAAGAATAGACTGGGAATATATTTTATATGATGAATTGACGTATTTCAATGGTAACCATAGCCTAAAGTATTTAAAATGTGAGTTTTTTTGCGGCAAATATTTTGCGACTGAGAACTCAAAAAAAACATCAAGTCAACGCCAATCTTTTGTACGTTGATAAAGTAACCTGATTCTTCTGCATCGTTCTGTTTTCAACCAGACGCTCATTTTTTCTATTTAAAAGCTTTTTTTTATTTCTTTTATTTGCTTGTGAATAGCATTATGCACGACGAACAGGGAAAATATTCCAACCAAACAAAAAATGGAATTTACACAAAACTAGAATATTCTGTAAGTTTCTCATAGTAGTTATCAGTCAACATACATGCCGTCTATTACGATACCTGCTACTTAGATTTCTACAGACACTAAATATGCTCGTATCAACTATTCTTATCGTTGTTCTTATCACGTTTGAGTATGTATATGAAAATAAAATAAATAAGTGATAACTTTTACAGGCTAGTCATAGCATTATCTTTTGCTTCTATTCTGAAAATGTTCTGATGAATAATTTTTGTTGCACATATTAAAATAAGCGGTTCACTCAAGTAAGAACATAAGTTAAAATCAAAGATAATATATGAATTTCGTTGCGAGTGTAGCATGATAAAATGTATGCGTTGAAAATACACAAGCAATTCGTATTTCAAATTTGCTTATCAGGTAAAAAATGCAGCAAGCCTCGATTTTCTTTGTTTTCCTTCTTTCTGTCTTTTTTGCAATCACGTGTCTGTCTATATATGGCTTTTGTATTTTTTCATTCTCGTCTTTAAAAAAACTTCCAAAAAAATGATTACTTTGAGGTAAAATAAAGTGGATGTAGTTGGTTTGAAGACGTACCCGTACATCCTCATATCAGAAAAGTTGGATGAGTACAAGTAAGAGTCTTAGAATATCTGATGAGAAGACGCGCATCTCTTGATACTTCTCTTAGAGAAATGTTCAGTCTCTGCAAGACACGCAATATGTTTCGTCCTGACATTCCTAGCTTTTCTCTTTGAAAAGGCTATCAGCCGATATAAACTTTATGGCTATACCTATACATGGGATTTTCAGGAACATCACAACGTGGCATCATCCACTCTGTCTCAACAAAAAAAAAGACTAGACTCATGGTTACGTCTCTCTTAAAGATTAGAATATCGTTGTGACTCACAGAAATCCATGCGTTATTGGGTTGGTAGGATTTGCATATTGATGTACGACATTTCTAGGATGTGTTATACTTTTGTTAACAAGTTTATCTGCCCTTTTCCCCACACCCTCGTGTACTATCTTTGTCTTATTTTAGATTATTACAATGGTTAGTTTGCAATAATAAACCTAGATTAAGCATCCCGGACGAAAGAAAAAGTAAGGATCAAGTCACTAATTGTATCGAGTATGTTATCTTTTACAATTTTCTGAAATAATCAAGTTAATATTTTGTGTATTATTTTACAAGATTAAGTCAATGGCGCTTATTCCTGTAGGAAAGTTTCTGAATTTTTTCTCAAATCTGTTAAACTCACAGAAAGAAAGATCAGAATCAGTGAATCATATTGGCGAATTGTTTCTTGATAGTAGTGAAGGACAAACCTTTTTTGATCTAGTGCATTCTAGGTTCGAAAATTATGATGAATCGAATAAAGCTCATAAAAACAAGCACTTCTTAGCGGATATTGATTTTATTATTCAATGTGCAATAGTAAGTTTAACGGCACCCGAAAATTTCTGCTCACAACCAAAACAAATTAACACCTTCTTTTATATTTATCGTCGAACTGCTGAATACAATTCGTACGAAAGACGATGCAATGCTCAACTGAAGACGTTTCAAGAGAAACTGCTCGAGCGGTTAGGACATGTGTTCGAATCAACTAAGGGTTGTGAGCCAAATCTATCTACAACAAACCAGGATCTGATAAAACGGATAAATATTCTAGAACATCTGTTCACCATTACAGAAATTAAAGATATCGAAAAATTGAATACATTCTTTGCTCTTTGTAAATTATCCTTCCAATCATCGTTAGGGATCAGCAGTAGCATTCGTCTGCAGTGGATGGATGTGTTGAAAATGCGTCAGTGGAATATTTCAGTCATTGAATTCGTTTCACAATACTTGGAATGTAAATCAGCATTCGAACAATGTCCACTCGATATGACTGCATTAATTTATCTCACTCGAAGAGTACAGTCATCAACGAGTGCTGATGTGCCAACATTTGATGTTCTTCATAGCTTTCTAAATGATTTAAAATTTGATTATAAAGAATTTTATGGTCGATTTTTAAGTATATTCGGTGAGGGTATTAGGAAACCTTCTTGCAATCAATCAAAAATTTCCCAACTGTTTCGAATTTTAAGCACAGAAGAAGATTTATTTCCGACATATTTATCGACGTATGCATCAGGCGTGTCACCTGATCACTTATGGGAACTATTTTTAAATTTAAGCATGAATGGCGACATTAATGAAATCATGCAAACACATCTTAGTTCGATTTTAACGCAGAGTATGCAAAATGCCCCAATTGCAACATTCAAACACTATTGTGTGAGTGCCGAATGCTGTTTACAAAAAATCAAAGATGAAAATTATCAAATATTTGTTGGAATATTCGACAAGGTGCTCCATGGATTTCTCAACAAACAGCTTAACGATCAACAATACTCCTATTATTTTACAGATTATATTTTAAAAGAATTCCTAAATATCGCGCTTAAACTATCACCGGCACACAGTCTTCAACATCCATCTTGTTTACTCATTATACGGCATTTATTATTTAAACTGGATAACTATGGGATAGAAATATCTGAAAAAATCAAACGTCTGTTTGCAAGATTATGTAATCTTGATAAAAGTTTATTTCAAGCAGTTGATCCTGCTAGTATAATAAAAGATGAATGGTTCATTGATTATATATTTCATATTCCTCAAGATTGGTTCATGTTAAGCAGATATGATTATGACGGTCTCATCTTCGCTTCTCAAAATAATAGTTGGTCACTTTATATTTGGTCAAGACTTATTCAATTGAGCCTATCAAAAGTAGGCGTTGATAAATGGAATGAAACAGTCGTGCAGCTAAATCAATGGATGATCAATGTCGAGCGTGATAAGTACACTGCTAACAACACTTTAACAACTATTGTCGTTAAGACTGCATTTGATATGGCTATTTCCAAGAATTCGAAATCTGTTTTGTTTGCTCCGAATATTGGATCAATGCTGAAATATATTTTAGATGCCAAACAAAATAATGATAAGTTAATTGATATAAAGCAAGTAGATGATTTCATTCAAAAAGTAAATGAGTCAATCAAGGATATTTTATCACTAAATAGTAAGTTCCATTTATTAGAATTTCTTGTATGCAAGACTTTTTGTAATCTTCAATAATTTAAAGGTAGATAAAGATAATTAAATATTAACAAATTTCTCCGCAGTCCAACTGTCTATTAATACGATAGAAAATTTCATGCTTACCTACAATTGTTTCCTATAATGTCTAGTAGACGACTAGTAGAGTATTAAAGTTATATCGGATCTATGAAGTTTTTGTCACATTAGTTTTATATTGTGTCCGACGTTTTTTGCAATGATATTCCTCACAGAAAAGTTGACCACGAACCCTTGCTGCGTTCAATGAACAAGTTCATATTGCTCGTAAAATGGCGAAATTTATTTTAAAAAAATGATTTCGAAATATCTAAAGCGTCAGTTATAAGACAATCATTTATTGTGAAGTTCTATTTTTGTAATTACAGGCACACGTAAAACATATAATGATCTGTTATGTATATCGAACTTTAGCTGCTTTCTTCCGTTTTGCGATTTGAAAGCTATGCTCATTTCATCAGATCCACAGCGTTATAAATTTCCTGTTACACCATTGCAAATCCTTACCATCGTTTCCGATGACAGACCGAATGATATTGACATATCTATTACTGATCAAAAAGAGACATTCTTCTGCTGTTTTATACAACAAGTCGTTAAATGGTTAGAATGGTTTGACAAATTTATTGACATTTTTCAGCATGTCATTGAATGGCTTAGAGTACGCAAACTACAGAGAGCTGAGCAATTGCTTAGTGATATACATACAATAAAAGATGATTCAATGACCAACGTCATTAAAGCGAAAACAGTCATTCAAGATATTATCGATTTACTAAAACCTTTCAAGAATCTTCACCGGCTTTGTTATCTGCTAAATTGTATGAATTCATTTGAAAATAGTTATCCTGGAACTTTAACCAGTCATGACCAATGGAAATCTCATATTGAAGAACTAAAACGAGTCCATTCGAATAATACATTCACAGTCGCGGCTAATGCTAAATATGAACATCCACACTCGATCGGTGCTCGTCGAGTTGTTCACTGGTCACTTGCTTGTGAAAGACTTGAATGCAACATTAGTATAGAATATCGAATTAATACACCTCGCACCAAGAGTTACAATTGTTTTTCTAGGCAAAAAGTTCCTCTTGATAAGAAAGTTTTAAAAGGTGAATTTAAAACACAACGAAGTGGCAATTTGGTAATCACTATTGATAATCAAACTGGAGGTGCTCCACGGACGATTTGGTATCAAATAAAAACAATGCATTTTTCAACATGCCATCTGTTTGATGGTTTTTTCTCTATGCTTCGCCAACAGTATTTCCAACAATCAAATGAAAATATTCAAGTCACTGATTTAAGTGATCTAATTGATAGAGCGTTCGAGTTTATTGATAGTCTTTTAAATGGGGACATCACTTTAGAAGACATGGAATATCTTAAGACAGTTTTTCATGATAAAAATATAGATGTTAAAGAAGAAGTCAAGATATTATTTTCTAATCGTTTAATCGCAAACAATAATTGTCAAACAACGCTAACGACAGCAACAAACATCACATCACAAGGTCAAAATGAACAAGATATTGAGCAAGTTTGCGAATGGTTACGAACTTATCAATACTATAGTCATCTTAGTATTATAGCCGATTGTGTACAAAAGTTTGATATTATTTTAAATATTGATCAAAACGATGAATCAATTGAAAAGTTACAAGAAATGATTAAAAACGACAGCTGTTCTCTTAAAAAGATCTCAGAAACATATAAAGATCTTTATGAACGTTTTGGAAAGTTAACGAATCATCATTTGCAATTGATTAAAACGATTACTGAATGTTTTCATGTCGTTCAAATATTGAAAAAATTTGATTTATATTCAACTGAAGGATTACGGCGATTTCTAGAATTGCGCGATAATTTAACAACACAATTTCAATTACAAGAACGCAACAATATGATTCTTAATTCATTGATTATTAGTTATGCTTTATGTGAACCCTTTGTTCATCAAGTAGAGAATTTAGAAGGATTCGTAGATAATGTTGCGAAGTTATCCAATATTGATGAGAGTTCATTGGAACATATTAAAGGTAAACAAAATTCTTTTATATTTTCAAAAATCGAGATACTTTCTAAGCAAAAATGATGGTTGCAAAAAAGGACTTGCAGCAAACAGTTCTCATGTATTTCCGCTATTTTCAACAGTATACAGTTCAGTATTTTATTCGTTCTACGTAAATTTAATTAATTAATTGCCCATCGAAGATCGTGACCGATACGGCTCGGAGCTGTCTGTAATGAGTCTGGAATCGGTCGGTCTATCGGTGACTCTTTGATACTAGAAAAAAATTCAACTATAGACCATTTTTTACCATTAAGAACAAGAAATTTCGAATAAGCATATTTTATAAAAAAATAAGGAAAGAAACCAGTTTGAAATCTGCACCGGCATAGATCCCATCTCTGGATTGTGCGAACAACTTTTTGAATACGAACACGAAATAATTTAATCATTTTCTTGTAGTTGTCAATGATAATATAAAAACTGTAAACATGTGGTTATCAGCAGAAGCAACAACAATCTTGGATAATGCTCTCATTACTATGGAACATTTATACAAAACCGGTACAGTACAAATTCACTTAAGAAATCTAATGAGCGAGAAATCGTATTTTGAAATCGCATATTCAATTGACACGTTAACAACAGAATTCAGCAGATCAAATGAATTCGATTGCGACGAAAAAGATAAAAACATACAGAAGCAAGAGACAATAAAATTCGCATTGTCAATGGATGATATTGATGATCATAAACGTCAATTAACATTTTGTAATGTTGATCTAAAGCAATATATGATTGACAAAAAGATTCTATTAGAAGAACAATTAAAACTATTGGATACAATTGAAAAAATTTATTTCATACTTTTAAAACTTGAAAAAGCTGGTCATCCAAATTTCCAATTGAAAGAATACAGCTATGATGTTTATGACCGACCAGGTGAGATTTTAGATCGGTAACAATTCGAATTTTTAGTTTACATGTTTCGCTTTTAGGTACAGTGAGCAAAATATTATCCGATCTGAAAAATAATGAAGAAGGTAGCGAACAAAAACTTAAACAAGAGATTAGAGACCGAACGAAATATTTTCAAGCGAAATTTACAAAATTCGAAGCTGATTACGACATATGGATAAGAGATCTAGAAAAATTACGATGTCGAAGTCCACTGTTACAATTATTTTCAAATCATCAAGTTATGATTATGTTCATTTTATTGACAACTTCAGCAACAGAAAATCAAGTTCAACAAAAATTCTTAAAGAAATTATTTTCCTTGGACGATCTTAGCAAAAAACAAGAGGAAAACTTTAAGTTAACTGTTCTCTGTTTAATTCATTATTTGCAATCATTGAGAATCAAAGATTGTAATTTATCTAATCCTAATGTAATCAATCTTTATAACAAATATAAAATAGAATACAATCATTCGAAAAATGAAGATCTACAATCAGAAAACTTACAAAAATTGTCTTCGTTTTTGGAAGATTTTTTCAATAAAGGAAAAGAATTACTAGCAGAAAGTCCAGCAAACACTGAAAATCAGCAATATCTCGTCACATTAAATTCTCCGGAACAAACATCAGATAAAGTTGACATTCAGAATGACTTTGACCTGGACACATATTATATTCTTTTAAATATTTTCAACGATCGATTGCCAGCTGATTATCAATTACTACGGTGTTCTGTCGCAACAGATGACGATATTCGCTTATTTTTTTCACGTGTTCGAACTTTTCCACGTTTGACATTTGCCGTCATAGATATTGACAAACTGCATCACCGACTTCGCGAGTTGGTGTTAAATGAACAAGATTCATTAGCAAAACAATCTGAGCGACACGGAACAATTTATTATTTTTCAAGACAATTAATATCGTTCAGAAAAGGTGTTCGACCATTTTACATACGACCGCAACATCGAAATTCTTCTCATGCTTACTCACAATTTACGACGTTACTAAGAAACAATAATTTGCCATCGCCCCAAATTCAAATCATATGTGGAAAAGCTGGAATTGGTATGAAATTCTATATTTCTTATTATTTTCTTTCCTCGAGCAAAATTCTTTGTTTAATTTATAGGAAAAACTCATCGCATCAAAACAGCCTGCAACGATCATAATACGTCATGTGTAAGCATTAATGACAAATTAAATTTGTCATCGTTGATCAGTACACTGCTGTCATTAGAATCAAAAACGTCAAGTAATCAACTATCCATCTATTTTAATATTTCTATTCATGCAAATTTTAAACAATTGAATCATGCATTTTTTTCTCTATTTGTATGCAATTCATTAAATGATCTTACTAGCGGTCTTACATTTTCACCGTCCAAAGAAAAATCATGGAAATTTATTGTTGAAGTTCCCTATGCCGATAAATACAGCACAACCATTAAGACGAATTTCGATAGAATATTACCAATACTCTCTATTATATCGTCAAATAATTTCGAAGAAGTTACAGATGAAAATTACCAACTGTTCATTGGCGATGAAGAAAAACTTATGGCAAAATTTCTCAAAGCTTATGAAGATCAAACGATTGATCAATTTTTAACACAAGATCCGTTTGGCAATGAGAAACCTGTGCATTTCGATCCATTAACAGATCATAATGAATGTCGTTCTTACATTTCCAACTGTATTAAAAAATACGCACCGGAGTTGCCAAGAAATAAAATCTTCGAACTCTCATTTACTAAATTTTTATATCGCCGGATTCGATTCTTTACCGGATTTCACTTTTGTCTCAATATGACTACTGAACATCTCGGCTCAACTGCTATGAAGCAAATGATATACGAGGCAAAACATCTAACTCAAATAAGTTTTCTTTCAAGCGATTACCCTCGTATTTATCTTGTCTACGATCCAGCATTTTCACTACACATATTACACAATGGCTGGAATGCAGTTCCTTTAACATTACAAGCTCTTTTCAGACATGTCGATCCACAAAAAAGACCAGAATATGGAGATAAAAATTATTTTATAACATGTTTATCCTGGCTAATGGACATTCCCTATACTCTATTCGAACGCATAATGATTGACGCAAATTTTATTTTGACAGAAAATTTTACGTATAAACTTTTTCATGTCCATGAAAGAAAATTAACAAAATTAGCTCTTATTATTGAAGGTGAAACAGGTGTTGGGAAAACATTTCTTCTCAAGTTCTATTCATTGCTACTCAATGCCAACGTAGCTAATAGTAAATTAGAAGATAATCCTGCACCGAAAATCCTTGAACGTACAAGTCGGTGGTTATTAACACATATTATTAGAGAAATACGACAAAGTGAACCAAATTTATTAAATCTATTCCTTCAAGAAATACAACCGGAGCTACTTGGTTTTGAAAACACCGGCGAAGATGATCCTACGAATCATCGATTATTATCGGGAATAGAAAAATCCTTACTAATCTCAGATTATAAGCATGGTATTTTACAATATATATGGGCAACATTCATTGGCATCGCGCATGAAAATGCAAATGATGTTGCAAAAAAACTCCTGGTGGAATTGCACGAATTCGTAATATCATTTTTAAGCGAGTATCCATTAATTCAGCCTAGTCCCCAATTACTTAATTTACTAGAAAAATCATTTCTACCAACAACTGAAACATCGATTGAAATTTTCAATGAATTTCTAACTCAGACGAGTATTAAACCATTATTTTATCGTCTTCTCTTACACCCTGGTATAACGGAAGAACAAATCAAAGATTTTATGCTTCCTATTTCTCAATTAGCTGAACAGATGCCTAAAATTGAATTGGTCGTTTTTTTCGATGAAGTTAATACGTCTTCTTGTCTTGGCCTATTTAAAGAAATGTTCATGGATGGAACATTACATGGAATTAATTTACCGAAAAATATCTTCTTTACTGCAGCGATTAACCCATCAATAAATCCTAATGGTGTTGCTCAAAATCAGGCTAAAGATGGTTTTCAAGTTCATCGTCTTGATTATATCGTTCATGAACTACCACAATCACTAGATAGTCTCAAAGTTTCTTATGGAATATTGGATTCGAATACATTAAAAGATTATGTCAAACAAAAAATAGCAAAATTCACTGTTGCCTCAACAGGCGACTCCACTAAGAAATTACCATTGATAAAATATGTACAAGAAAAGTTTACTCAATGTATTCTCGAAGCACACAGATTTTGTGAACAACGTCTCGGTATTCCTTTTTGTGTTCGTTAAATCTATTGAGATTACAAATTATTTATAAGAATAGTCGTAGGAAATGATTTCGAGCAAAGCCACGCTAATGAGAGGAGTGAAAATATATTCTCCACTATACACGCATGACAAGGAAAAATTTGTTTTGCGTAAAATTTGGAAATGACAAGTGTTGACCCCAGATACTAAGGTTCCCATTTTTCTTTCAACAAACTTTTCTAATCAGAAAACATGAGTCCATACTAACTAAGCTGAATTTCAAAATATCGTTTGTGACAATCAATGCTCAAAATCCTAAAAGCGGCGAAATATTTTTATCTCATTTAGGACGAAATTCTGTATCACAAAGAGAAATCCAAAGATGTTTCAATCTAATTGACTTCTTTTGGAGCAAGAAGAATGAAAACAATAATGATGACCCGGATCCCATACCATGTATTGTTTTAGCATTAGCGTTACTTTATTATTTTCGACTTCCAACAACCGAAGACAATGAACAACGAAACGATCGTAGTACACCATCACGTGAAGAATTCGGTGATGTTCTTTCTAAATACATACCGGGCTTTGTTGAAATTATTCAAAACGAACTTGAACAGTTCGTGAATACTGATCATTTTGTTATTCCACATGGAGTAGCTGTTAATCAAGCCGTGAGTCTCTCATAATTTGTTCTATAAAAAAAACAGTTTTATTGCTTTATTTTCTCCATAGATTCGCGAACATATTTTTTCAATTGTCATTAGTATCGTTACTCAAATACCATTATGCATAATCGGTGCACCAGGCAAGTGTTTTCCAAAGAATATTTCTAGATTCGATGAACAAAAACATTCACTTCTAGGTCAATCGAAAACACTTTCATTTCAAATCGTTTTACAAAACCTACAAGGTTCACAATTATCAGCAAAAGAATTTTGTAAACATTTACCAGCCATCGATCCATTCTTTTGCCTTGGGTCGAAATATAGCCGATCTGAAGACATTGCAGCTATATTTGAACGAGCTATCAAACGTGAACAACAATACAAGCAAAATCGGATTGACACAAGATGTGTAAGTTTCTTTTTAACTCTTTTTTTCAAGTGGCTGCCGAATATCAATCTAAAAGCGCCGGCACTTGCGAGACTAGCAACTGTTTAGTTTCTTCACCCGGATACAGGTTCGATAGTAAACCTTTCAATAATAGAAAGAAATGAATGATAGATATTAATTTAGTTTTTCTTATTGAGAATTTCCAGGAGTCTATTCATTAGCGGAAACTAGAATCAAAGCTTCGGCACTCACACACACGCACTTTTATGTAATCACACCCTGCAGTGTATATAAAACTACTATGAAATTTGTTTAGGTTGTTTTCTTGGACGAAGCCTCGCTGCCCGACGAGAAAAAAATGGTATTAAAAGTGTTACATCCTTATTTGGATGAATGTAAAGTAGCTTTTGTAGCCATAGCTAATAAATCATTTGATGCTGCTAATGCCAATCGAATGCTTTGCATATATCGATCTTTACCATCGCAAGATGATCAAAAAACATTGGCATACGGTTGCCTTGGTTTGCCAACCGGACATGAACAACAAAATGTTAACAGAAATCTCGATAAGATAATATATGGCCTGTGCAAAGGTTATCGCCGAGTACTTTCTAGTGAAGGAATTCCGAAAATTTTTCATGATCGAGATTTTATCTACATGTTAAGAGAACTACGCTTTGAATTACCAACAACAATAACAAACGATGAAGAGACGAGTATTGGCATTATAAAACCGATTAGTTTACTGCGTGCTCTTGAAGAAAATTTTAATGGAATAAAACGAAACGAATTTAAAGAATTAGTGGAGATCTTTTTTAAAGCTGTTCAAGAAGAATCTGCTAATTTTTCTTTGCCAATTGAAGCACGACAACGAAACATTTATCGTGATATTCCTACTACTTTGCGAGATTCGATGAAACTCGATTCGAAACGCCGTCGTTTGTATGGTCGTTATAAATTAGTTATTGATGAATCGGAAGACGAAAGTGCTATAAATCTTTTACTACAAACAGGCATTCTAGATTCCGATCCTACACGAACATCGATCTTTCGAATGTCCGATTTTCCGGATGATATTAATAATGAATTACGAAATGTGGAAGTATTGTCCACGATCAAACTATGCATGGAAACAGGAAGAACAATTGTTATGATAAATACAAGTCGAATTCATGGTTCGCTCTATGATGTTTTCAATCAAAATTTTTCAATAATGGCCACAGGTGATACGAGAAAGATCTTTTCAAAGGTTGCAATTGGACCGAAAACAATTGATGTTGCTGTCCATGAAGATTTTCAATGTATTATTCATGTTAAACGAAGTGAATTCGAAAGTATTCCAGCCCCTTTTCTGAGTCGTTTTCAAAAATATTCGTTGAGTATCAATGATTTCTATCGTATTCGTTTACATAAACTGCCTGGCAACGAACAGGTTATTATGAAAAACGTCGAAGAGAAAGTTTCATCATTTATTGAACATTTCGGGCGAAATTATTTTTATGGTCTCAATGAAAGTACTCTTTATTCATGTCTTCTATCATTAATTAAGATCCATGAGAATGAAGAGCATTCTTTATTGAATATACACCAACATTATACACAATTGACCGTTAGACTGAAATCGTTTATTGAACAAAATCCTACTAATACTGAACAGTGTCTTGTGAGATTCGTATTATCGAAATTAGTTCAGCTTGTTTCGCCTGAATCAATCATACTGAAATTGCCAACATTTGAAGAGAAAGTGAAACAATGGTTATGTAATTTATATTTTCAACACCAAGAGCACTTTAATTTTGGAAATTTCATTGAACAATTAGTTTCAAAACAATTTCTCAATATTGACAACGACTTACATCCATCATCGGAACATCAAATGGTACAAAATTCCCTTCATACAACAACAACAACAACAACAAAAGTGATCATATTCACACGAACATCATCCTACGTAATTGGCCTGAACGAAAAATCAAAAAATGAATTATTTACTACTAATAATAATGACGATGAAACTTCTAATTATAGTAGACAAATCGACATTATAAATTTGGTAAGTACTCAACAGTGTCCACGTTGATGAAAAAATCTATCCGTATTTTTGCCGTAACATTGCGGAATACAGCAGCCATATCAGTGACGTAGCCAGGGCTACGGCCATTGAGCACTTGCCCAATGTCGAAAGATCTTGATACACAAATATATTTGAAGATGTATGGTATTATTGTGATATAATCAGGTGATGTAGAACGATGAGCCAACAATCGTTTTCTTTAAATCGAAGATTATAACACTAGCTGCTCAATGATATATCTTTTTGTCGAAACACTCGGTACCTCACCTAAATTCGCTTATGAAAAACATTTGATGATGTAGGTGATGAGATGATTCTTATATCTTTAGGATATTTTTTTAATACAAAATACTGAAAAATTTAAAAGGTAACGAATCTACTTGTAAAACAGTGCAAAGAAAAGAGAGTAATTTCGCCTCTTATTTCATAGTGCCGAGCTTTGCTTCAATATATATATCGGCTCCGCAATGACAATACGTCTTTAAAAAAAAAGTTGTAGCTCAATCGATTTTTGGATAGCCCATTGGTGCCCACTTCGCAAAATAATTTAGCTGAGAAACAGTCCATAACTCGAAAATTTCTGACTCCGCCACTCAACTTAGGAATTTATTTATCTACAGTTTGTCAACTATTCAGTTTCGAGTACAAGCAGAATCTATCCAAATAAATCAATAATTAGAAGTAATATTTCGAAAATAAAATCTGGTGAGAGAATTGGAAGTTCCAATCATAGTTCATGACTATTCAATGAAGGCAGCGTTTTAAATTATATTCTCGCTTCCAAGAACCTGTAGCCTTTTAAATTCATTTGCGATTAGGTTAGTTCATATAATATTCACGTGCTTTTTATTGACTACTTTGAATATTTGTATACATGAACAAAAGAATCCGCACCAAGCGACTATGCACACCGGTCGTTGTTTGATTACAAACCAAATGCAAGACTTTCACCATTTGCTAAAATCCCATGAATTTTAAAGATTTTAATAAATTATAATCACTCGAAATATTTTATTTAGAACACAATTGAAAATTCAGTTGAATTATATCATAGATTCAACACCTATGCCGACGATACTGATAAAAATGTTTTAATGGTCATTATCGATGGTCGAAACGGACAACAACGTTCACATATTCCTTTTGTTCGACAACTCATTGATAAAACAGAATCTTCTTACAATACGAATCATTGTTCAGAACCGAAATATTTTCTTGTGCTGGTCCATTCATCAACTCAAGATTTATATCATCAATCATGTTTTCCATCGATATTTTTGCACAATTGGGAATTTTATTTCTTCGATACTTGTACACCAGGTAGTGCATTTCATCTTCAAAAAATGTTACGAATTATTTTATCATCATCTCTTGATGATCAACAATCGCCGAATGTTGACAATGTTCTTTGCGATTTGAATATTCTCTTTGAAGATTCTCTATGGGATTTTTGTTCTCGAATTCAGCTTCTTCTCCCTGAACTATCAGAAAACATGTTTAAAAATGCGAAAGCCCATGAATTTTATAAACGTCAAACGAATACGCTGCGTCGCGTCAAATGTCTTAAACATATTCTTCAACAATCGAGACAATTGCAAAAACATATTCTTGATATTTATCATAAATATTTGTTAAGAAAAGAAAATTCTTCGAAAAAGATCTATAATTTAATTCAGAAAATCTCAAAAGATATTTTATGTGGTCAACGTTTCGATGGTCTCATTGATTCAATTCAATCTCAAACACGAAATTCATTTACAAATTTTGTTTCAAACATTTTCAAATTTATTGTCAACGATTACGGATTAGAAACAATACCTAAATTATCAGCTAATAATAAAATCTACGATTCATTATTAAATTTAATTGATTATCAATCATTTTCTGCCGACAATGAGAACGATATATTTTCTTCGTCAACAACGCGGGGAATATTTCAACTTAGTAGTCATTATTCGTGTATACCGCAAACACCATTGTATCATCTACTTCATCAACGCGTTAAAAAACATGTAGACAATATCAAAGAAACAATAGCTCATGAATTAGTAAAACATCAAGGTTAGAATTTTGCGATATAAGAACTATCCGAAAAAAGATACTTCCGGAAGATCGTGAGAACGAAATTCGGAATGTCTAGAATTTTACCTACGTATATAAATCAGACCTCAAGTCTTGTACTTCTAATCGTAACACAACACTATTTATGTAGTGAAGCATTTCACTAACTACATAGACACATCACTTCTATGTCACACAAAAACATTTGTCATTGTAGAAAAATCCATAAGAATAAAATATTCTGTAAAAACGATTCATATTTCGTCCCTGTTATTTTACGAGATCCCATAAACACATTGAACATATTAAGAGAGCCCCGGCACAAACAAATAAATTTTGTCATTTTCTTGTATAGATAATGAAGATGATCTACGTCGTGATTATTATGATGCTCCACCACAGGTAACGACTGCGAATTATAACAATGCAAATGAGACTGAAATTGCTCAGTATACATTTGAACAATATCGAATTAAATTAATTGTTTCTATCTTGAATGATAACGTGTTAACTGGCGCAATCTGTCAACATATTGTTCATTCCTATTCCACTGATCTTATTCGAACATTTTGTAGCATAGCCGAAAATAACTTTGATTATGATCTTGCTCAGTGCCAACAAGCAGTTGACTTTGTTTCGCGTTGGCTGTTACTAATCGATGATAACGATCGTCAATCATTAGAAAGTTATCTTAATAAAGACGTTTGGCATCTTGCCAACGTTTGCACATCCTTTGAATACGAACAGCACGATCTTATTTCGATGTATTCAGCATTTCGAATTATCAATCTTATCAGTCCTGCAGATTCTTCGTATGATCATTTATTTGACGAAGAAAATATTACACGATCTAAGTTACGCGAAAAATTTTTCTATTCAATTTTCAATTATTTATGGGAAAATCTTAATCGATTAAATACAAATGATGAAACATGGATTTATGCTTATACATTTATTTCCAAATATTATCCATCGGAGAAAGTTCTACGCGGTTTACAATTATCTGAAATAAAAAATCGAATTGAATTTATGAATTTGGCTTATTTAATATTTTTAAACGATACACTAGTTAAACCACATGAATTAATATCGATTTTACTCAAGGAAATAAACTTTAATTGGTCATCGGTTTGTTTAAAATTACTACCGACTATTACAGATATCATTGGTCGATATTTGGAAACCAAAAATATCGCTAATTCAACATTATTCATTGATCTTCAACAATGGACATTAACAATCTTAAAATCAACAAAACAACCTTCTCAACAGGATGTTTATTTCCTATTCAAATATATAGATCAATCAACTTGTCGATTGTCTTTACAAATGAAGCAATATCTATTCGACGAATTAATTAACATATGTCTTCAGCTTGAAGATCGAAGGAAGAAATGTTTCGATCTATGGGATCGATTTAAAATCATTCCGCATCTACTTGAATGTGTATCAAATGTTGATCATGCTGAAAATTATAAAATACCTTTTCATCCGTCAATAATTTCTGATGACGATGCTGAGATGCAAGCAAGGCCGATTTTATTTGATTTATATTTCTTTAATCTAAAACGTCAAATGACGAATGAAAACATCACAGCAAGTCTTGCCAATAAGGGAATGCTATTGAAGTTGCCAACAATTAAAAACACACGTTCAATGCCTATAGGAGAAAATCTTTTCAAGCAATCAAGAGATTATCTTCGAGTTAGAATGATTGCTTTGCTATTATGTGAGAATAAATTGAACTATGGCGAGATGAATGATGTCAATAGTATCATGTCAGCAATCATAGATGAATTTTTATTCATTGACGAACAGCCGACACAGTTTAATGATCATCTTCAACTGTTTCTATCGACAATCATAGAGAAACGATCATGGAATTTTCTTTTAAATTTATTAAGATCTGAAAGTATTCAACATTTGAATAGCCGATGGGCGACAATTTTATATGATTTACTTGAGCTGAAACAAACACAGAAACAAAATAAATATTTACAATATTGCCATCAGATACAATTTACGTTATCTTCAAAAAATGATTCATCCATATTTCCAAGACTTCATGTGCCCTATGAAGAGCTGAGAAAAATTATTGATATTTGTCTTGAAAGTGAGACTGAAGACAATCAATGGGACATTTTATCAGAGTGGATTCAATCAAAACTTGATTCGGATTCAGTTCCTTTAGAATTAAAAGAAATCAAGGTGATGTTATTATTAGTGATTTACTACGAATATTATTGTTATAATCAATTATCGATCATAGATTCTTTGTTAGATTTAATTGAAAACACTTTAAAATTATCATCTGTCGAATTACGATTATTTCGTGTTTTTATAAGACCCGAGCAATTTATGATTGGATACGCAAGCGATAATGATGATAAAAATTTCCTCAATGATTTATTCAAACTTGATTCTAATGACGAATTCGAATTAAGTTTACGCCACATGCTTGTGAATCTTGTGGCCATGGTTTTACTAGGTGGCAAAGAATCGTTTCTTTGGACATTTATGTTTCAACCGTTGACATTACAAAATACATTTGGTTAGTAGATTTTATTCATTTTCTCACTAACAAGGTGTGAGTATTAACTAAACTTTGATTCTAATTAGGATTTGGGTCAACTACACGGCATATAATTCAAGCAAACAGTGTTCACTATGATTGTGGCTGTATTATTTCACAAAATGGTGACTTATTACAATTCTCACAGAGAGGAGACACCAGCGGATTGAATGTACCAGCCGTTTATGTTGCCTTTTTTTCGACATTTGGTGCATTGGTAAGTTTTGTTTTCAAATTTTTTTGTTATAAATTCTTTCACTGTAAGGCGTGGCATCTTTTATTATTTGATGAATCTGTTCAAAATTTGCACGGACCAATTCTTGCACCAGGAGCTATTGCTACTGACGAACCAGCCCATCGGCTTGCCGGTCGAAGTATTCGCGCGAAAGTTTGCCATTTTGTCTGCAGTAGATTATTATCAACATTTCACTTTTTGTCCATTCAATTGAATCAAAATGATGCTTGTATTCTTCTAACTCGTTGTTTTGAACGTATGGCACATCTTTCGACGCATAAAAATTCATGGATTAAGTCTGTATACAGAACTAATGATGCTGAAATTAAAGCTGAACAAGAATATAAAGATCAAGTATTTTATTTTGTTTATAATAATCTAGTTGAATATAAATGGCACGTCAATGAATTAAATCTACAATCACAAATTCAAAGGAATCTACAAAATTTTACTGATCATATGCCTATTGTTCTTCAGTTTACACATTTTAAAACAGAATTAAATCGTCTAACAGATTCAAAAGTATCACTTAAAATTTTACAAAATACTCTCAGTTCTTTACCGTTTTTAAAAATAACAACATTAATATACGATCTTAGTCAATTCTATCGTCTGTTGCATCAAACATATGCAAAATTAATTGAACGAAATGAATTTTTAACAATAACGTTACAACAATTGTATGATCGAGGTCAAATATATTACAATAGTTCTTATCAGCAGCAAGATCAAAATGAGGATAAAACACACCGGTCTATTATTGAAAATGGAATTAAAGCTGTTAACGAGTATCATCAGTTTTCTGATGGTTTTATTCGACCGGGTGCTTGTGATGAAACACAACGTTTTTCAATCATCGGATGGCAAACGCCGGTGAATTATTTAATTACCAATGAAAATCATGACGAAGGAGATATTGTTATGCGTATACTCAGGTTAGTTTGGAGACGTGACTGAATTCCGTGAGTTCTGAGTCATTTTCCATTCTTTTTTAGTGTCCTAGTTGATTATCACAACAATTTATTAGAATTGATAGAGAACGAATTGGATAAAAATCAGAATGCTATTGTGGGCCCTTTGAAAACTTTGATCAAGAAATTAACATCAAAAAGTGTTTCGATTTTGCAAGTTGCAAATGATCGTACTGGTGTTATTAATTTGAACGATGAAGATTGTCTATGGATCGAACAGTTGTCCCAAGCAAGTGTTATTAGTAATGAAAAACAATACTTTATTACAGCAGAGTCTCGATTATCGTTCGATTTTGTCTATGTTCAATCGCAGATTATTCGAACATATCTTCTGTATTGTCGCATTAACTATAGTCATATTATTCAAAAATATCAATTTCTGACAAACAGAATAAAAACAACAACAACAGATAATGAAAGTTTAGATCTCGAAGAAAAATATTTAGTTCGATTAAGTGATGAACAACTCGAAAATGAATGGAGCTATTTGAAAGATATTCTATTACATAAACTTTATCACGCCCATAAACTTCTAAGACAGATAGCATTGACATTGAAAACTCATCAGAACGATTTCTCATTGAGTTATCTTGTTGAATTTGTTCGAACGACTGATAAAGATAATGATCTTCTTCAACAATTAGAACAACTTGAAATCAGAGATTTTCAATTACGTTATATTGATCATGTTATCGAAATTTATGGAGGATCTATTAGTGGATTTCAGCATTTGTTCACCGATATACCACCTTTACTTCGAGTTCGAATTGATCCTCAATTAAATGACGAACTTATTCAACAATTAAATAGCAACATTCTTGGCATCGATTATAACAATGATCTAGAAAAAATTCAGATGCAAATTCAAACAATCACAGAATTTCTCAGTGAATTGAAAACAATTGAAGATACTCTTCAACAACAATCTACTCAACCATTGGTTCAAACGTGTGGATATCTAGAAATTGCTAATCCAATACTTTCATGGATACCGGATAAAATAAAATGTGAAAATTATGTTGAACTTTACATTCATTTGATACGCGCGAGATCAAAACTGCAAGAACAAAAGTTAAATATCGAAGAACAAAAAATGAAATTATGGGAAGAAAATTCTAATTTCGAAGATCAACAAGGAATTCGCTTGCATCAACAATATATAAATCCACAATATGATAGACAAATATCCAACGATCTTGAAAATGAAGATATTCAATCTACACCTTTGATGACAATACATTTAACAGCAGTACCATGTTTGTCATCAATATTTTCTCAGCAAATACATAAATATCGAGAAGAATCAGTGGCGCTGGAACCAGCCATTGTAGCTAAACCACAAAAATATTTTATTACGCATCCAAATGGCGAGTCAAAACCTGTTCTATGGAAAAGAGAAGCTATTTGCGAACAATTTAGAAAATTATTTGATGGAAAGCAATACGATTATGATTCATTGGTTGTAGTCGATAAAAATGAAATGTTTTTTGATTTTACCAAGGATAATTATCGTTTATCAGATCCATCAATTTTAGAATATCATATCATTGAAAAACAGCTATTGATTCAAACTCAAATACATTTTCGAACACAAGTCTACGAATATCTGGCTACATCTAAATGTACTATATCAACAATTATTCGTCATTTTATTGATAGTCAACAATTGAGATCGTTATCATCAGATATTATTCTATGTTTCTTTGATGAATATGGCAAATGTATTGACGATAAAATCATCAATCATTTTTGCATAGAAGAGTCTAAGACAATTTCAATTTTTGTGACCGAAGAAACATTGGATGGTAACGCACTCTATGAACTTGCTTGCCAATACAAAAAAGGTAATTGACATATTCTCGGAGTAGTGTCGAAACTAGCAAGGGTCCTATCTTCCTCTCCTTATCATAGTGAGCGCATTCGGCTGTGTCACTTTCTTAAAGCTTTTGAATTCTTCATTTAGCGTTGAAAACTGGGTGGTTGATATTCTAATTAAAGTTTTCTTTTTGCTTATAGATGAAACCCCGATGATAGATTTGTTTTCTTCAACAACAAAATGGCAACAAATAAAACTTTGGTTAAAAACTACAATAGATCCTTCTGTCGATGACTATGTGTTTTTTATGAGAGAGAAGGAAATAGTTATTGATGATGATCGAATTCTTTCAACGACAACAACAGAATCAATGATAATCGATGTAATAAATCGAAATAGCCTGAGAAAAGTTATTTTAACATTCGAAACAAATAATCAAACTGTTGACGTGTTAAAATCAATGAAGATTTCGTCGTTATTAAATTTATTGGGTATATCTTCTGGTGATTGTGTTCTTGTATTGACAGGTGAAAATGAACTTAAATTAATAAAAGATGATTTAGAAAAATCTGTTAGTAATTATTCAAGCAATGAAAATGACGTACTTCATTTGCAAGTATTAATCTCAATTCAAATAACAAAATATGATGATAAGGAAAACATCAATATACCTTTGTCAAATAGAAATATAACTATTGAACAATTATTAAACTTAACTGAAAAATCAATCGATGTTTACAAATATTTAGCAACGAATGATACGAAAAAAATTATTAATTCTAATGAAAAACTTTCAAATTTAAATCAAACTAAATTTATTCTTGTGCAAGAAAATGAAACTTGTGTGGTATCTATTAAGAAATCGAGTAATAATCTACAACAACGATTTATCGTTTTCGCTACACTAGCTGATGTTTATAAAGAAAATATTTTGGATCAATATCTTATGTATTCAAATGATTTTGTACCATCAAAAGATATTCAGTTACTATCATTTAAGTCAGAATCATCAATTCAATTTATTGCTATCGATGAAAATTTACCCATTACTGTTACTGTACAAAATGATGAAGCGCATATGTCGATTCAATTTAATTGTGATCATTCAATTACAGTTGAACGTCTCTATGCAATTGCATGTCAACTATTTTGTTTGAACAATGAGTATTATCGTTTAACTATGGAAGACGTTGAGTCAATCGACGGCGATGTTTCTCTAAAAGATATTGATGAAAATATGAGTGAAATTAGTTTTAAAATAGTATCAATAGCCTCTCAATATTGTTCGATCAAGTACTTGAATCAGATCATTCGATTGCCCTGTTGCCGAGATACATTGGTAATGGCCATAGTTAAAGAAGTACTACAGAAATTAGATAAATCAGTAGATAATGTCAAGATATATGATTTGATAGCATTGGATGATGATCAAACAGAAATCGATTTCGATTATGTAATAGATGATGTCATTGGATTGTTTCCAAATGGTACAACAACAATATCACTGGAATTGAAGAAGAAAAAATGATTGAAATAAACAATTTATATTGCAATTTTGACTTGACACTTATTTAGTCACGAGAATTTTTCCGCATAATTATGCTCGTAATTTCAGATGTTTTTTTTGATTAATATATAAATTTTTAAGTGGCATAATACATGTCAATGATTTTAAAGAGGGCCTGCAGAATGCCTAACCAGTAGAATTTAGAATTTTGCTGGGTAGACATTATTGAACTGCTGCATTTTTGTAGAAATCATTTAAATTAACAACAGCATATGATTTTTCTTTCGATAGTAGAAAGAAAAAATATTCAATTGTTCCAAAGTAATAATGACGTTGATCAAATGAATATTGTATAAAAAAAAAGTAACTTACAGATTTACCACGTTTATTATACACCAATGAATGAAACATTCGGTCTTTAATAATAAAATGTCGATACATGTTAAAACACTTATGTAGTTGTTCACAATCACATAACTGAGCATTAGAGTCCTGCAGGTTAAGACTTTTTTGTACCCTAGTCCTGCCCTATCGTAAAAATTCCTACCCTTGTCCTACCCTGCCCTATGACGTTCTTACCCTAGCCCCAGCCTGCCCTATAGACTTCGTAACCTTGCCCTACCCTGCCCTAGGGGCTTTGTACCCTTACCCTACCCTATCACAGAGATTTTTCATTTTACACCCTATCAGATCCTTAGAGTTTCAGGTCCAAGTANTCAACGGAAGTAGCTATAAAGATTTTTGAAAAAAATGGTACATCTATTATCTCGATTCTTTCACTTCACGTTTTAACCAGTTTTTTCTGATGTTCGGTTGTCTAGATCATCGCGTCACAAGTTAGCAATATATGATCTGGACGTCAAGTTTAAAAAAAAGGAACAAAGAAAGAAAACTCGCGCAGGACTACATAAATGCTGTGCTTCGCAACGCACTAATAAATATTTCGAAAGTTTCTTAAAAGTAAAATGTCATTTACAACATCACCACTTAAATTTTGCCTTCTCTCTTCCAAAACTCGCTTGCTTGTACTAACAATACGTTCATGTCGAGATGATTTCGAAGATATTTTTTATTACCTTTACATGCACATTTACTAGACAAATAATCAAAAGTGACTGAACTCATCAGCTTATGTAAAAATAGTACTAAAGAATAGGCCATTGTGTTCCGTTCGTTGTTATTCTACCCATTCGATTTAGATTATGATATCACTCTTTTCAGTGTTTTTGATCAAAAAGATGTCAGAAATATATATAAAGTTCTACTCTATAAAATTTTTATTTGTATGAGCTACACCCTACTTATACCCTAAATATTTTTTTTTGTAACCTTACCCTACCCTGCCCTACGAGCTTTATACCCTAGGAACATGGGGTGTGTGTGTGAACGTAATCGAAGAAGTCACCCACACCTACTTCGGGCTTAAGCATTTTCCTTTCTTTTCTTTGTCGATTTCGTACTATTCTTGAAGAAAAATTAGGATAGATTGAATAAAGCGATCGATAAATGTATAATGCGAAGAAAGATGAGCATGAACAGTTATACAAAAGAGAATAGGGAATCAACGTATAGATAATTTGTATTGAATAAATAAAAAATGTTTATTAATATATTGTGAAAAAAACATACTAAAAAAGGCAAAAAGATTATGATAATATTTGAGATGTTATTTTGACAAAAAAATGATTTAATTTGAGAAAAATAGTTTTTTTGAAGTATTCAATTCATGCAAATGATCCAATTTGAAAAACAAATGTCTGCTTTTTTGTTGGATGGCGCCATTTTTATTGATTTTCCTGAACACGGTTCAATTGTCTATCCGAACCAGTTTGATATGTACAACCATATCCACCCATTGATGTTGTTGCTGTCGGATCCACCTGTGTGGGTGCCGTTAGTGGTTGTTGAGGTTGTAATTGTTTTGATTCTATCCCACTGCCCCCACTGACACAGCTTCCCTCTGATGATGTTAAATCTGAGGCAGATGAAAATGTTGAAAACATTGTGTCTGAAATGATAAGGTACCATCAAATGTTAAAAAAAAGAAATGCATTTAACGCATGTAAAAGTTAATGACCTGTGGAAAAGACTCTTTCCTTTTTACTTTATTTGTAATGACAAATTTGTACGAGTTCATGTCCCGTGATTATAATAGAGAAAGAACAAAAGACAATAGAAATCTCATAATAATAATATCGATTTTAGTATATCTGTTTTTTACTTAGTGGGACAAGAATTTATAAAATGAATGTTTCTAAGGTGGGAAACACACACATTTTAGTGTATTAGCGGGTAGGGAGAGAGAGATATGTTTGATTTCTTTTTATTTATTTCAAATCGAAAACAAACACTACATCACACATACGCGTGCACACACATCTAACTGAAGAAAAACATCGATATATATTTATATATATATATATCGAGGGTTTGGAGAAAAAAATAGAAATATAAGGGCAAAATAAAGAATGACCTGAGATAGTTCAGATCAAAGAAAAGAAAGAAAAACATAACAAGGGTTAGCCGCTAACATAGTGCAATGGAAAATGTTTTTCAAACAGTTGATATTCGCAAAACAGCCTTTTTCAAAAGATATTTAATACAACAAAAGGTACATTTTTTACGCATAAAGATATCGTTTTTGAAATCAGTTTTTTGACTTATATTTGAGCTCTGCTGTATATAAAAATAAAATAGAATTGAAGATATAACTTACAAAATATGTTTTGATTAGTAGTATTTAACAGTACGTTTTGATAACTAAATAGATATACGTAGATGTCAAGTATTTATATCCAAAGAGCGAGCAGTATCATAATCGAAAATAAGAAGAAAAAAACATTGAAGAGGTGGCAGCAAAATAGAACATCATAGAAGAAATTTTGAGAAGGCGTAAAAGAGAGGGACGTGATGGAATCCTATGCTTATAGTTACTAATCTTATACGCAGCAGTCACATTCTTTTATTCTTGACTATGTATGATAGTTATAATGCAATTTTTTCTTATAAAATATTTTTCCATTTGGCAGATAATAATAGTCGGATCTTATATGCATTCATAAAAAAGAATACTGAAAGTAGAGTAGATTTTATTATTCATTTTTCTTGATTACCGAGTTGTATTATAACAATCCATATATTTTTACTGATAGATGCTTTTTATTTCATGAAAACAGAAAAAAATAACAAATAGTTTATTTATTTAAGTAAACAATTTTTCCATATTTTTCTGAAGTACAGTGAAACCTCTATTAATGAGCACCTCTCTATACTGAACGTGCATCGACCAATTACGTTTTCGTGTAGGAAATAGGCGCGATCAGTTGGTTATTGACATGAATACATTGAATAATAACGATTTCAATATACTTGATTTACCTGATGAAATTTTACTCGTCATTTTAAATAAACTCAATACAACTGATGTATTTCATTCACTTGTCGATGTTAATCAACAATTTGATCGATTAGCATTTGATTATCTTTATGTTCGTAATATTGATATGACTGATACAATGATCATCAATTCACTGTATGATCAAATATCTTCAATAGATACTAAAATTCTTTCAAAAATCTGTGAAAAAATTTTACCTCGCATTCATCATCAAGTATATAAACTGACTATTGAACAATATTCAATGCAACATATTATTCTTGCTGCCAATTATCCTCAACATTATTCTTTATCACTTATTAATTTTCAAGAAGAAATACTCTATCAATATTTAACCAGTATACTATTTTATTTTCTTTGTTTTCTTTTAATTAAAGATGATTTAATTCGTCGCGATCTTCTTACCAAACAAATAACACATCTTAAGGGTGTGGGTTTAGCTCAACAGAATTATTACGTTCACACCCACACCCAAAAATTCCATGTTCTTATATTCATAGTGAATACTGTAAATTTGGTTTTGTATAAATACAAAAGGAGATTCAAGCTTCTTCCAAACATTTTTTCACAATTTAGCTTGATGGATTTCATCTATCTAATGTACTTTTGATTATCAATAAATTTCGTTGAACTGCAGTTTGAACATGCTAAAGTCTTGGAATTTATCAAATTGGGTTGTATGATAACATACATAAGAGTAAACAAACCTATCGAAAGTAGTAAAATCAGCTTGTGCATAGATTTCAATCGAATATTAAAAAAATGCTCTCCTCTAGTTTATTACATTTATTCTATAGAAAAGCAGTTTTATTCAAGTAGCAATTGGGAATAATACAATGTATGCGTATCAGGAACATAGTCTCTGAAATGTTTTCGAAATTGAATGACCTTTCTCCGGACACATTTTGCTCTAACGGAATTAACTCGTGTTATCTTTTTTTTTAAATAGCGTGCTCCTCTTTTTAAAGTTCTATAATCGACATCAACATGAACATAACTTGGTAAACAGGTTCTCGTATCAAGTAGGCATTTTTCGACATAATCATCATAAGCGTCAGTAAGATGAAGATAGTCAATGATTGAGCAATTTGAAGAAAAAATTCATGTTCAAAGGGACGAGTGTGGAATCATGGGTCTGGGTATTGTCTTATCTCACATCCACACCTATACCCAGAGCCGAATACGCAAGTAAGAGTGTTGGCAATATTCTTTCTACCTAGAGGAGAATGTCACAACACACTATCATTTAATTGGATCAATTTGCGTATTTGTTTTTGTTGGTAGTTTGACAAGTATGACAGATCAGTTTGTCATGTTTTTGAATATTTTTATGAGAAATTTTCATCTATGCACAAGTCGCTAACTATTATTTCAAATATTTTGAAATTTGTTTTTCAATCATTCATATTTTCTAGGGTCTATTTAATGTCAGTTGAGATAAAGTCTAGGAGAGTGGGAAGTCAAAAAAACAATTCGATTCAAAACTTGAACTTATTATTTTATTCGAAATTATATGTGAATATATCGAATCTCCTCTCTATGATATATTTTCTCGTAAAAGAAGTTACTCTCCATCGTTGGTCCTGTGCTGTTGTCTTTCATTCTTCTTGATTTTATACGGCGAGAATAAAATAGGATCTTAACTTGTGCTCGTGGTGTAAACGCAATTGTTAATACTATTTATTTTTCACGACCAGGGGATAAATACGTCAACGCTATTAAAACCGTGCATATAATTAATTAGATAGATAAACATCTAGATTTCAATATAAAATGATGATTATATTCTATTAAGTAAATAAAAATACAGTCCTTTACTTCTAATGTAATCAAACATGTGATTAAAAAAAATTGTTTTTCCTTGGTACTTTCACATTTTTTGATTTTTTTTTCTGCACATATTTTGACCTATGAAACAAATATATATATATATATATTAATTTGCCAAGATTATATGAAGTCTATAGTGCGATAACGACACACATCAAATTAACGTTACGCTTCATTTCATTAAGAAAGCACAGCTAGAATATCTACTGGACTGACTCTATGATAGAATTAAACGTTTATCGTAGCACGAATAAGTGAATATAGTAGCAAAATGTTGTGGTCAACTCGTGACGCTCAACACGAAAGACAGGCAACGCAACATTTCGTAGCAGCAACGACAGTTGGCAGATTCAATGTTGCTGCCTTTGATAATGTTAGTTTTCATTCAGATTCAATACCCGATTGTCATGTTTCTGACATATTATCTCGACGACAATCACTGCTAGAAGTTCATCCACAACAAGTATCAACAGTCGTTGATATTATACCAGAGGAGCCAACGACCAATGATGCGCAACCATCGGCAGTTCCGGAGAAAAGACGACATAGTTGGCGGATGACTTATTATTTTTATATTCATGTAAGTTTTTTTATTATCAGTGGATTAGTATGTGGTTTAATCGTTTGGCTTATTGAAAATCATTCATCTTCACGCAATCTCCAAATGGACGTAGCCTATATAGATGCTTGGTTTGTTAGTAGTTCATGCGTTTATAGTTGTGGTTTAACATCATTAGATTTTGCGAAACTTTCACATGCATCTCAGATTGTTCTTATGTTATTTACATTTATATCAGGTGTTACAATTAGTACATTGCCAGCATTAGTTGTTAAAACTCAAACACATAGAAACGTCGAAGGAATAACGGTTGATGATGATCATGGTGTTTTAGAAGATGGAGCTAACAATGAACTACGTACATTTAATATTCAGCGTGAGCCAAATTTTCCAGAACATATGCGACAACGACTCAAAGCATTGCCTACTGCAGCACAGCTTCGTTTCCGTGCTTATATAACATGTATTATTCTCATTCTCAGTACTTGTTTTGCGATTTATTCAATAGGATTCATCGCTATCGGCAGTTGGCTACAAGCATGTTATACACCTGAACAATTATTACAAGGAAATTCTACTGTTAATCCATGGTATATTTCATTTATTTTTACTATAACAGGTTTTAATCAAAATGGATTAAGCCCTTTTTCGGATGGTCTTTCACGTTTTGTTTATGATGTCTATCTCAATCTATTTGTTATGATGGTAAATAATTGCTTACGATTTTATTTTTATAAGAAAAATTTTCGAAAACAAATGCTCGCTTTCTAGGTAGTCATGAGTGGGACGTCATTTTTTCCGTTCATATTACGTAATGTTGTTTTATTGGCACGCCGTCTATCTCCATGGCATCATAAAGTTATATTTGATTATATTCTTATGAATAATCATCGTTTATCTACTTTACTTTTTCCTTCTGTACAAACACGTATTTACTTGCTTGTAACAATGCTATTATATATTTTAGGAGTTAGCATTTCGCTTATACTAGATCTAAAGAGTGCCGCATTCGCTGTTTATTCTCCTGGTACACGTGTTCTCATATTTATTTTTCAAACAGTAAATACACGTTTTGCTGGCTTTCAAACAATTGACCTCAATTTATTAGCATCTGGTACGTTATTGGTCTATTTGTTATTAATGGCAACTAAACCACAAATGCTATGTGCTCTTGATGAATCCCCATTTGAATTATCTTGGTTGGCATTACAAGCAAAAGAGGAAGCTAATGCTGAAACAAATTCTATAGTGAACGGGAATAGTAATTTAGGTTTATCACTACGTAATAACAAATTAGAATCGATTCAATCACTACCGCCAACTGGTGTTTTACCTGTGCAACATGTGAAACATTTTCTACGTCGACAAAGTTATGTTACTAAAAATCTTGCTCGAGAAGAATTCACTAAGAAACTGCAAGACGATGATAATAACTATAAATCTCGGCGTTTGCAATATTTGCGTGGTCGTTTATTTCTTATTTATTTTGTCCGATCTATAATACAGCACATAGTTAGTTTTGTTATTTTAACTCGTACTTGGTTATTCTTTTTTATATTTCTTATATGTGCTATTGAATATCATAAAATGGCCCCTATCGATCCAAATATAACAATATTTAAAGTAATCTTTGAAATTATATCAGCATTTGGAACTGTTGGACTTTCACTTGGATATCCGAATGTAGCATCAAGTTTTTCTACTGTTCTTTCACCAGCAAGTAAAACGATAATTGTTGCAACGATGTTAATGGGTCGACATCGCGGTCTACTTGCATCAATGAAAGATCAAGAAGTTATTGAACATAGTGCTGATGACTTACTTGATCGACGACGTGAAGAGGTTATGAATGAATATCAACGAACACAATTTTATCGAAATATTCTACTAACAATAAGACAAGATGAAGCAATTACAACCTTTTAAATATTATTCATTTCAATGACTTTATATGTATATTGCTTTTTTTTAGCAATTCTAAATAAACTGTCTTAATCCTTTTTGTAACCTAGAATTGGTGTTTGATATTCCGTTAAAAACATATAACTTATTGCGACCAAGGGCTTCAGTTGGGTGTGGGTGTGTCGGTGAAGAAAATAACAGTACCTATTTATCTTTTCAATATACCGAACATTTGATATTAATCTTGTGTCGCTAAGGTAAGAAAAAATTTCAGATTTTTTCGGAGTCGAAATTGAAAAATGTGACTCCGCCGATCACTATTTATGAACGGTCACAGTTCATTGACATGGTTTTATTTATATCGGTTGGATAGGAAAGTAAAATTTTCTCCGTTCATAAGGTCATTCGTTCGTCCATTAAAAGCTTATGCACAGATTGAAGACATGTCAAACGAACTTATCCTTCATGTTTGGGATTCGTTAACAGCTGCAGATGTCATATACAGTTTCTCGCATCTTAATGCTCGTATTAATTCGTTGTTGTCAGAATTTTGTGAACTTTACAAACAATTGGACTTACGTTATTGTTCATTATCAGTTTGCCGATTTCTTTGTCATAAAGTACCAACTATGATTGAATGGCGTCTTGGTCTTACTGTTCTTAAATTAGGTAATCGAGATCGATGTTCTCAAATGGATATGTTTGCAGACGAAGTAGCAAAATCAATCGTCCGGGGTCATTTTGCAAGGCAAGGAAAATCATTTAATAACGCACCTAAAAATATCTTCCGTATCTTGATGACATATACATAACAAGCAGCTACAACCAATATTTCCTCAATTGGTTTCTTTCGTTGCTTTCCAATTGATATCGATAAGCGAATATTCGAGAGACACACTATTATTTGCTATAGCTGGTGGATCATCAATGCGTACATTTACTTGGCATACTTGTTCTAATCAAACTCATCATTCAAGAGCTTTGTTTGATTGGTTATCTCGATGTTCGGTTAATCTCGTCAGTTATAAACTACAAAGTCCACCGCTTGAAAATGATTTCGAACTCAAATACGAATATACAATCGTTAATGCCGATGTTCCTCATCGTTCTCTCGTCTATCTGCAAATCAGCATTCTCAACTTGAATACACTATCAATATCTCGATAGTTTCCTTCGAAATCTTGATCGACTCTATGTAGATTGCTCGTCCATCATCAACATAAACCTAAACGAAGAAATCCTGGTACCATTTCTTTCTTTCGTTATTGACACACACCGTTTTCCTCAATTGCAATATTTACGTTTCATTAAATGCAAACAAATTTCGTCAGCATGGTCCAATGTTCACAAATGGATCGATTTCATTTTTACTCATATTAATGAAAATCAACTTAAATGTTTACGTTTTGATTTTACCGAGAAAGAGAACGAAGTGACTGACATGAAGACGGATGATGAAATAATAACAATGACTGAACCTCCATGTGTTGTTGATATTCACCGATTTGTATCAGAGAATCATATTTCATTTTGGATAGAACGAAAATATAAATAACTTGAGGGTGTGGGTGTGTGGTTCTGGCTGTGGTTGTATCGATGTGAGTGTGGTAAACCTAAGGACAGATACTCAAACCACACCCACACCCTCCAGAAATTGGCACGGACTCTTTTACAATTGGTTGGATAAGATGGCCAAAAATGATCCCGATTTATAGAAAGCACACGTGACTTTGCTAAGTCAGTCGAAAAGAGACATTATCTCAAACAGTTTGTATCTCACACAAACCAACACACAATCTTTGATCGATTTTCATCAAAAAGTCTTTTGAAAATCAGAAAAAGAATATTTTGCAACGATAGCTGTATCTCTTTTTCGGTATTCCAATGAAAAGGATTTTCTTGAAATTCTCGTATGTGTCCACAAGAACTTTTGGAATTTTTTTTGTCTCTGACTTTCAGAAGAATCTTTTTCTGGCAACCGATTGGTGTCATATGTTCACTTATTCTGATAGAATGTATTTCAAATGAAGTCGGTTATATGCTGGGTGTGAGTGTGGATATATTTAAGATAAACACCCATACCACACACCCCCCTTCAGATCATTCGAAATACCGTCATGTACATTCAAGAAGTAAACATCATAGTGCTTCTCATCATACTTATTTTGAAAGAAAAAAAAGTATTTAAAGTAAAATACATGACTTATGTGCCTTTGCATGTGTTTCACCTTTCCATGGAAAGTGTTCTCCGTTCTTATCTTGAAATTGAATTTGTTCTCTTCCATTATTGCAAATAATTTTACCAGAGTCACCATCTAATAAAATCAAAGCTGGTATTCCAGAAATCTTAAATGCATTTGCTAATTCATTCCGTTTGCCTCTTTCTCTATAATCCAATTTCCACCAAGGCATGTCTTTATAATAATCATTAAACGATTCTTCATCATTGTCTGAACTAACGAAAATAATTTCAAAATTTTTATCTTCATTATGTTTTTTATAAAAATCAATTAATATCGGAGTAAAACCACGGCATGGTGGACACCTAAGAAAAGAAAAATCTATTTGTATTACATAAACGAAAAGTTTAAACATACCAATGAGCACTAAAATAAATTCCAATTATTTTTCCTCTATATTTTTCATCATTAAGATGAACTTCTTGATTTGATTTATGAAGAATATGTCCGTCAAAAAGTTTCGCGACACCGGCCATGAAATATATTTCAATATGTGTGTGCAATCACAAGAGAGAGAAATATGCTAATGAATAGTCATCTTATTCTTCACTCTACTAGTCACCTTTGCCTCATCAAATACACTGATAGTAGGAGTAAAAAAAAAGAAAAATGTTTTTTTTCCTGCATAAATGCATATGATACTACTTTATTTTTCATTCATGTGCGTCAGTCGCCTCTTTTCTCCACTTTTTTTTATTTTACTAACGACCAACATAAGATATTTTATCACGAAAAAATGTCAACTGAATGAAAAAGAAATCATTTCAGATTGGGTGTGGGTTATAGCCCTGCAAACGTACCCGAACCCGACCGGGTCTGGGTTCCCGTCTAGACACGGGTTCGGGTCTAAAGGAATATATTATTTATATATATTTATATAAATATTAAATTTTATTCAAAAATTAATGTTTAATTTATATATATAAAAATCTGATTAACATAATAAATCTATTGTTCAAATAATGGTTCATCTGATTCAATATGAGATTGTCAATATCATTCGAAGAATAATCACTGTCAGTATTTTGTTCATCATTAATTGTCGATATTTTTCTTTTTACTTGATGTATCTTCATCTATTTGTTGTAAAAAAAAGAAGACTTTTTTGAAGAAACAGCAATTCATTAACATTTTTCCCGCTCAAACTAGTTTGTCGATCTGTAACAGTATTTTTCGATGATGTGTTTGAAGCTGGTATTGCAAAAACATTTTATGTACCATCGATGACAATATTGGAAATAATTCAGTATTTTCTTTCCAAAAACAATAGTACATCATCATTTTCACGAAGGTGTATATCTAATGACATGTGATTCTCTAATTCACTTGTCGGTGTTCAAGCTGGTTTTGATTTATCAATCATAATTAATGGATTCGTAGCTACTCCTTTAGGATCAGTAGCAGCTATATTGCTTGACGATGATGAAGTACTGTACTCATATAATGTTGTTCTTGAAGAATCCAGACAGATTTAATACGTTCACCTGAAAATATTAAAAAAGAAATAGAATCAAATTCTTGATTAACATCTCTTTTGGATCTTCGGAAAGAAATTTCTAAAGATAACTATTCGGTTATCAAAAATAATGTCAAGAATAAAAATTTACAGTCTGATAGTGTTCGGGCTAAGACACTTCTTACTTACCAACAAAAAATTTTAATTATTTCAGTTCACCACTATCCGCATATTTTAAATTACAATGATTAACTAATAGCTGCCGAATAGGAATAACTTTGTACATAGTTGTTTTTTTCAAGAGATCTACATCTTGATACCTTAACGATTCCCATCCGACTGGACTGAATAATGTTTTGGAGAGTCTTAAAAGACTCTCTTGTGACTTCTGACAAAATGGCAAGAGTTAAATAGATCTATCGGGAGTGAGTTTGAGCTCGTCTATCACGGTTTCCAAAAGATTCACGTATTTTTCTTTTTTTTATTTCCTCAAAACACAGGTTTTGGTTAGAAAAGTTGAAACTCCTCCCACACATTTCAACATTTAGCGTCGTGGGATCACTTTTTGGATATATTTTTACTGTTAATAAAAAATAACGTTACTAGTCTATTTGAAAACTTATTTTTTTAAATAATTTGCATTCGTAAATAGGAACTTATTTATTTAGACAAGATGATAAATACACTAGAACGTTTGACGAATGAAATTCTTTTTATTATATTATCAAATTTAACACGGTTCGAAATGATAGAATTGTTTTGATCATTAAATAAACGGTTTAATTCTCTTATTTGTGTAAAATTTTCGACAAATTACAATAGAAATAAAAGTGGAATTCTTATTGGTGAAACAGGTCCATCTTTGAAAAAAATATTAGTCATTATTATTACCAATAATTTCTAATTCAAATCTTACTGCTTGTATACAACGAATTCATATTGATGGAGGAAAAACAATTTTTTTTAGTTTGATATCTAAATGGATTTCTAATCTTAAAACATTTATTCTTACTCGATGTTTTCTATCCGAAACTTTAATTAGTAATTTATCTTTACTTGTTCAAAATCAATTGGATGAACTAATATTGACATTTGATAAAGATATGCTTGAAAAGTTTGACTATGAAGAAGAATTGTCGACTGGTGATCTTAATCAAGGTAGATTTTAAATTTCTCGTAAAAGAAAAAATTCTCACATTTTAATATGTAGAAATTTCTAAGAAATCAAACATTGAGAACGAATGAAGTTTATATCTTTTTATTAAAATAATTAATAATAAATATCTCTTCTTTGTTTTTGCTTTTATTACATAGAATCGAAACTGGTATTTATGTTCAAGCAGTTTATGCATGAACTACGTTAGTCAGAGTAATACATGAAATGTGTGCAGCAACTGTACAGACGCAAATGAAAAAAAAAGTAAACGTCATTTCATGTTTTTATTTATTTCAAACAATCAAAAAATATAATTTCAAACAAGACGATAGATTTTGGCTAAATAAGAAGAGTTTCGTTTCCAGCTAATTCGAACAACAATTGTACTTCGAAACATCCACATGTCATGATCTAATTCGAATTCGAATTTCAATCGACGAAGACAAGGTAACCAGCCGATAAACATCTTCGGAATGAGGCAACATTTCACTTTCTTCATTTTATTACCATCCTCAGGATGTATTAAGACATGTTTACGTCGAATGCCAAATTTTCGAGTAATATCAATGAACGATTCGTTCTGAGCCGCAGCTCGTTTGATAGTCAGATGAGTTAGATTTGGTACAGCTCGAAAGAGTTTGTATGACTGAAGGTGATAGTCGTCAATGAGTGTCAACGAACGAAGTGTATTGTTTATTCCCGATCCTTGCTGATTGAAATAATTCCAATTGAATGAAGAAATCGAAGGTAATGAGCATGAAATAAGTGATCTAGTATTGGCACGATTTGAACTGAAGATAGTGTAATACAATTGAGCTACATCATTGTTGATCGTACCAATTCCGTTCAAGTGCAAATGTTTGAGACGTGGTAAATATGTTGATTGGAGAAATTGTAAATGTTTTTGAGATGGTCGATCGAGAGAAAGCCAAACGAGATGTTGTGCATTGATACGGTGGTAAAAAAACGAACGACCATCACGAATACTGACGTGAGTTGCATGAGTGTGACGAATCATACGATGGCCATAGTAAGGCTCGTTCATTTCATAATGATGAACGGTTTCAAGCAGCGAATAGACAAGACCAGTCAGACGAGTGTTGAGTCGGAAAAAAGCACGCGTAATGTCGCCAATATGAATGTAAGAAAATAGTGTGAGCCATACTTCGTTGGGAAGTACTTCGATGCACAAAACCGTAGAGTCGTTCATGGCTATAGGAAGTTCTAAAGCAGAAAGAAAAATATTTCCTTCGAACTATTCTGTTGTTCATGGGCTATCATAGCTGAATTCAACCTAAACTTGTCCAAGTGCAAGATTCAAGTCTGAAAACGAAGCTTCTACTCCTGATACTTCATTAAAAACATTCATCTGCCAGTTTTACTCTTCTAAATCACTATCTAGTTATAAGCACCACTTCCATGAGATCGTTTCATTTCTGTTATCACTATATGTAGTAACTTAATCATGATCATGTAGTCGAAACATGATTGTAACAGTAATAAACGAGATTGTCATATTTATTTTATGCACAGTCAATGTGGCTAAATATCTTCTAACTCTGAAAAATGAGCTGTTCTTTTGGCGTGCATTCTTAAGCGTTACAAGGCCAATTTATCAATGAGCTATTCAATCCAAAAAAGAACAGAACAATCAAAATGCATACTCGACGACGAATGACCCTGCTGCGATAGACTGACTGATCACTTGTCGATTTTTTTTAACATGTACTTGTGTTTTACAAAAAAAAAGTATATTATATAGTAAGAGAGAAAAAAAATGAACGAGTATCTCTTCGTATTAACCCCTCTTTTATCACAAGTCAGATGTCGCTTGAGGCATACTATGTTCATTTCAAATAGATATCATGATGTCAGAAAAACAAGATAGTGAAAACCAGAGAAGACGGTTCGGTAGACAAAATTTTGAATGAGCCGACAAGACGTATCTCATCTAGAAAAAAAAGTTTTTCATCTCTTAGAAACCAGATCTAATTTCTTTTTATTTCACAATAGAGCAATGTTTTGGATAATCTACAAAATCATCCCTGTGTTTCATTTTCACTGCTTTTCCCCGGATTTTATTATCGAAATATCATATGAATTACAAATATGAAAATAATGAATTGCTCAATGATTCAACGAAAATTGAAGGCATCAAGAAGTAGAATTAATACCCATTTCGATAAAATATTCATCGAATAAATCAACAAATGATGATTTTCTGTATTTCAACTTTGGTAAAAGTGGCTTCATCGTTCGATAAATTGAAATGAATACTTTTGTTGAATTTCACAATGGAAAAGAATTGAGAAAAAATAACATTATTCGTAGTAAATTATTGATCATCAACCTGATGTGTACCTAATTCTTCTTTAATTTAAAAATAAATTTCAAATTGGTAAACCGGTATATAATGCACATTTCCATTAATTTTACGGAGAACAAGAAAATCACTTAAAACATTTTTAGACTATTCAATTAATTCATCTGCTACTATAACCTATTTGATCTGTTACAAGTTCTGGTGTTGTTTGTTAGTTATCATTCAAAATTAGGTACACGATAAACATAATATTATTTGCTTTTGGAATTGGATTAAAACGGGATAAAATTAAATTTCATAATGTTGAATTTAATGTCCATGTACGAAGAAATTATTGTCAGTCTCTTCGTCGAAATGAATATCATCAATATAAACATCCGAATTTCTAATAACTTAAATGAGCTTTTCGGTAATCGTTGACTGAATAATCTTCATTTTGGCGAAGAGAATTCATACCATTATTATGGGCAGATGTGTTGAAAAAGAAAACGATCCTCTGTGAAGTCCACTTTCTACTCTTGTGTAATATATATGAATCGAATTCAAATAAAATCTGTTGGTTAATTTTAGTCATTGAAACTAAATCTTATTTTTTTAAAGAGTTTCCAAACGAACAACTGGATATACTTCAACAGGTTTAGACCTATAAAGAAATAACGTGTATATTTTTGTGCTTACGATGTCTTGAAATTTTATTCTTTAAGTATTTCATATTGATGTACGATTTCATTTATATATGGTCTTGCATTATTCTAACAAATAGATGTGATTTTTTCATAATGTTTTCAAAGATCGTCTTGATAATGCTCGGTGATGTTATTTAGTACGTATTATAACTTGAATGAAGAACAAACAATGAATTGTTTAGAATGTTTTCATTTACTCTTGTCATGTCCATTAAATAAAGTCAACGATTTCAAAGAATACATTGTTTTCTAATAAAAAAAATTCCTTGCCAAGCGCTTTATTGTCACGGATCAAGAGATCATTCATCCATAAAATGAGCATCACAAGTAATATTATGGTTTCTCGTTATCCCAGTGAATGTGATGGATCGCTTATGTAAAACAAATGTCGAAAAATCCAAATACTCGATTGAGAAGCAAATCGATTTTAAAAGATTCACAGAACAATTTATTAAAATATGTTATCTTCGGAATAATAAAGATCAGCAATTTCAAAGAAATGCAAAGGTCTATTGTTACTTGCAGTCCTCAAGCTAACTAAAAGTTAGGGCAAACAGGAAAGCATACAGTTTCGATAGCGTAAAATGTTCCAAAATATGACATTCTTTATTGAAGATTCAGTTAATTTCCGATTATAATCTCTTTAGCTTTAATTGATTGCAATCGCAGTTACGGTATGCCAAGGAATCGATGAATTGCGAGTTTTAGGTTTTTTTTAATTTAAAAATCGCATTTTCTAATAGACTGACGATCGACAAGGCACTCATGCGTTTGACCAATTTCCCTGGAGTAATTCGGAAGAAAGCGATATAATACTGTACTTCTGATGTATCTGGGAGCAAGGCTACCGACAACCATCTTCACGAACTCGGTGGTCTTTAATAAATCCGAAACTATGTTAGCATGCGTGAGGAGTCTGGCTGAATCTCGTTTTCCATATGTGTAAATAGGAGTCACTAATTCAGTAATCAAGCTTGATTTAAACTAAAAAAAAAAGAATCAAACCATAATGAATGTTTTCTCATTCTGAATAAATTAAATATAACAATATTAAATTGTCGTGAAATATTTTCTTAAGATTAATAAATGGGAAAATCCATCCAGTCAAAAACCATTTTGCTAAAGAATATCAAAGCCAAAGTTCGTACCTATTTAATTGCGAAGTATATAATTATATATAGTTTAGTTATCTAAACTACATAGAGACAGGGAATAGCAAGATGCTAAGCTTGGAAAACACTAATTTATGATCAGCACTATTAAAATGGATTATAATTGTTTAAAAGGTAATGACGCATTGAAATTAATTGAAAAGAAAAATAGATTATAACCCATTAAAGGCAAGAACATATTGTAACGATCTATCAATTATAATCAAATTTTTCGCGATTTTTTTTCCATGGGATGTTGCACAAGAAATTGAATTCGCCCGAGGAGGATGGATATCACCGAGTCGACAGAAAAATAATTGATATTAAAAATGAAACTTTCATATCAATTTTTGTTATCCGATATGAAAATATACTGAGAAATTTGTCGAGTATTTTGGTCTAGTCGTTTTAGAATACAATAATGATAGTGATTGTGTTCGAATCCTGACTAAAGAACATCGAAACTGATCACATCATTTAAACCGTATTTGTGAACCGTACATACGTCATGATTAGGTGAATTTTATCTGTTTGTATTATATCGGCTTTGATGAAGACTTTTAACCTTAGGGACATGATGTTCATATGATTCTACCCCCGCATTTCTGAGCCGATATTTTATTGTTGTTCTCGTTTTTTCTTACATAAATTACATTTAATATTCCTTTTGATAATCTTCTTCGGATATTCATTTTCATTTAAAACAATTTCAATGAAGTCTAATCTTTCTTTTTGAATCTTTTCCGATGAACAAATTCGAATTGAGGGTGTGTAATTTTAAAAAAATCAGTCGGTTCGGTTCGGTTCGAAGTCTTTTAAACCGATTTATTTATTTTCAACCAATAGATTTTTTCTGGTGATTAGAGAAAGAAAACAGATCTATTCAGTGTTTCTAATAGGAACACTGCATCCATGTTAAAAACAGATGTTACTACTACTAATAATATATAGATATGAATGTGTCATAGGAGACGTTAAAGTTCAGGAAAATTTCAAGTGTTAATTTCACCTAGTACAACTTAAAATTTCAACTTTGACAAAATATTTTCTAGTAAAAATGAATTTTTTAATTTTTCTTTGAAAAATACACAGATTAAAGTACACATTTGACATTGGTTTCGCTTTCGATGAATAACATTTAGTACCACACTGTATTAAATGTTCACACTACGTATTTTTTTCCACCTATTATCTCGCTCGTGATGGCCAAGTTTTTCGTGATATTTATTGAGCTTTGTGTACAAATTTTCGTATGTAAAAGCAATATGATAAGATTCTATTTCATATTCAACATTCTGATCACCAATTTATATTCACCCAGAATTTGAGCTGAGAATCTCCCCAGTCATCTCGTAGAACCAATATCATATGATCATATAATGGCTGTTTTATCGAGAATTTCTCTTAAAATTTGGAATTTAAACCTTCAATATGTTTATCAAGTAATTAATAAAATTCCTCCATGAAAATAAGAGATTGATACTTGAATATTTACTTCAATGATATACGCGACGTTTATTTTATTCTGGCCTTCTACCGATTCTGATGGACGTAAAATATATTTTAATTATTCTTACAACAAAGATTAGAATATGAAGTTGATACTATTTAGTCAGGAATATTTAACATTCTCCTGCGACATATAAATAAATATATATATATCTATGATGCGTACACAAAATATCATTTTAAGAGAAAAGCAAATACTCATATAATATTTTGATGTTGCTGAGATATTTAAGACAGTTGAATTTCATTCGGTTCGGTTCGGTTCGAAAAAGAAACACGAACCGATTCCATCACTGGTATGTAGTCAACACAAATACTTTGCAACATATACTTCCAATTAACTTTTTCTATTATTATATCATAAATTTGTTTCTTCGTCGCTCAAAAAACAAATGTTCACTTTATATTTATTTTTCCGAATTATCTGATTTATTTATCTTTATTTTACAAATATAAACGAACACCCCTAACTCCTATCCTAACGCTTAGTCACTTGAAATTTATGTTAACAGAGTGTATGGGTTGAATATTACTGAAAATAATTTGCATGTAGTTTTTTAACTAGCACATTGATTCAAAAGCAACACAATTTTTTATTGATATTTTCTAATTAGGGGTTTCGTATAAATGGTTCTAAATGTAGTGTTGAACATAAACTTGGTGCAATAGGAAATGGCAACTCAGCATTAATAATCAATGGTATCGCCTTCAACATGTCAAGGATGTTGGAAGCAGCAGCAATCCAGACGATTGAGCATTTAGTATGATTTTTTTTCATGCTTTTTCTATGGGTAGATCGATATACCGCTGTTGACATAAAAATTTTTTCTATCAACATTGAATCAAATCCCATTTATTATGTACCATTCGGTAGACGATTTTACGAGCTACAAAATAATATATAATATAAAAAGAAATAAGAAGTCTAAGTCATCTATAGTGCAAACATTATTATGTAGTAAGTGGTTCCAATGTTATCAACAATCTTATTGATCCACAAATAGAGCTCTATCTTAGGATTATAGATATGTTACTTCGAGGTTTTTTGTTGTAGAGTACTCGAAGCCCCACTGATTTTGCAGTACACATGGCTCTTGCATAAAACCAAAGTTGCCGCATTGATTTTTGATCACTCAAAATGATTTCCTATCTCATGATCTAATAAAACACATGAGTACCACAATATTGTATGATGTCCGCTTAAAACTTGGTGACGTTCTTCTAAATAGGGCTCTCGATTATATTCTCGAATGATAAAAAGTGAAATGAGGAGAAGGAAAACAGAGTTCAGTTAAAGGATTGTCATGATTATTAGTCATAAAGAGATTTCAGTTTAATCATTGAATTGGAATCAGGTAAGGCTGCGTAGCAGTAGATGGAGAAGGATTGAATAATGTCGTAACGTGGACGTTAAGAGGATGTGCTGATGATGCAGTAAACGAGAATGGCTGGTGTTGAATTAGTTCAACATTTGATGTGCTTAGTGATGCAGCATTTGCCATTGGTGCAACGCTATTTGCTGCGGCAAATTTTGTATACACCACATATGCTATAATTGCAGCTATAGCAGCCACAAGAGCAGTGCCAACAGGAATTGTAACTTCAAGTATAATTGGTAGATTATTTGAACCACTGTCGCCACTTGAGTTCGTGTTATTGCTTGAAGAGTCTGGTACTGAATAGGAGCGAGTGTTAATATTTACTGAGACAAACGTTAGACTTGATACAGCGTTGGGATTGGACAGTAATGTAGAAACGGCAGTTGCTACGTTGGATGGCAATGGATCTACCTCGAACAGTGCCACGATAGTACTCGAACCACCTAAAACAGCTCGACAATGTAAAATATTTTTTCAAACTAAAACATACCTTTGACTAAAATCATATCGCTAATCAGTGGCATGCCAATACTAAGCAAATAGTTGTAGAGCAGTGCACGTGTGATTTCTAGTTGATTACTGGCATTGAGTGCGTCAAAATTGCCTTGTGATGTAATGTTACTTGAAAATCCTTGCGGATCAGTGGCTATGATACCTGCAAAAAAGGTCTTTAACATCAAGGAAGAGTTTTTGACTACTAGCAAACTTACTTTTGTCATTGGCAACGAGAATAGCACTAGATAGAACCATTATGTTGTATTGATTGTTTGACGAGCTGAGGCAAATGTTCAGCATGAACATACCCGTGCCATTTATTCTTAGATTAGTAATGGTGACTGCAACTGCTGTAAGATTAGCATTCGTTCTTGATGAACCGTTTGTTACCAGAAATCCTTGCCGATTAAAGCTCGGTAACGTATACAAGGTGACATTCGAGGTCCATCGCCAAGTACCCCATTGAACATGTCCGAGTGGTAGTTGCGTAACACTGTCGATGGGCTTAACTGATACACTAAAAGACTCATTAGAATTCACTAAATAGATATTGTTGATTTGTTGACCAGCAGGTTGTGCCGGACCCACTGATATATTCCCACTTTGCACTGTAAGGTTCATTGCCATGAAGAATGAGCTATCAATGAAAAATGAATTAGATATCATGCAGAAAAACAGAACTTTTTCAATACCCGTTGACACCATACGGCACCATCATAGTAAACTGAACTGGTTGAGTACCATTATCCGGCAGGGAGAGTTGGGTAAACTGTGTTTGTCCATTTGTATAGTTTGCTATGCCACCTGATAAAACAACATTGGGCTGATGTACTAGGGTTGCTTGTACTTGCCATGGTTGGCCATTTGAACCTAGTTTTTGAATGACATTCCCTTGTACATCATATGCGATAAGTACAGGTTGAATTGTACATGGACTTTGTTGACGACAATCACCTGGTGGTGTTACTAATACAAGTTGAGCGATAACACTCAAATTGACTTGAAAGTCCTGAAATGGTTCTTGCACAGTTAAATTTGATGTAATAATGCCATTTGTTATGTTTAATATTCCCCATAATACCTGCAGTTCACCTGCTTGATAACGATTGATGATCGCAGAAGCTATGTTAGCAAGAATCTCTGCTCGAATGCCCGTTGCTGCAGTTGTGCTGGGTCTTGGCTCATCACGCAGCTCCATTTGAAGTTGTACTGACACTACAGGAGGTGTTTGTCGACGAATACGTCTATTTAAAGAAAATGACAATAGAATCGAAACTGCACAGTTACTACTTGTTAGATTCTGTTACTTACATATTACTCGCGGCTGAGACAACATTCATACGACGGATTTTGTCAGGGCTGATATTGAGCAAAGCAGCCAGATTGCTAACAATATTGGCCGAGAAAAACGCTGCTGGATTCATTGGTGGAAAGCCAAATGAAAGAATGAGCAACGGTGACATTTTCACTTCGATTGTACTGTTGCCATCGATGGCAAAATACGCCATCTGATAAGTCCTGTTCATCAATGGAAAAACAAAGATCATCAGTACATTATAAATACTGAAAGAAAATCGATTGAACCTGTTGAAAAAGTTACTTCCAGCCGGTGATGTGGGTGTCACGCCATTAGGTTGATCGAGTAACATAAGACCAGGATAACGAAGATCTCGATTAGTCGGCGGTACATATAATGTATTGGCGTAGATATCAATTTGTTGTAGCGAATAATAGTATACGGCCAAGATGCATTTTATTGCCGTGTTAGCATTGAGTAAACGAAAACGAAGATATTTGGGTGGAGTGCTTGAAAAATATATTTCGTATGTTTGTCCCGATTGAACAATAGACATGAATGTTGATATACGTTTTTGACATGAATATCCGTTGCAAATTGTTTGATCTTGAGGTCCATTGATAAGATCAATATAGCCACTCGTTGACATAACAGCAACAGGTGAAACACGTCGTTTTTCCGTGTCTGAATCCATACTTTCAATGATCAGCATACGGTAGTCAGTACTAAAGTTGCACATATACATTCCCCATGCCGGTCGAAGGGAACAAGAATTCGTGCGACTAATGCCACGATATGGATGAGTCAGGTTAATATTTACTTGTAGTCCAGTCAGACTAGTCAGCGCCACTCTTGGAATACGAAAATCTCCGATCCCATGTTGTTGACTTCCTAGACACAAAACATCTCAAAATTATACAGTCCTTCAATGCTTATCATCAACGACTAACCCCATAGAGCCTCAGAGTCTGAGAAAATACTAGATGCTTGACCAAATAATGATCCATCAGTGTCGGTAACCAGATCTTTTTTTAGGCCATCACAATCCATGTCTACAAGACCGACGATATGAACAAAAAAATCAATCTTAAATTTAAGAGGGCTTACCACCGCATCTACTCGGATTCACTACACCTAAGTTTGGTAGACCGTTGAAAATAAGATTATTCTGCGAACTATTATAGACAAACATGGAACTTGTCATGATTGGAAATTGTCCATCATCATTCTTCTGTGACACCTGAATGGCGACATCATGCCGATTACAAGCATCATTGAAGAAAGCGAGTGTTGTATTCGTGATTGACATCAAGCCGCTAACTAGAGAAATATTCGCAACAACTAATATATGTTCGATTGCAACGATTATTTTATACTTACGACATGGATAAACACCAATACCAGTCCAAGAACGAATAGGCATGTAATTATTTCTAGACACTGTTGGAAAGACTATACCAACTCGACCACCAGTTCTATTCAAAGATGAACTGTCTAACACTCCTGGTATAGCCATTTGTGACAGACGAATATTCTGAGTACTAGTATCCATTGTGTCATTGCAATCCTGTGGTGTTATGGCACCAATTAAAACCGAGTCGCTGATAGTAATGCGACTACTAATGATTGTATGTGTTACAGCTACTCGCGTGTAGAAAAAAAAACGATTAGATAGAGCTGAATACGCACAGTTACTATGTGGTAATTACCTGAAGGTCCAATCACATAAGTGAAAATGCCCACTTGACTATCAATTGACATACATGAATTGATAGAAATATTGCGCGGTGTATTGATGTAGAAAGCGTAATACCAAGCTTTGTAAACTCTATGAATTTTGTAAAAAATACAGAATCATTCAATTGACATCATCTCAAACCATGTTGACTGATACTTACTTGAATCCTCTGATTAGAACGCATTCTTAAAAATAGAGGCAAATATACAAAATATACAGCAAATCTGTAAATGATCAAAATTCTTACGTCGATCGTACGTATATCCTCTGTCTGAAGGCCAGAGATTAACACCGGAAAATACTGAGTGAGCTTCATTGTTCGAATATTGGTTCGTTATGTTTGCTGGTACAAAAATAGATGGACCTCCGCATGTTTCACCTTGAACTCGATAAGCTACACGTTCAGCGCCAACTACCAAATTATCCTGCGAATAGATTATGTTCATGCATGAAAACTAGTAAGATACAAAATATTTCGATATACGTACCAGTAGTCTTACACTGGTAACGTCGCGAGTCATAATAGCACCATCATTATTGAAATTAAATTCGGCCACTGATGGTATTTGACCTGTACCCAACCAATAGACAGTTGCAACAAGATTATTCTGGACGATATTATTCGTTCCAGTGATAACAATGCCTGCTCTATATGTGTTGAATACAACATTGTTTGTGATGGGTACACCATTTGTACCTAACATACTGATCCTGGAATCGAAAAACAAAACAATTTATATACTATCATCATTCAAATCTTGACACTTACGCTGCATTGTTCCCACCATCAAATGACGACGAATCGATGTAAGTAGCCCGATTAGGATCGTAATTACCGAGACCAGTAAAATAGATACCTGCTCGTTGTTCAGTATTATAGCTGTCGTCAAACTGTCCGAAACCAATAAATTGTGTATTCGATATTCGAACATAGCCTTTATAGCATGCACTGGAATAAAGACCGGAGTAAATATGAAACATATTTGTTTGATACGCAGCAACATATATCCGGAAACCAGCAACATCTGAAGGTGAATTTTGACTGATCACACGTACATTGTGTGTTAATAATCCAACTGAAGAAGCTATATTGATGATTTTTCCATTAGCGAATGTATTCAGAATGACACGATGAGTATACGATAGTGGTGCTGCTGTATAAATTGTGTTGCCGTTGAGGATACTGACTATGCGATGTCGTTCCGTATGATTCATGAGCATGTCGGTCGTCGTTATAATTATTTCGTCACCGACGGTCCAATTAACAGACTGTCGCAGAACGATCATATTTTGACCTGAATTAGCAGTCGAAGCAAGTCGCGTCCATGATATTCCACGTGGTGTACCATGTAAATCAAGACCACCCAAAACAGTGATCATTTTCTGTTGTATATTTGGAACGCCTGGAGGCCATTGTATAGTAACTGGACCACTATTTTTCATAATTATATCGATACTGCCATTAAAAGGAGCAGTTGGTAGACCTTTAAAAAATGCACCACAATCGAAAGAAATTTCTCAAAACCTACAAAACTTACCCGCAACCAATCGACCGCCATTAATAATGATGCTGTCAACATTCATTATATGATTCCGTCCCTGCGAATAGAATAAATAGCAATGAGTAAAACAAGCTCTTCAATAGTTGAAAAACATTGATCTGTACTTGTTGAAACTCGACCACACCATCAACGCGAAATGCATGAATAATTGGAAGTGGATAATCGATGATTAGCCAGACACAGCGAGGAACATAGATATTGCGACCATCACCAGGCTTCGCTCCCGCTATAATTGAATCATATACAATAGGCAATGAGGATTTTATTTTAAGAGTCAAACATACACCAATTAGGATAATCTTGCGGACCAAATGTCCAGTGTGCATCGATCGACCAATATCTCACGTCAATACTTTGACACTAAACAGAAACGATGAGCAAAATTAATTAAATCGGAACACTATCATAAACTATAATTGTTTCCTTTTTCTCTTTATTAATGCCCGGTAATTACATGAATATATGTTCTGCAAGGTTTTCTCTCTAACCGATTTTCGCCTTCAGAACTGTACTCGCACTTTTAAATATCTATTTCGGAAGAAAAACTTGATTCATACCAATTGTGGATTTATTGGTAGTTCATAGCAAGGTTGTATAGGTGCTAGATATATCGTTGTTGTTGCCGTACTTGTCGTAGCCGTCGTAGCCGTACTCGTTGTTGTTGTTGTTGACGTCGTTGTTGTTGCAGATGTTGTTGTCGTTGTCGTAGCTGACGTTGTCGTAGTTGTAGTAGCTGACGTTGTCGTTGTTGTCGTAGCCGACGTAGTCGTTGTAGTTGTTTGTGACGTAGTCGAAGCAGTTGTGGCTGATGTCGAGGTAGAACTGGTTGTCGAAGTGGTTGTTGTAGGCGGACAACTACAGCCATTACAAGGACATACATAGATCTGATATGATAGTTCTATATCAACACTTGTATTGGCCGTCACCGGATTTTGCACTGAAACAAGAAATCATTTGGAAATGCTTCATACAATGATAATTCTGTTTACCTATGTATGAGAAGAGAGAAGAAACGTAGTCATAGTACCAGTCACCATTACTACTTGTTGCTCCAGATAGTGGTGTCGTTGACCCGAGAATCATTTGTCGATCAATTGTAGTATTTGCTCTATATGGTAAGACAAACATATGATGTTGAATAATTATGAAGTCTCCCGGTGCTACATCATAAATGACACCTGTGTATATCATAGTGTCGGCAGTCTAAATTCATATTGATACTATATATATTTGTGAGATCAAAAGAGAAAGCATTCATACTATAGAGGTTTCGAATCGTAACGTATACGTCTGATTAGCTCTTAAGTCGGTTAAGTATCCGTTAGGATAGGTCAGTTGTTGAGGAAGCCATGGGATGATTGTTGATGAATTAACATCATTGTAAATAAATAGACGCCCTAACGATCTTTCTAATATTTCACGGAAAGAAAATCGTAGCCATGCGCCTTGTGACAAAGGACACTGAATTGCATTTTCGAAATTGGCTGCTGACGTACAGGTCAATGATGTATTTGTCAGACCATCAGGTGCCATGATGACTGAATTTGGTTGTCCACTCAAACTACCATCTTCATCACAGTACAACCCATCATATGCCCAACGAAACTTTCCACGGACTAGCACATTGATAAACGAAATATTAGAGAACTTTGTTAACCAACCTAAAACAAGGCACATAGCAAGCATTTAATTCAAGTCAATGGTTTAGTTTGTGCATGTCTACCTCCACAACGATCAGTACATCGATCAAGAATAATTGGTCCATATAGGGCACGTGTTTCATTACTCGGGAAATTCATAAATATAACATTACGAACACGTAGACCACGATCCCACATGACTATTCGTTCATTCGATGAATATATTATCATAATTTTACACGACAGGATAAAAGCTACTTACCTATAAGACCACCAGAAACTGGAACGACTGGCACAGCAGAAATACCAGTGTCACCGATAATGACACTATCGATCACTAATGAGCCATTTGTACCATCATAGAACGTCGGGCGAATATATAGTGGATTAGTTTCTTGATGACCAACTGCTGTGATGTAACCGATACCCGAATCAGCATTATCAAAAACTAATGCATTCCTGATTTCTATCGTACGGGACATGACGACTTCGATTCCTTTATTATTTCTCCATGCGATTAGCCCATCAATTGTTGCACTTGTGGGATTAGTACCATTACAGTCACCCGTCATGGTTGGAGCATACTCAGGATAGATCCACACTCCGAATCGACCAGTGCTGTGTACAGTATTGTTGATGAACCGACCAAACGGTTGTCGATTTGGGCAATAGTTCGGATAGTTTTCAAGTGAAAGACCCTCGGGTTGATCGGTGAATCGATACCAATAACCGAAATGAGTGGCACCAGCCACTGCATTGAACTCCACAATATTATTAGGATTGCTCAACTATATAAAAACATGAATACATTTTCATTTAGAGTTCGCATCCAAACGGTGACTTACCAAGAATGCGGCCGGTGTAAGATCATCATTGAGAAGGCTCGAGCTGGTTCGAATGAAAACTGCCAGATTTCCTCGAAAAACATGTCCAATTTCAACACCATCTGATAGAAACATTGCATTTCCCCTACACAATGATGAACATACGAGAACGAACTCAAAATTTCAGTTCAAGTCAAACCCTTACATGATATTGTAGAGCACGTTGTTCTCCATAGTAATGAAATCAGTAGCCTGAATGTGTATTGCTCGATTGAATGATTCATAAATTGAACATGATTTCACATAAGATCCACTCATATTACCATTGCTCTGGAAATGTATGGCATAGCGATCGAGACGAAACGCTTGACCGACATGATGGATCTAACGCGTTAAAGGTTACACATTCAAAAAGCAAAATCGAAAAATAATAATCCTTTACTTCGACATTCGACAAGCGGACAACAATATGTTGAGTTTCGTTAGTAACATTACTGCCTTGGCTAGCCATAATCATCGCACCGAATTGATCTGAGCCGATCTCCTGTCCATATCGACCAAGAAAACATGTTTGCACAGCAAATTCATCTGAAAATAAATGTTTTCAAAGTTGATACATTTCGATGTCTAAACAATATTTGCAGCAGTGGGCAGATTTCCAAAAAAGGTAACTTCCTAGCTAAAAATTCAAATTTCGGAAATTACACAAGAGAAAAAGTAAGCTTTTCGTAAATATCAGAAACTTTCGAAATTACTAAAATATTCTTTACCATACAGAGAAATCAAAATTAAGTAATTTCCTGGAAATTTCTATAAATTCTATATTAATAGCGTATACGTTAAAGACTAAATATGTATATAGATTTGAAGACCCTACCCCAAGAATGAGAAGAATTTATGGTAATTTCGGTAATTACCTGGAAATTACGGAAATTTCTATAATTTCTATATTAATATCGTATACGTTAAAGACTAAATATGTATATAGATTTGAAGACCCTACCCCAAGAATAAAAATAATTTGTAGAAATTTCCGTAAATACCGTAATTTCCAGGTAATTACAGAAATTACCATAAATTCCTGTCATTCTCGGGGTAGGGTCTTCAAATCTATATACATATTTAGTGTGAAGCCTATACGATATTTATATAGAAATTATAGAGATTTCCGAAATTCCGGAAAATTTCTTTTTGGATGTGAAGCTGATTTCTGAAATTCCATAGATGTTTTGTTGGGTGGTATTTTAAAATATGGTAATTTCTGAGAATTCACCTTTTCACGTAATGGTAATTGCGGAAGTTTCAAGGAAATTTCTGTTTGGACACTCTGGTGTCTTTCAATAGTTTGTTAGAAATTCAGTATTTTCGGAAATTTACTTTTTCGGAAATCTGAACATACCTCAATATTTGTCTTTCTATATTTTACCTGGATTAAACCCAGCCGGACATGCTGCTATGGTATCATTCCATGTTGGAGTAACATCACCTAAATAAACGAAACACGTTAGCCTATGCGACGAATTATTCATTTAAACGTATGAGCAAACCTTGAAAAACAACATTGTGTGTGAGAAGACCAACTTCAGCACGAACTTCAACTGTTACTGAATTTACAGATTGTACAAGACCTAGATGAGTGTACATTAATGGACTATCTAACGTGAGAATGAGTCCATTCGATGAAATGTTTCTAATTTGACGAATTTCACTTTCTCGCTGACTGAAACGATCACTCGTCGTTGCAATAATAATTTGACTACCAATAGTCCAATTGACAGGCTGAATAAGAGTAATTGTCGATGAGCCGTTATTAGCCGTAGTTGCCAATTGTGCCCATGTTTGAATCGTTGGTCTTCCGTGCATGTCTAATGTACCTTCACGGAGAGCCAATACTTTTGCACCATCTAATAAATAGTAAATCGTAGAGAATCATTAGAAAGTACGAATCTTACTTACAGATAGGCAATTCAATCGATCTCAAATGTCCATATATAGTAATGACACCACGATGTTGAAACGGATTTGATTCTGTCCCAACAATGAGACGACCACCGTTAATAATAATAATATATTCGACATTCAAAGTAACATCTTGATTATCGTCGAAGATCATTGTTGCATTATCAATGATAAGCACTTTCAAAACTGGTGTCAGCATATCCAAGTAAATTGTGTTTTGACTGTCAATCACAACTAGTGTTCCCTCTTCTGGTGGATCATCACCACCCCATGTCCACTGACTTGACCAAAGATTCATGTATTCAAAGTAGACTGAGCCAACTGCATAACCACTGCCGTTGATAGCCACCAATATAGGTGCTTGCACACTTGAATATGGATAGCCACCGGTTTGACACATAATACTCGTTCTTGAGACAGATAGCATGAAACACGGAACGCCAGCAATAGTCACTGAAACTGCATTGATATTGGTTCTAAAAGAGAAATGTCTACATGATCGTAAGTTATGAGGAACTCTTAACACTTACGGAAAATTCGTTCCATTAATTATAATTGTGGTTCCGCCACCCGTCCCACCCCGATTGGGAGTTACTGATGTTATTGTTGCTGTCAAATTACTTTTATAGGTGAAGGAAGTTTGTTTTTGTATACCATCGACATCTACTGACACATTACATAGTGTATTGGTTGAAGTCATGGTCATTGGAGGTGTTTCACAATTGAGTTGACGATTTGAAATAACTTGTACTGATACGCAAGATATATTGCATACGCTTACGTTGACATTAGTTCCATTGAAGCCGTTCCCGTTAATGGTACTTTGTACACCACCGCCATAACCTCCTTCAGATGGTGTCGCATTTGTTACAGTCAAATCATGTTGATATTGAACATCATCATTAGAGTCGCCGACGTCATCGATATTAACACGTACGGTATGATTACCAGCTGGTAGATCTGAACTTACTGTACATGTGGCTGATGTCATCGAATGGCTACTAACATTGCATGGAGTGTTTCCAACTGATATACTGGTCTTTCCAGTGCTATTCAGATTATTTCCAGTAACATGCAATACCTGCGAACCGCTACCGAAGGTTGGGCTAACGGAACTGATATCAGGCGTGATTGTACGATTATAACTGAACGTCAACGAAGTTGGAAACAAAGTTTGTTCAGATGTAATAGTAATACTTGCTGTATTAGTACTATTATTTTGAGGTGGTATAGTACATTTAACTTGAATGTCTGAAGTCTCAGTTACGGAGCATGGATTGGAGTCAATATTGACTTGAACACCGCTGATGTTTTTTGAGAAACCATGACCATCGATCGTTAATGTTGCACCACCATGAATGCTACCTACTAAAGGTGCTACTGTGGAGATATAGGCATCTGATGTTATATTAGCGGATGAATACGCATCTCCAACCCCTGAAACATACAAAAAAATTATGATTAACAACGATTTTTCGTTCTCGAAAACAGACAGACCATCAATAGATCCAACAATAGGATGATCACCAGATTCGACACCCGTAACCGTGCACATGATCATGTCATTCTGCATTTGCGTTATATTACATGGGTTATCATTTATGGTCACATGAGTTGTTGCAGCTGTGCCGCCACCACTGAGCAAATTTCTACCGGTAATATTCAAGTTTGTTGGTCCTCGAACTCTCGGAGGGTCCACGGAGTCAAAATATGGTGTAATCTGTGTTGTCCATGCGAAATGGCATGATGATAATAGGCATTCCGATGGAGTCGTATAAACAACAACAAATAAGTTCAAATCAACATCAACAAACTGTGATTGCAGAGGAGTAGTGAAGTTCATTTGTGAGTACGATGTAGGTCCTACATATGTATAATTTGCAACTGGGACAGAGACTAACGTGACACCTGATATAAATCCATCGCCATCGATTGTCACGAACGTTCCACCATAAATTGATCCTGGTAAATAATTATAAATAAAAAAGCAGTGCAATTCTTATGTTGTTCATAAATGTTGAACACTAATGTTACCTATCATCGGAGTTATATTTGAAATTGATGGAAGAAACTGAAATTGCAGTTGGCTTTGACTGGCAAGATAACCTTGTTGAGCACGAACAACACGAACCATATAAGTCGTTCTTGGATCTAGCATAGAGAGTGGTGTAATTTGACATCGGAGTTCACTCGAAGACATATTCACTATGGGACAATGATATGACGGTCCGATTTGAATATCATAGTCACAGATACTGCCATTAAAGTTCGTGCCTATAAATAAATCGTATATGCCATAGAAGTAACGACTCAGTTACAGAAAATGAAACCTGTTATTATTAATTCAGTTCCAGCGGCACCTTGCGTTGGTGATATCGATGTGACCGATTCCACCATGCATGTTGTAGTAAGAAATCGACCTGGACTAGACGACGTTGGTACCGTCTCGCCACATGAACTTGCATTAAGAGTAGTCGATGAACATGATGGACTTGGTATTGGAACTAAAGGTACAGACGACGAAATTCTTAGTATTTTCTGATCCATCATTGAATAAATTATAGAAATACTATCAACATATAACGTTACCTGCTGGTGTGCAATAGAGTCTTTGCCCTGTATAGGCTGGTGTCGGTGAACACCATGGTTGTGTATCATTGGTCGTCGTACATGCTGTGTAGTTGACCGAATTGAAAATGAATGGGAAAGCGCATGTTTGAGCTATAGAATGAAAATTCATTTTGATGCACTTTGATCAAATCAAAATTTACCAGTAAACGTGTTCCTAGTGGCTTCGATTGTTACCGTCTTCGATTGTAGAGGTATAACATCAACCGCAGCTCGCATTGAATAGCCTGCCGACGGATTGACATTCGGTGCCCAGTAGTAGAAAGTACCCAATGTATCAAATCGATAAGAAAATGAGCCTATAAAATCAAGACTAACATAAATAGGAATTCTTAAGACAAATCATTGTTTACCAGAAGTACTGACTGCGCCAGAATCGAAACCATTCGATGCTGGTGTAGTACTATAGGCATTTTCGACTTGTTGTACTTTGTAATAGACTGGTGAAGAAAGTTGAGATGAATCCCAATACCACATAACGGTCGTGCCTTGTTCTACTGTTTCACGAATAGGGTACCATGAATAACCAAAACCATATATTGGATGAGTACCAAATGATGTGATATTCACTTGACGAGCACTGACCGTCGTTTGACAATGAATCTGATTCGATTGAACTGATATTATGTTGCATGGCGAAACTTGATTGTCGTCATTCCGAAGTTGAACGCGCGTCTCATTTTCAAATCCAACTCCGTTTAGATAAACATCGGTACCGCCGTATGCCGAGCCGACTTTTGGTGATATCTCTTGTACATAGAATTGGTATTCAATGTAAAAGAGTGGCCGTGCACAACCACTCGAAGTATTGACTATGATTGGATAAAGTCCGGGCGGTAGAGAACTTAAGCTAACTAAAATATAATTATTGGTTGATACTAAAAGACGTGCCTTCTTCGTGCCGATAACAACTGCAATATTTCCAAAACCAAAACCCGCACCATTGATTTGTAATTGTCCACCACTCATTGTCACAGAGGTTGGACTGATGGAAGTGATAATAGGAGCGCTTGTCACATTGTACGTAAATCGGTTCGTTGCTGTCGTTGACATTAGGCCATCCATGGCGGTCAGTGTCACTTGAGTTAAGCTACTTGCATCGCTTGGAGGAACGGTACATTGAATGGTAGTAAAACTAATCACAGTTATGTTCAAACAGAAATGTTCACCAAGTTTGACTACAGCATTCGATGAGAATCCGCTACCAGTAACAGTCAACATGTAACCTCCTCCAGAATCTCCGCCATTTGGAGCAAACGAAACGATTGTTAGCGGTACATTAACCGTAAGACTTTGATTACATGACGCAATACCTTTCTCAGCAATGTTCAGTCGTAGACTTTGTTGACCAGAAGGTGCGTTAACAAGAGTACATACAATCTGCGTTGGACTAGCTGTTTGGACAGTACACGTACCCGTCTCACCGATCAAAACCATATTCGACTCTGGTTGACTACTGAATCCACTACCATGAATTGTCACTGATGCACCACTCTGTTGCACTGATGTTATCTGAGGTGTTTGATTAGGTGATACTTGAAATTCACACTTATTTTCGTCTTGAGAACAATGTGTAGAATAACCGCCGACAAGTACCTCAACCTGGGCATACAAGAGAAAGTAGAACTTATGAAATTGAGTAAAAACCTAACAACTTACCTGAGGTGTCGTGTGATAAGTACGTAGTACATCAGTTGGGAGATTGTAGAATACATTAGTGCTAGTGCCATGTTGTATGGAAGAAATACTCATTGGTGTGTTCACTGGTGTCACTTGAGATGCATTCTGTATCGTAATTAATGGTTGCTCACCATTTGCTAGCCATTGAATTGTATATGCATATTGATTACAGTCTCCTGTACGAGTCACACCAACAAAACCAAAGTCTGCAAACGATTGAAATATATTTGCCAAACTTGATCCATCTATTGCTACTGGAATTGGCGAATAGACCTTTCCATCAAACATGATCGAATAATCACCACCGATTGCTTTTGACGCGTTCGAGATCGAAGTTACTTGACCAACCTATAAATACAAATACAGAGGTACATCGCTATGAATAAATCAACATGAAGTATTGACTAACATTCGGTGGTACAACACTGATCAATGATGATGACATGCATGCAGCGTATCGAAACGAAATATCGATAGTTTGTTGTGCAGGTACATGAGTAACTTGAAATGAACTACGGAGCATTTGATATTTCGGAAAGAGTCGTCGAACACCTTCAATTGATGAACTCTGACAGTAGAATCGGGTGTTGTTAGTCAAGCCGCATATTGGCTGATTTTGATCGTCGAGTACACACGAAAAATAATTTTGGCCATTATAAGTGAATGGAAATGTGCATGGTCCTAATCCTGACAGATCCGTTTGCGTAAGAGTATTCGAATCCTCATAACCGATAGGTTGATCGATACGCAATGTAACTGTATCAATCATAGTCAATGGAGTGAAATAACTGATATTGACTTGAAGAATTGTGAATGTCGTAACTGCCATGTACATAGGATTGTACTGCTCGAGCATGTCAAGCAGATCGATACAATTATAGTGCCAACGTGAATCTGCCGTTATAGTTTGTGGGATAGTTTCGAGAACAGGTGGATTGCTATCGCTCACAACTAGGAAGTTCAGAGTTAATGAGCCTCCAGTAACAACCTTATAGGCCAAACACATGTAAGCAGCGACCTGATTGTTTCCTATAACAAGATCTTGACTTGAATCTTTAAGGGCACCGCAGCCACAAAAAGCTGTATCTATAATGTTCAATGTGTCATTGGAACAGCCCAAATCTTCAAAGTCATCCGCATAAACAATAGACGATGAGACCTGAGGGTTGTTCAATGATGGTGGACATCGAATATTGAATAGGTTCATAAATTGATCAGTTAATATGGCATCTGTAATGTTATCATGTATAAAATCCATGTAATTCGTTGTTGCTCTGTCAAGCGTAAAAGCAATTTGCGATTCCGAAGAAATACCTTGTACTATTTCAACAGCTGTTATTGAATGACTGTATGCCGACGAGATGACTGTTAGTAGTGGGACGTTGCCCATTTCGACGGGAAATGTCACTCTGTAAGCGGTGCCAACAAGAGCTACTGTTACCGAAAATGGAAAAATTGTTGGCAAGTCATTAAGTGCATCTTGGATAAATGCTGGTGTGGGCGGACCATCGAGTAATGCTAGATATCGCAATTAAATCTCGATCATATCTGTAATAGAATCTTGCATGAAATAACAAACCTGTGTAGACTCCATCGAATCCTATTTGAAATATTTGAAATACGGCCTCTACATCCTGAACTTCAGATCTTCCGGCAACAGATGAATTTGTCAAGTAGGTAATACGCTAAAACGAAAAATAACAGCTATATACTATATTATAATCATAGTAAATCCGTCTTTTCGCAACACGAAAAACTGTCGAGACAATTCTATTGGTAGAGTTTGTTTTGTTCAAAGTATTGGATGCCGTCTGCTCGAAAGTGTTAAAACATATATGCTATCTATTCTGTCTCTCACCTGATGTTCGTAGGAAGCAGGTGCACCAATGCTAATTTGTTGAATCTCGCTCGTACCAACAGAACTTGCACCCGTTCTTGAATTGACTGGCTGTATTGCCGAATTTATTGCCAAGCTAAAACTACCACCACGAGTTGACGCCACACAAAGCATATAATAGCTATACGAAATCAACCATGAATATCAATTGTACTATACGGAACATTTTAAAGACTTTTCTTTACTTACTCGGTATCATTTTGGAGTACGATTCTGCTTGAACTCGGAGCTGCAGTACTAGCTACTCGTACTTTGTTAGCAGGATCTTCGTCAGTACTCAAATACAGAATAGCATCTGCATTGGTTTCCAATTGAAAATAGTAGGCAGACGGAATTGGTGGGCGTAGGAATCCTCTGAGCCATACTGTAGTGGGTTGTGGAAAGTTCGACGAGAACGAAGCTTCTCCCTGCCAAGTTCCAGTGGTATTGGGATTAGGCATAGGAGGTGTTGCGTTACCCAAATTTCTCTTGATAACAAGAAAGTAAACAGTTATACTGTTATTCTAAAGAGTGAACTAATATATAACATACCAAAGAAATAAAACCGGGCTCCTGATATACATGAAGGCCACGACCACCTGTAATTATAGTTGTCGCAATAGATTTCCATCAAATAATGAACTTACCATGGTAGTAGTTTCGAGTATGATTTGGTTTCAGCGACGTTTGACATTGAATCGTAGTTAGCTCGCTACTAAGAACGTTGCATGGCTCATCGCCAACATTAACGACCAGCGGATTTTCACTACTTCCCACGAAATGGTCTCCTTGAATTGTTAGGATTGTACCACCTTCGACACTACCGCTACTCGTTGAGACATTGTTCAGAACTATTTACCATAAGAATACCGCTAAAACATTATAGGTCATGTCTAATTACGATGACACATACCTGCATAAGTCTCAAAATGGTATAATTGACCGGTGCCAGACATGCGATAGAGACTTGAATCACTTGCTGAACGGCCATTGTTATTTGATACAAGCATGGTAACATTGAATATGCCTATTCATGATGAAATAGTTGTCGATTCATTCGGGAACAAGCTAACGCACGAATACTTATTTGGATACTCATTATACTGATTTTGTGAAGTCAATTTCACAATCATAAAAAAAAAGATTTTCTCAATATCCAATATACCATTCGATAGAGCAAGAAAAACTGCATCTAGTGATGTTGGTTACTGCAACACTTTATTCTGAAAACTCGATACTAATTGCTAAGTACTATAGGAGTAATTCATAGTCTTTCCATTAAACTCCAGCTTTGCTTCGAGTCAGTAAGGTCGTTTCTTTTTATCTGTACATATACGCATAAGAAGAATAAATAGAAACAGCGAGGATGAACATGTGTTTGTATGGCTCTGTAAAAATTGCGGACAACATTCACACCTCTTTCCCGCCGCACTCATACTATCAAGCATGTTGATTGGTTTGATCTTTATCCGCAATTACGAAGCGTCGGTTCGTCTATGCATATATATCTATTAACAGATCCAAAAAGAAATGCGTCTTTTATCAAGATGTGGGAGGATGCGTATGTTTCAAGAAACGGTGCTAATGACTCGAAGGAAAACATTTACAATAACTTTAAATTAGTAGCGTAACCAGAAGGGGACTAAAGGAGGCTCAACAGTGGGCTAAAAAATGAAGATTATTGAAATGACTAAGATAGGTATTTGTCTTATTTAGCACTTCAGTGTAGTTTTTCAGTATAGATTTCGCAAATAATTGAAATCATTAGATGCAGTTTTTCTTACTCTATAAAATGATGTATTTTGACAAGTTTCTATATAGTAAAACCTCAAAAGTCGATAGTTTTCTGGGAAATCGAGAGTGCTTCAGGTTTTGAAAGATTTCCAAGGATCTCCGCTAATTAGTTTAGTTACAAATGAGATCCTCGGGCACAGAAGAATTTTTTCTATTGAACGAGCTATTTTTCCAGGACATTTGATGAAAAATTCATGTTTTAGAAAAGAAAAAATAAAAATACCCAAATAATTCTTTCAACTACAAAATCACTATAGCGAATGTTCAAATACATAATGAATACACACGTATGCTTACCGACTTCATTGCTTTTAAAATGACATTGAAGATCTGTATTACTCAGATTTGAATAACTAAAAATGAATGGAAATGAATCGTCACAAACTATATCCATTTAAAAAAAGAAAAAGGTTGATTGTTTTTTTTAATAACTTTTTGGTGGAAATATATATCAGTCCGCGGCTTTCACCATTTGATAGAGGCAAATATTCTGCATCTTTTTATAGATGATTAAAAATGTCATGCTTTGATTCAGATTAGTAGTCAGTAAATTTTTTATGAAATTCGTCTACTCAAAATCTACAATTATACACAAACCCGATATTTTTCTTAAGAAAAATATCGAGCTTGTGTAGAATTGTAGATTTTGAGTAGACGAATTTCATAAAAATTTTACTGACTACTAATCTGAATCAAGGCATGACATTTTGAATCGTCTGTAAAAAGATGCAGAATATTTGCCTCTATCAAATGGTGAAAGCCGCGAACTGATATATATTTCCACTAAAAAGTTATCTAAAAAACAATTAACCTTTTTCTTTTCTTTTTTTAATGGATAATAGACATAGATCTATTTCAGACTTACTATTCACCACGCTCACTATCGACCAAGTCACACGATTGACCACCAACGTACACCCTAAACAAAATATCCTTGAAAAATTTTCCCAGTGAATAAATATTACACTTCTTACCGGGATATGACTGAAACGTTTGACTCTCGGCAACCATCATCATCATGCAGATAGCAATTCGTTTTGAAATCACCCGACAATGAGACCATTCGTTGTGGTTCGCCTGATGCAGGTGATATAACACTGATCTGTGGTGTATTATTTGACCTTGCTAGGAATGTTGCTATTGATGGATTACTGTATTGACTCCGGGGAATAGGACTGCCTTGAACATAGACTTGAACCAGATAGTCACCTACAGGTACACGAGTAGTGTAGCAGGCAAGTTGAGTCTCAGTTCCTGTTTCGCTTTGCAGATTGCAGCCATAAGAATTGCTCCCATTGACGAGTTTCACGGAATTCGATGCGTCGTCCGATGGCTCCTTGCTGAAAGTCGTCCTTGCGAAACCAGTTCCATACACCCACAATAAAGTCCCGCCCTCCGTACTACCATTTCTTTGGCTTGATGTGCCACCCTTGGCAGTGGTAACATAAGACACTGTTGCTCCATGAAGTACAACTAAAATAAAGATTCGGAAGTATAAAAAATTGTATATGACCTTCATCAATATATTCATGCGACTAAAATCAATCGCGTGTATAAAACACTTCGAACATTTACATTTAAACAAACCTCAATGAGAGGAAGAACAAATATCTTCGATATTGAGCACAGTATATTATATGGCTTAACGATTTCATCACGACTCGGCACAATCAAATCTGAGGATACAGTTTATAGTTTCTCTACAAAGTAATAATTGACCCTTTGATACATCATAGGCTTCATGAAACTTAACTATGACAACACGTAATGCTTGTAACAAATAATTGAGGGCAAAATATCTTGAATCTATGAAACACGTTCTACTTCTCAGTGCAAAAGTGAAAACTGCTATAAAACTATCTCTACGCCTTTTTTTTATTCCGAAATACTTTGAATCAGTACGATTGATTTCTCTTGAAAATTTAGAGCATTTATAGTGAAGTTTGTGTTTTATTCATACACAACCTGACACTACTGCGTCTACCACAATAAACTAGACAGCTAACGTACAAGTAAATCACTAACTAAATTTTTTCAACATTAACATACCTGCTAGTTGTAATAAAGTGAGTAACAGTAAAGCGATCGTTGCATTTGTGATACACTTCATCTGAATGATGGAAGTATCACTTCTCTTGCTTGCTCAACTGAATAATAATTCAGCTTTACAAAAGCAGTGCTTTTATACTTTCTCTCTGCCATACTTTTGTTTTTGTTTTTGTTCGGCCGGGTGTCTTTAGCATTTTTTGTTTTTTCATGAAAGCGTCAATCGTTATGTAAATATATAATTTTTATTGCTTTCGAAGATTAACGAAATCCAGTCCGTTCTAATGGCTTTTTTGCAGCTTGCAGATTCGTTTTTTCGGCGAATATTTGAATCAACAGCTCAAATAAAGTATGAGCTTCTTCGCCAAAAACAAACGTCGCAATCCATTGTATTTTGAATCATTCTGTGTGTGTGTGTGTGTGTGTGTGTGCGATAATAATAAACACGGTAAGCAAGAAATCAACCTTTATTTTCAAAACGTAGATAAACAATACAATTACTTCTTTGCCTATTCTTCGTTAGTTGGTTCGTCGATTTACATGTCCCTAATGTTCTAGTGGCAGTAAGATCGATGTTTCTGACACTGAGATTGACAAACATGCCTGATACGATATGCTAATATGTAACTCTTGTGTGATGAAAGAAAGAAAGAAAGTGAAAACAGATGAGTTAGGCAATCGCATGAGCTTCTTTTTACATACACATGCACACATTTAAATCATTCCATTTCACTTATTGCTTCTATGAATGTCCAAATCGATGTAGAAAATGTATACCCATGAAGAGTTATAATTCTTCTTTTGGTCAACCTAATCAAATCCTTGTAATTCTCAAAAATAGAAGGAGAAGCTTGAAAGCAATCAAATTGTCGTTAACTAGCTACATGCAGCATCACCCATTTGATATATCAAAAATTCTAGATGATGCTGATTTTTGTTTTTGTGAATATATCTTATTGAACCCTTTACTAACTTCAATTAATTTAGCGACATCATTTTTTAAACTGAAACGAATTGGCCGAAGCTATGAAAACATTTATAGCCGGCAATCCGCTTGCAAGTACAACTCAATGAAAACAAATCTCCATTTTCGACTTATTTTGCTTACCAATTTCATATGCACTTTTTTCTCGATTTAAAAGGGGAAAACAAAGAAGTACTGTTTGAAAATCATTGGGCGTCTTTTCAAAGCTGTCACAGCTTACTTTACATGAATTTTGCATTGCGTATAAAACCAGAGAAGGAAAAAAATTAAACAAACACTCAGTTGCCTTAAGTAGGTCATGAGTAACTGACTCCTACTATAAGCCACCAAGAAAAGAATTCGAAATGAAAGAACGAAATCAATATTCTTAAAAAGCAAGGGTGAATGTGGGTGTTTCTACGATTGATAGCATGAAGCACAGGCACTTCTGCGTAATGAGTTCATATTGAGTGAATAAGACATGCCCTCAGACATGCTCTTCCTTGATGGAGATCCCGGTGCTTCATGAACAGTGTCTCCTACATCAGTATTGCCATACTCAGCTAATTGATACTTGAAGAGGAGAAACTAATGTCTAAGCTCTTCGGAGATTATCTCGATTGTGCCAACAAAATCATTGTTTTTCAGTTATTAGTTGATCAGAATTCTTGCCTGGCACAATCTAAAAATCATCAAATCCCAGTCAACATTTCACCACGGGATCCCACGTTGATGAAGACGCCAGAAATCAACACACGCATATTTCTTCATTCGTCGAAATCACGTTAGAAGTTTCCTTTCATATTTTGATTCGATGCGTTATGTTATTCGGTTCTCCAGGAAACTCATTTGTCACAGGCATGCGAGTCTAACATCTTCAACACTCATAATGGGCATTCTTACCGTACGTCCTACTATCTGCAGGTTTCCTCGTACCCTCATCGACGATGATGTGATGTGAGTGTTTATTTGACAGCAGCCTTCCCAACAACCGCACTCTCACCCTGAAGGAAAACCATCGAACGATGATTATATCGATTATGCCCATGAGACGTGGCCAAGTTTCCAGGAGTCGGAAACTCTTCGGGAATTGGGAACTCAAAAAAAAAGCATCAACGAGCGACGTGAAACCAAGGAACTCTGGGAACTCAGGGAAGTCAGGGACTCCACGGGGCCATGGGAAGTCAAGAAAGTCAACGAGCTCACGGGCTCCAACACATCCACGATACAGTGTAAGTGTATGTATCAAGGAAGGTAGTACAAGACACCCACACCCACACCCTTGGAATCCCTGGCTTCCCAGACTTCCCAGAGTTTCTTGGTTTCCCTCATAACGTTGCTATGCTTTGGTTTATCATCACTGATTCTTGTTGATTCATTTTTGAGTTCCCAATTTCCAACGAATTCTCGAAGAGTTCCCGACTTCTGTGAACTTGGGCACTGCTGCAATAAATCGAAAAAAAAATTCTCACGTCCGAAAAGTCGGGAGTACCCTTAACTGATTCATTATCCAAAATAGTCAATGTGTACAAATAAACTTTTAATTTGAGAATGACGTTTCTGAGCACTCACGAAGGAGCGACGAACACATTTAACGAGTGTGTTCTCCCATGTCGCTAAAATCGCCACGATTTTGGTGACACGGGTCTATTCTTGCAGAAAAAAGTGTTTATATGCGCACATGAAAACAAACCCAAAAATAAAGAGGTTAATGAAGATCAAACGAAAGGAGTAAAGAAAGGCAAAAAGATCAAATCGAGGTATGTATGTTATAGTAGAACACACCGTGGGAAATTGGAACTTGGGCAACTAGAATTTCGACAATGTGCAATCTCCACTAGAATATCGAGAAATGTCCAATTGCACCGGAAATTGGACAAAATTGTCGAGTTTCCGAATTTGTTGAAATTCTTCAGGAATTACGACAATATCAACTTTTGTTGATGATTTTATTGTCCAATATCCGATGGAATTTGGACAACATAAATCATACACTGAAAATAAAATAGCACCACACGGAACCAAAACGTTTTCGTCCTCAGTGCGAAACTCATAAAAGGTTTCACCAGTTTTAGGTTTCGTAGGTTTTCCACAATACCTTCGAAAAAATTTCCTGTACTATTTATAATCGTTTTGAGACTATCTTCGAGTTTTACGAAACCCGTTTTAAGGTTTCGAATTTGTTTCGAAAATGGTTCCGTGTGATGCTATTTTTTTCCAGTGTAGTTGAAATTAATATGTTTGGTTGAAATACACATTCACTCATTTGTCAGTGAATAGAAAGCAAAGAAGTGCTATGTAATTATACAAAGTTTCACATGAAAAGGCTTATTAGCGCAGCCCCCTTGGGGCTAAAATGTGGATCTCACATATATCCCTTCAACTTACTGAAATAATTCAAAATAGTTCATCTGAAAAATCTACCCTGATTTTCAAAACCTATAATTAGGTTATTGCCTATTTGCTTATGTCTGCAATCGAGTATTAAGTGTTAACTCGTATATTTAACAATGCCAGATACTAGTTTCTATGGTCTGTATTGGTACCATAAGCTAGTTACTATGGTCTGCAATGGGGTGTGGGTGTGGGTGTAGTAACAAATAGTCAAATCCACGCGCAATCCGACACCCACACACACTTGTTTCGGAAAATGTACGTCATATATAGGTTAGAAATATCTCCTATCTAAGATTCTGTTTCTTTCATTCAATTTTTTATGTTCGACTTATTTATATACAAATCATATACATTGTTTTGTTTTTGCTTTTTTTAGCGCTTCTAATAATAAAAAAGAAAAAGGTTTTCATGTGAAACTTTGTATAATCACATAGTACTTTTTAGCTTTTCTATTCATTGACAAACGAGTGAATGTGTATTTCAATCAAACATATTAGTTCCAACTGTCATGCATATTGTCCAATTTCCATCGGATATTGGACAATAAAATCATCAGCAAAAGTTGATATTGTCGTAATTCCTGAAGAATTTCGACAAATTCGGAAACTCGACAATTTTGTCCAATTTCCGGTGCAATTGGACATTTGTCGAAATTCGAGTGGAGATTGGGCAATGCCGAAATTCTGATGTCCAGATTCCACTAAACCCACACCGTAACAAAGTTAAACGTCAAAGTTTAGCAAGTTCAATTCGAAGCACGTGAAAATGGCCAGTGTCCAAAGGAGTTACAACAAGGGGGGGGGGGGGGGGG